TAAGAAAAGAAAATAATTTCTCTCCAGTTAGCGTGCTAGTATTCTAATACACTATTGGAAGAAGCAATTAGATTTGAACTTGTTTGTTATATCATATGAGTCTTAGCTTAAACACTAATATAATAAAAGCTTATAAGAAAATTGATGTAGTTATATACATAATATCTTAACTTATGCATTAAATATAAATTGTCAATTTAAGTACAATCCATAAACAATATATAAATATAATAATGCATATTGCCTCTCTCTATATATATTTTGATAATTATTAGATTGAATAATTAAAAGATAAATGATTAGTATTTCATCACTTTATATATTTATTGATAATATTATTACATTCGATATAACAAATAAAACATTGTCATCACTCAAATACATAAGCTTATAAGCTTAAAATTTTGACACTTTTTATGAATATTTATAGTAAAGATTTCTCTTATAATATCTTATATACCCATTTTTGTAACCTAATATATGTGGGATTTATATAAGATTATATCATATAAAAAAATTATAATTTTATTAATATCTTGGCTTCACATTTTTACTAAACACATATTCTATATTATATAAAACAATATAAGTTTCAGATTATATTTTCAAGATTTTATTAAATTTTCGGTATTATTATAATAAAAAATCGAATTTTACTTTATAAAATGTAATTATTATAATGATAATAATAATAATATTTTACGAGTTTGGTGCATATATAACAGGATTAACCATTCAACCAATGAAGACATATTAATAATAATAGTTATTATTAATTAGTAACAAGTGAGAGATGGAAAGATGAAGGAAGAAAGTATAATAAATATTTGAAGGCGATGCACTTAATTTTATTATGATGACATATATAATACATAAACGTCGCATAGCATTTTATAGGCGCAGGAATGAAACCTACGAAAGGTGCTACTTATTCCGAAGAGAGAAAATAGTGTATAATGGATATGGAGGGTGTGATATGAATCTAAAACAAATTAAACACTTCCCTTGATAGCGTCACTGTATTTACTTTGAGCATCGTTGAACCTGTCCCAGATCATGACTCCACCGTACTTGGAAGACCCTTTGATGGCAGGAAGAACCTGGGAGGTTAAGACATCAGCGGGAATGTACCCACTTCCAGCAGCAGCCGTAGAAGCGGGGACTCCCAAAAACAGTTGCTTCGCTGCGCTTGAGGTCCACTGGTTCCAGGAATTGATGAGGTTGTTGGTGTTGCCATCTGAGTACTGGCAAGGAGGGTTGTTGTAGAATTGCACCCACACAAAGTCAAAGAGACCGGTTTTGATGGCAGTATCCAAGTGGGCATCAGGGATTGGACATTGCGGTGCTGCACTTAAGACCATCGAACCGAACGCTTTCAGGGCCATCGCCAGCTCGCCCCAGTGGTCGCCACCGCCGGATTCGATGTCGAAGTCGACGCCGTCCAAGACGGCGTCGCCCAGTGGGCGGGAGCTGGACTGCCCACCGAGGAAGTTGTTCCAGATGTAGTTGGCAACTTGATTTGCGTCGTCGGCGGAGCTGAGGGAGTAGCTGCCGCTGGCGCCACCGAGGGAGATGAGCACTTTGATGCCTTGGCTCTGGCACCCCTTGATCTGGTCGCTGAACTGGGTGCAGCCGTTGGAGGCGGGGTCGCAGTGGCCTGCGAGGTTGATTTGCGGGGTCTGGCCGTTGCCGAAGGTGGACAAGAATCCTATGTTGACGAACTTGTAGTTGCCGGTGTTGCATGCGTCGCCCAGGGAGCCCTCGTTCCCGTTTTGGCCCCAGTAGACGGCGATTCCTCCGGCGTGGGAGGAGCTGAAGAGGGAAATGAGGAAGAGAGGAAGTAAGAGGGGTGAAAGTTGTTTGAGGCTTGCCATTGTGTGAGTTGTATTGTGTTGTGTTTTTTAGGTTTTTGGTTTGGTTGAAGGATTGTGGAGAGTGGAGGTATTTATAGGTGTTGGAAGGCATAGAAAAATGGTGTAGTGACTTAGTAGCGTGCCTTGTGGGGAAGAAATTGCTTCCATACATTCAAGGGAAGAAAAGTAAGAAGAATGAAAGTTCAACATTTTTCTAGTTTGAACTGAACTACACTAACTTAAGATGATGCGTTTCAAGTAACATGTTCATAATTATTTATAAAATAGATTTATATGTGATCATGATCTTAACTTACCGATTAATCGTGATGAATTAAAATTTTAAAATGCACCCACATAGAAATTTATCCGTAAACACTCTTAAAAAAATTTGTATTTTTTTTTAAATGTCAACAAGAAAAACTTTATATCACAATATAAATTATTTATTAATTGTGTAATATTATATAACATGTATATGTTGAAAAGTATTTATGGTTAATTTCAATACAAGTAGGGATGCCAATTAAACCCGTCCCGTCCTGAGTTTGACGGGGAAAACCCGAGTTGACTGGGAACGGGGTGAGTTTGGGTTTTTCCCAGTTGTAAAAGTCGGGGCGGGGGTGGGAATGAGTAATACAATCCCCATCTCGACCCCAACCCCGTCTCCGCCCGACTTTATATTTAAATTTAAAATTTAAAATATTAATACTTTAAATATATTTTCTTTTCTTTTTCTATTACATATAAGGTTATCTTTTTAATATTTCAGCAATTTTTTTTCTTCTACCCACTTTTAATTTTTTTGTCTTTTTTAATCTTTTATATCAATTAATTTCTTACATTATTCTCTCTCTTATCCTTCTGTTTTTTACATTTCTTTAATTTCTCCCATCAATTTATTTATCTTTTTAATCTTTTCAATCAATTTGATGATTACAAATTAATTTTTTTTCTTCTTTATTTTTTTCTAAATATTTTACATATATCCTAGTAGTAACTAATATTATTTTATTTATAATTTATATTTATTAGGTTTTATTATATCATATTTTTTTATCTTATTATTCTTAGTTATCATATATTAAATTTTATCTTAATAAAATAATTGTATTTTAAAATATTAAAAAAAATTGATAATTTAAAATTTTATTACTTCGAACTAATTAAATAAGAATTAACTTATTAAATATTTTCTTATAAACTATATATTTCATATTTTTAAATGATAACTTAAAATTGAATTAACTTATATATATATATATAATTAAATGTTTGAATACAATATTATAATAATAATAATGTTATAAGTATTCAAATATTTGAATAGTATAATAATAATAATAATAATGTTATAAATATTCTCTCTATATATATAAATAAAAAATAATTAAATATTTTTTACATACATATTTTAATATAAATTAAAATGTATATTTAATTAATAATAATTATAAATTATAAAATTATAAATATTTATTTATATATAAAAAATACATAATAAAATTAATTTATTATAAATGTAATTATCTTTTTAAAATTAATATATATCGGGGACGGGGTAGGAAACCCAAAACCCAGCTGAGACGGGGACTTAATTTTTAACCCGGCAGGATCGGGAGTGAGAACGAGAATGATTAAAAGAGTCGGGAGAAGGGATCAGAAAACCCATCCCCGCCTTGTTGTCATGCCTGTACAATTTATATATTAAAAAATATATATTTATTTTAAAAAACAAAAAATATGCATTTTGAATCTTATTAAATTTGGTTTATTTTATTTTACATAGTTCCAACAGATATCCGAAGTGACACATCATGTTATTGAAAGTTTGGAGTTAAAAGGATGATTCAAAAGCAGTGATTGGGTTGGATGTGAAGAAAGTTGGAAGTTGGAAACGGTGGGAGCCATCGATATTGAAAACTATGAAATAATTTTTGGCGTAATATGCGGGGAATAGATTGAGTTTGATTCCTTGAATCGTGAAACAACACAAACTCTCAACACTTGTATTGTTTGTTAACGTTAAATTCTTCCTTCGTAATCAACAAGTGAACGTCATCAAAGTCTGGTCAAGATAAACTTCTTCCTAGCCATTCTTCTGGATCGAAAATTAAATTCTTCATAAATTATTTTGTTTTATGAATTTTATTAATTGTAAATTCTAATTCAAGAGAAGCTCATTTCATTCTCTATCTTCCTCAAAATTATTATAAAAAAATCGTCTAAAATATCCTAATATCCCTTCAAAAACCTTTATCTTCTGCCGAATGTTTAGTTAATTCAATCGAGTTTGGAAATAACTAAATAGTTTTATGTGATTTTTATTTTAGCATATATTTTCGTTTTAGTACCTGAATTTGTATCTAACTGTTGTATTAATGTCTTTTTTTTTAATTCAAAATTTATTTTCAGATTTTATTTACATTTTTTAAATTAATTATTTTTATTTATCTTGACCCTTGATATGAGAAATTAAGTGATAATAATATATATTTAGGGATAAAAAATATTAATTTTAAGAATTTAAATTAAATCGATAAGCTTTTCTTGATTCCAGGACATAACAATGAAAAGGTACTAAATTATTTGTTTACTCTTACTTTAATTATCCAGGATATATATATATATATATATATATATATATATATATATATATATATATTCAACAACAATGTTGAATTTTCAATTATTAATAAACTACTCACAAAATAATAAATAAAACCAAACCTTCAACAATAAAATTTATACATATCTTTTATCGTTTTTCATTCATTCATTCCTTCTATTCTATTTTATTCTGCACCAATTAATCTCTAGCAGAAAGGGGACAAGAGGTTAATTCAGGGAAGTGGAAAGTTGCTACCTTAATAGCAGTGATAGTAACTTTTTCATCAATAAATGTAGCAGGGCTACCAACATGTTCAATTGACTGTCTGGAAGGAGCTTCAATTCAAGGCAGCTTTTAGTGTCTGTAGAAAGTTAATCTGAATACATATCAATAAACTAGCATAGATGAAAGCACCAACTTAATATTTAAACATCAATGGAAGAAACATGTAAATCAATAACTACTAGTTTCAAGTTTGAAAACAGTTCAATGTAATTTTCCATGCCAAAATAACAGACAAGATACAATTTAGCTTTCAGAATCAAGCATATCTGAGTTAACAACAACAATACCCTTAATCTTCATATTGCAGCGAGTCATCAAATTTCAGTAAACTTTTCCTGAAAAAAATTATGCAAAGCCGAACAGTATTTTAATACAATCACAAGGCTTTATGTTGGACACATATATTACTTCACTTTTCATTTGTGCAGTTGCTGTAGAATGAGATATTTGTTTCATTTCATTTTTGTATAGATTTTTTTCAAAACTATTCCATTTTATTAGTTGTCGTTATTTCTAAATTTACTAATTAGGACCGGTTTTATTGAAAAGCAGCCATGGTAGATTTCTCACTGGCTGTCATTCTGCGGTGCTGGCATGCTACCATTCTACATCGGCGGCGTGGCTGGTTTTGCATGGCAGGGTACAGAGCAGCCATTTTCATGTACGTGGATGAAATAGCAGACCGTGAATTTCCTGCAAGTTTGGTTAGTCAATTAATGCACGGGTAGGAAGAAGTTCCCTTGTAGGCCACTCATTCTAGCAGGAAACACGAGAAATTTTATATAAAAGGAATGGAATTCATGAGGCCTTAAATCGATGCTAACTAAGCAAGGTCAACAACCGAAGGTCCACACCTGGATATTGCACCTTCCTTGAAGGAAATTTTGTAACTTGAAGGAGTTTATAACAGAATGTTATAGCTCGTTCTAGAGCTGAAACTATGTTCTTAGCTATGGTACAAGGTATTTGAGAATTATATGGCTGAAATTTAGTATAGAAAATTTGAAGATTAAATTGGATGGACTTGTGAAACTGAACTGCGATAATAGTATTTATTAATTACCACTGGGTTTTTTCGCCTAGGAAACATGGTTAACCATGTGTCTAAATATGGTCAACTTTGTTTCGTTGGTGATTATTTGAAGATCATGTATAAATATCTAAATGTGGTTAATATGAACTACTTTTAAGTTAAAATTACCAACTAGTAGACATTTTAATAACTGTGACACTATCACCCACTTGTGAGGCAAAGTTAACTATGGTTAATATGAACCACTTTTAAGGCACAATTACCAACTAGTAGACATTTGAATAACTCTGACGCTATTACCCACTTGTGAGGCAAGTGTAACTAATAGAACCATTTTTAAGGTACAATTCCCAACTAGTAGACATTTTAATTACACTATGAACTATTTTACCCACTTGTGAGGCAAAGTTAACTATGGTTACTATGAAGCACTTTTAGGGCACAATTACCAGCTAGTTGACATTTTAAGAACTCCGACACTATTTACCCACTTGTGAGGCAAAGTTGACTAGCATCAGACATTTCAATAACCACATCAGACTATTAATCACATTACGATAATAGCACACAATCACGTTTATTTACTCTTAACCACTTGTAAGACAAAATTAATCATATTTAGACGAGTAATTAATCATCTGCATTGACAAGAACTTTTAGCCCCTATCCAATACTAATACATTCCGAAGGCATTATATGCATCTACAGTTTCCATAACCATGCTATTAAAAAAAAAAGGAACCTGATGCGAGTGAGATATACAACTAGAGTTTTAACCTTTGAAAAACAGATGCACAATCTGATATGTGATTCTCTCCTAAATCAACTTCAAAGAGGGACCCAAACTTGGATTCTAAAATGTTCAGTAACATTCTAAGCTGATTATTTTATCATAAAAAACATGGTAGAGGTTGAATGGACATGGATCTCCCATTACTAGAAAAAATGTGGGAAAGTTAATTTATTTAGCCCAAACCAAGTGTGACGGCATTAGTAATGGCATAAGCAAAATCAGTCAATTCACTCATGACACGGGGACACAGTTGCAAGAATGAATAAACTTCAGTATTTAAAAGAAAGATCGGGACAAGGGCTGATCTTTGAAAAGAAAACACTAGTATAGACAAAAGATAATCCTCTCTACCAATAGTTAAATTTTCAAATTATTTTTAGTTTTTTTTTTAATGAAGTTGTTTTATAATCGTATATAATATAAAATAACATTTATAAAATAAACTGTTATTATATATTAAAAATACTAACTTTTTAATTAGGATTCTTTTATAACCATTACAGTATTTTATATATTACGACGATTACAAAAAAAATTATTTATATAATATACAACAATCATTATACACAAAATTATCATTTTTTTTTATTTTTAATTTGACTATTTTGTTTATTTTTTCTCCACGTCCTTACTTTTTCTTTATTATTCTCTCGTCCTCTATTGCAATTCTCATTTTCTCCTATGTCCATCACGATTTAACTATTCTCTTCTCTTCCTTTTTCTTTCTTTTACAAGGTGTTTCTCTCCTTCTCAAAGTGTTTCTATCCATTACAAATGTCACCCATACACTCAAAATTACTACAAGGAAAAACAACAATAAAAGACAATATTCTAACAAAAAGACAATATTTTAACAAAAAGACTATTCAAATTACACTATACAAGCTTCTAATAGATGAGTCAAAGGTAAAAAACGAGTTAAAAATGTTTTGTGAATGCATTAAAACTATGGCAGAAGGGTAATAATAAGAAAACAGTAAAAACTTTTAGATTTATTGTAATAGAGTAACAACGAGGTAAGTATACAAACTTCTAAATTGATAGAATAATATCGAAGAAATAATAAAAACTTTTAAATTTGTTACAACGAAACAAAATGAGGATTTTAAAATACGATAAATTATAAATATAGTAATTGTTATATGAGTTATGATGATAATTTAAAATCATCATCAATGTCTCATAACGATTATAACAATGACAATTTTCAAACTGTTATATTATTTTTTAATATCTTATAACGGTTGTAACAATAACAATTTTTAAATTAGTATATCATTTTTTAATAATAAAAAATAAGATATAAGTGAAAAAAACTACACAATAATACATTGATGAAAAATCCACACATAGCATTATAGACACAAAAATTCCGCTTTCGTGGAAACTTGGTGACCTAGTAGTAAAAAATAAATCGTGGTTGTTAAGCCATGTGTGTTAACAAAGGGATATATGTTATAATATATTAACCAAGGGACAGGTAAACATTTCTAAGATCTTTCCAGCAAGCTAGGAATTATAGATACCATTCCCCAAACTTGAGGGAGAGTGTAGGAGCACATGAATTTCTTTCCTTATAAGATTTATCAGTTTCTATTTGAAAAAGAAATAAAAATCCCTGAAATTAAGTTTCCTTTTTTTAACTATAATTATCACAGTAACAACATAAGCTATAAATTTTAAGATCAGCCAGCTCCCTATACTCATTATCAGCATGAGCTTAACTTAAAGAATTGAAACCAAAAATGACAGGCTAATCATAAAGAAAACTCCACAAACCATATACACCATCATCCCCATTTGTAGTTGCTAACGAATAAACAATTTACCAATCTGCGTCAAAAATATTACCTGAAGGACCTCAAGGCAAACGGTTGGGCAACTCAAATGCATTGAATATTCAAATAAGGTAGAAAGAACACCAGACTTCTTAGTAACCTGAAGGAAAGTCAACAATTGCAAACATGAAGCTAAACCAATGAAGTAGTAACCTGATAACAGAATATGAACACCCGAACCAGTAATTTCTTGTGACTAAACAGTCAATCTACACAAATCAGTGATGCCAACCAGTTAGTGACTTATTGCACATATTGTTGGTGGTGGCTCATCTCCAAAAGCAAAGCAAATATTTATAGGCAAAACAAAACATAGAAAACAGGCTTAGATTCTTGTCATCAAAGCATGTCAATTAGGACAGAATTAAAGGAACATAAATGCTACCTGGTTACAAATTTTCTGATAATCAAAATATTTTAATGTTATGGTGTACATGTCACTAGCTTTGAAATTTTCACTCCAACTCTATTTAGAAGGAAACGTTACAAATTGTGATTTCATTAGCACCAGTCTGAATCTAAGGGAGACCAAAGGAACAAATACATGTAACTTGTATTTCTAATACAAAAAAATTGAAAATTATAGCAAGATAATAACCTCCACTCACAGAGAAAGTGGTCCACTGGGAATAAATTTCTACCCAAGTCAAAGCAAAAAAAAAAAAAAAAAAAAAGAAAACAATGAGAACAAGGAAACTTAATGAAAAAAGGAAACACAGGAACAAAGAAAATCATCATGGTAGCGAGTATATTGATTGATCATGTTAGTATACAAGTTACAATAACAAACCAAATTTAACTCCAAATCCAGTCATTTACATTCCATCATTTGTGGTCAAACACTGAAGATCCTGTTATTTTGCTCTGCAGGTTTGCATATACTATTTCTCTACAGAAAAAACATGGTTTACTCAGATCAAAGATCATCAAATTTAACTCCAAATCCAGCCATTTGCATTCCATCATTTGTGGTCAAACACTGAAGATCCTGCTAATTCTGCTCTGCAGGTTAGAATATACAATTTCTCTATGGAAAAAGCATGGTTTAGTCATATCAATGATCATCCTTGAACAATGCCTTAGAAACTGAACCACATGGTTTCCTCCCATCAGCCAGGTCACTGTCATCATCTGAACTCCTTGCCCTTGAGCTTGTACGCTTATTTACTGTCATTGGGGTCTCACATACAGTTGCATAGTTTGCCCTTTCTCGCTCCTTCCTTTTTCGCACCCTTTGTAGCAGATCTGTCTGGAGTTTCATGCTCTTTTGTGTTGGGGCTCTAACTCTTCGCAAAACAGGCATCGAACTTGTAAAAGATGAAAATCTTAGAGCCCTCTCTCTCTTCTCCTTAGCTTCAATTAGTTTTTTATCATGCTCATCAACCATCCTTTGCAATCTTCCACTGACATCCTTTTGCAAGTGAAAGGGCTCATTTTCTGCCGAAATAGGTTGGTTACTGACATCATTTTCACCTACCTCATCTCTGTATGCATTTCTGTTCAAGGATTTGTTACTGTCCTCACTGTTGAGAAAACTATTTGGGGCTTCATCCTCATCAGCAAACAGCAGAAGGTCCATTTTGTTGTAGATTTTTTGAACCACATCTTCAAGAGTGAGAGAATACCTGAATTTTTGGGATTTTAAATCAACAATCTTTCAACATTTCATGCAATGCAAATTCAATTCCATTCTTCCATGGAAAAAGATAAATAAAAAGAAACTCACAACAAGCGTTTCTTAATTCTGGTTTGGAGTCTGAGCAAATAAGAGTGGGGATAAGAAGAAAGGTATTTTGCAATAACTCAGAAAAGGTAGTGTTATTTCCATAAACAAGTTATGTTTTAGGGAAACCACTTTCAACTCCATCTCTTGTACATAACACATGGGCAAGCAACCATAAATATGCTATATAGCAAATGAAGAAATATTGAGTTATTGTTCATATTCTAAATAGAAGCCATTAATTACACAAAACCCCATGATTTGTGCAAAAGCACGTTATTTTCAGAGGAAATATCAATCAAAATCAATCTAAAACGTTTCAGTTCGGTGTATAAACTTATACCTATTTTTTATTATCTTTGTCACATAATTTTCAAGAGTCCAATCCCCAAAAAATCCCACTTCCATATGACACTGAATGTGCTCCAAAAGCAGGCATATTTGTTTTACAAACTTCTGTTTGCTGGAATCTTCAACTTCATTTCCAACCTCTGATTGTAAAATCTCCATTCGGAATAAAACCTGCAGTTCATATCTAATGTTCACTAAGGAAAAACCAAAATCATGGAACATAAGTTGCTATAATTACAGCTTATTAGAACATAAAAAAATTGTATCACATAAATTAAGGGAAACTTAATTGAAGGATACTCTCTAACTACACGTTCTGAGATAGGTGTGGCAGGTCCTGAATCAAATGCCTGAAACTGAGAGAACGGATTTTGGCTTTTATGCTCAGCAGCTATCTCCTTGGGCTCCCTTAATAGAAGTTTTATCAGGTCAGATGCAATTGTGCTACCACAATTATTATGATCTTCTAAAGTAGCCTGACTCTGAGAAATTGTTTCCTTATCAACCTTCTGACATAACCAGTATATAGAAGAACTTACAAGTCGCTCCGCCAAGGCCCCCATGTCTACAACTTCTGATTCAATTCCCCGATTGATCCTGTCAGCAAGATTACTGAAAAATGATTCAGATGTTTCTGACCTAAAGTCTAACACAGCACCCTCCTGTATTCTCAAAGCCTCTGGTTCAGGGTTAATTTCAGCTGATGCAAATGAGGACATTGGCTGTTCATCATTTCTAGGTAAATCATTCAATTTACTGCTACCCTCTTCGGCTCCTGTTGAATTTGGCTTGAATTTTTCTAATAAAGTTAGATCCGAACAGCCAGATTTCTTCATCTGTTTCATCCAGCATCTCAAAAATTTCAACTTTTTAGACTTGTTACCTTCCATGGCATAATAAACATCAAGCAAATCAGTTTCAAATTGTTCAAACACCGACTTACAGAATGCGCTCCACGTGAGGTCTCCAAGTGTATTCAAATTTATCCTTTTCTTTCTCTGATGACACTCATTGGCCACAGCACTCTTCTTACCTCGAGAACTCAAAAACTCATCCTTAAATTTGGAATCCGATTGGCAAACATCATGACTCACCATCTTTACATATTTCCCAACATTTGCTTCACCAAAACCACTAGCCCCATGTAAATCCCCTAAGACGGACAAGAGACCAGCAAGCACCGTAAAAGGTCTCAGAATGCCAATACACGAACCTCCCTTGCCATTGGAAACAGTCACCAACGCCCAGCAACCTTCCTTATATAGAAAACTCAACAGCATCTCCCAAACGGGCACCGGTTTTCGCCGCCACTCACAACCAAACTCACCGGCAACAAACTCAAGAACCGTATCAGCGAAAAAATCACTCAAACTCCCTTTGTCTTTCCTCTCTTTCTTCTTCATTCCCCTGAAATCCTCACGCACTAGAACAGAATCAGACAACCAGTCCTGTGTTCCAACAAACGCATCACACCTCCTCACAACCTTAACCTCCAATTTCACACCTCCACCCAAACACAGCTTCCAAAAACTGTCCCTCCTTTCACCCCCTCCACCTGGCAAATCCAAATTACCCTTCACATCAACAAACTCAAGATCACAACAATTGTACTCAATGGGACTCCCATTCACATCCAAAATCGAAAGCCTCAACTGCGCACTAACATCCCTAGAAGAACAACAAAAAGAACTCATGGAAACCCCAATTAAGGGATAAACCAGGCCAAACGGAACAAGAGCCGAACAAAGAAGCAGCGAATCCAGAGAGCAAAAGCCCCACCCGAGTCCCCCAACTGCAGTCCGAAGCAAAGAAGACACTTCTCTAGCCTCATTGCTAGTGCTGATCTCAATATCTTCTCCACCAACTGTAATCCAAGAACAGTGAATTCCCCTGGAGGTGAATGATCGAGCTACATTGGTGAAGAAGGAAGACAGGGTATGACAGACAGACGTGTCATCGGCAAGGAGATTGAGATCGGCGTTGAGGAAAGAGGCGAGGGATGTGAATGATGTGAAAGAGGGCGAAAGGAGGAGGAGTAAATTGGGGGGGACGATGTGGGGGGAGGGGTGGTCCCAGGAGTGATCATGGAGGAGTTGGGAGAGAGAGTGGGCGAGGTGGAGGGCATTAGGGGAGGAGAGAGGGTGAAGAGAAGAGGGAAGGGAGAAGAGGGTGCGAGAGAGTTGGGGGAGGATGGAGGAAGGGAGGTCGAAGGAGAGAGAGGGATTGGGGAGGAAAGGTTGAAGCTTGGAGAAGGAGAGGAGAGGGGAGAGGGAGGAGAAGAAGAGTTTGAAGGCAAATAAGGAAGAGGAAAGGGGCGGGAAAGAGAGTAGGGTTTCCAGGAACGAAACCACACGGTTGGTCTGGTGGGGATGGTGGAGGCTCGAAACGTCAATGAGGAGGACGATGCGGTGGGTGTCGGAGTACAACCCCGTCATTGGATATGTGACGGCCGAGGTTGAAATCAGATCAGGAGAGAGGGAAAGACACAAAACCTGGGATTCGATTTCTCCAACTTTAACCGGAAAAGTTACCCCAACTTTCTAGAAGAATTTGGAAGATTAGATTAAAACTTAACATTAGGTTTTCACACATTTCATTCTAATCTTAACTAAGGATTTATAAATTATAGGAATGAAAATTAATAGCAGTATATTGTTTATTCCCTCAAAGTTGCCGAAGAAGAGCATATGAAACGGTGGCGTTTTGCATGATTTGGATTTGGAGGGAAATATTGTGGCGGGAAAACAAGAGCAGGAAAAGTGGTGTTTGAATTTAACAGAAAATAAATAAATACCGACGAAGCACAGAAAAGTTGTAGGAACAAGGTAAACATATAATACACTAATACAAGTATTAATTATATATAAAATGGTATTAGTTTAAATGATGTAAGATAGGTTGATGAGGAGGTTAGTAATACCAATAATATAAAAATAATAAGTCATAGAATAATATCTAATGAATGATTTTAATGTTTTTTTTTTAAATTGAGAAATAAATTAAAGATAGTAAAAAAACAAAAGAAACAAAAGGAAGAAAATGAAAAGTACAATGATTTCAATTTTATAAAATAAGTAGAAACTATAATAAATTTATTTATTTTCAATATTTTTATTATTTGTTATTATAATTAAAAAAATATTTTAAAAAATAAAATATATATGTCTCCATAATCTCACATTTTCCTATATTTATTTCAATAAAAGAAAGTTAAAAAGATATTAACTTAATAAATCAGTGCAGACAAGTGCCTTTCTTCACGCTTCTGTAAGGAAAGACAACATGCATACTTTCATTATTTTGAGAAAAGTGCAGACAAGTGGACAAACCGAAGAAGTGGTGCAGTCACCCAAAGACAACTTAAATATGAACATTCTAAGGTTTGACATGAAAGGTAATAATCGAGAAAAATAGATTGGAATTTAAGGTTGAATTCTAAATGCAAAGTATTTACTCTTCACTGTTTTCAAATGTTTAATAATCTTAAAGTGTATGTTTGTTCAATAATAATAATAATAATAATAATATTAATAATAATAATATTAATATTATTATTATTATTATTATTATTATTATTGATAAACCAGGGTTTAGGGATTTTAGAGGTTTGGGTCAATAATAATAATAATTTAAAGTTTATTATTATATATAATGTGATTGGTCATTTGTAATGGTGAATATTATTGGTACGATGTTGGTAACTATTTCAACTAAATAAAAGATGTCTAGAAGACATTCTTTATAATTCAACAATCTGGATTGTTATATTTGAAAATTTATGAATTTACCAAATCCAAAAAATTACCGTACTCACTAATCTTTAAAAATTATATTTTTCCTATATTGCAGATCACTTAATCTAAAATTTTAATAATATATTATAAATATAATTCAAATTTATCAAGAATTTTTAAGGGTGATGTTGTTTTATCCAATATATATATAACATGCAGAAAGAAATTAAGAGAACGTAAGGACAGAATCACTATTTTGTTGTCAACCCTAATCACAGTTTTTGTAAGTAAAGAGTTACAGTAGTGTCCAAATACAACAGTTGAAAAATGGGCATTTGACAAAACTTACGAGACAACAAAAATAAGAATTTACCAAATCCTTTTTTTTATCAGGGATTAATATAATAAAAAAATTTACAAACCAAATACACATATATATTTTTTAAAATATATTTGAAAAAAAGATTAAATTTTGTAAAAGAAATTAACATATGTTTTTATTGTACCAAATTATCAATCTTCCTAACATGTATTTAATAAAAATCTTAGACATTTAGAAAAATAATTACTTGAGGTTTAAAATCGTAACATATATGATATATTAGACATGGGTAATACAAGTACCAGAAATAATTATACAAAAAGAATGCTATTGTTCATTAAAGCCGTTTCTCCACCATTGTCAATTTACAGCTCCTTCACATACTGTTCTTCAATTCCTGAAACTTCTCAGCGATTGCATCTTGTTGTTTTTCTCTGTATACTTCAATCAAGGACCGTAACGCACTACATATCATCACTCTTTTTCGGTCTGCAATGCTACTATCATGAACATCAAGCATGCCCTCACTGGATGAGCATAATCCCTTGAACCAATCTTCAAGAATCAACGCTTTCTATACACATATGAAGCAGAAGGAAAATTGATTACTCAAATTTTCATCATGATTATTGGAAAAGACATGATCATATGATCTGCAAAAAATTACAACATTCAAAAGACAAACTGAAATTGCAAATGCATGTTGGCGTAAACACATAGCAAGGATAATTGACAAAAATGAAAGTATAACCTTTCGTCTGAACACGAACACACACACACACATATATATATATATATATATATATATATATATATATATATATATATATATATATATATATATTATATATATATATATTATATATAAAAGACAATCATTAGGATTCTACTTTTTCCCAAGTTCTCTAATCTAGATTTATTTAACTACACAACATTATTGCGTGAATCTTCAAGTCAATACTTAAAGCAATTAATCAAATGATAACAAGGCAGAGAGACAGCCTTCTAGTATTGCTTAGCTATATTTTGTCATTCATGATAAAATACATACCATCACTAGAAAATCTTTCAGCTGTTGATCTTTTGAGCTTGAGATAAATTGTAGAACGTGTAACATTGTCAAGGTAAGCTGCATCCAGAACACGAGTAATTCAGTTAAGAGACAGAAGCAGCGGACCAACAAAGCAATGTCACAACTTCCTAATTTAATAACAAAAAATAAAATAATAAGAATACCAAGTAGGTTCATTCAAATTTTAAACTTTAAATATAGTACTCTAGTTTTGAAATCAAGATATTAGTCTGATATAGTAACATATTATCTCTTATGAAACTATAATAGCTTGATTTCAGAACTAGGTGTTTTCCAAATGTTGAACTGAAATAAATTGTGAAAAAACTAAACTAGACAGAAATAATAATTCACTCGAACTAAATAGAACTGAAAATTTTATTTGGACAAATTAAACTAACAATTTTTTGGTTCAATGGCCAATCCAAATGATTAATTCCACATGTGATTGATGAATATGATGTATGACCTGCTTTTGTAACGAAATCCTGTACTTGAAATTTGATGGCCCAGACATTTGGTCCTTGTCTATATTCTCCAGTACATGCTCAACAGATTGCACAATCTTCGAGAATGATTGGCCATAATCTGCAAAAACATGAGAACAAATTATATTCAGATGACAGAAAATTGTTTGAATGGAGGAAAAGTAATCTGTCTGTACAAAACAATTTACACCAAAATAAGTAAAAAGGAAAATTAAAATAAAGGAAAATACTGTGGCAAGTTGGAAATGACAAATCAGTTTATTTTTGGACTGATAAATGGTTGAACGAAGCAGTAGCTAATTTGATGAATATTGATAGACAGGTTCAATTACTTCTAAAAGCTAAGGTTTCAGATTTCATAAGCAATAATGCTTGGCTGATTCTAGCAGAAATTCCTGGCAATACTACACATTAGATACTCAATACAGTTGTACCCATCTTTGAGGTCACTGATCATGTTAGATGGAAATATTCTTTGGATGGAGAATTCAGTTTTAGGGATGCTTATTCATTTGTTTATCAATCAAAGCCAGAAGTTTTATGTGGAAAAGAGATTTGGAACAAACCTAATTCACCATCAATATTTTACTATGTGGAGAAAGTGTGTTACTAGTGTACTCACTGTCAACAGCAATTTGAGACTCTTCACTTTCCTTTTGCCATTAAGCTGAAATTGGCTGAAAAATACAACTGACACACGTACCTCTTCACTGAGTTCTATTATGCAGGTCTGAAATAATTGGAGTGAACTAGCAGCCACAGTCACGTCTGCTGTTATTCATATTATTGCTAAAATAGGAACTAGCATAGGAACCAGATTTTTTCTGCTGTCAATCTCATGGGTAGTATCTACAAAGGTAATATGTTTTCAACTATAAAAGAAAATAAGCTTTTGATATAGTTTGCTACAACTTGCTGGCCAAGGAAAGAAGCCAAGATTGATCAACTTAATTGGTTTCCCTAGGATCATGGTTGGATTAAATGTAGTATAAATAGAGCATACATGAAGCATCTAAATACATCCGCGTTAGAGCAAAGAATATGGGATGTTTCTCTACAAGCTTGCCATTTGAGGTAGAGGTTATGGAGATTATTCATTACTCATCTTTCTTACAAGCTTTAAGGTTGATATGCATGCTACGAAGGCTACATCATATGTTCATGTTTTCTGGCTTCCTCCTCCATGCTATTTATTGGCTTAAATGCAATACTGATGGTGCAACAAAGGTATTTTAAGATGATCATTGTTCTTCCACTGTGGGATGTTTTTCTTTATATTTTAGTATTCATGGTGCCTTATGTATGTTGGGTGATGAACATTTCAAGAGCAGTCTATTTTTTGGTTCTAGCATAAATCATTATAAGAAAAACAGTTACCTAGCACTGACACTGGCACAGCCAATGCTGCTGCAGCTTGTATCCTGATTTTAAAATTTGACGAATCATGTAATAGCTGCAGAAGAATACCAAACACAAGTGGAGACCTGCAATGGAAGCATAAGGCATTGCTCAGTAGTTTACATTTTAATGTTACAGAAGTAATAAGTTGAACAAGATATCCTCATGAAGAGAGCCTATGAAATACAGCACTACAGAAAAACAGGGTAACAAATATCATTTATCTATTGAAAGTGAAACACATTCAACTACAGTACCTCTTTCTTAATACTGCACAAAAGGGAAATACTACAAATGTAATGCCTTATATACTTAAGAAACAACCAACCAATCTTTTGTTCCCATGTATTTCTAACATGGGAATGTTACATCTTCATATTAAATAAAATTCAGTTTACTTTGAATTTCACCCGTGGCATTGTTTGGCCAAATCTCAGGACTCACTAAAGATCCTCCTTCACTGCCATCTTGTTGCTGATGGATTCTACAATTTTCCCAGTCAGCTTCCCAATCTCAAGTCTTCTAACAGTAATAAAACTATTTATGCCTTTTCTGATTCTTCACCTAATAAATGTTACAACCAGTGCTGTCCTTCATAACATTGTCCATAACATTGTCCAAACACCCACTACTGTCATCTTTAGTCTTTTTGCCATAACAGGCTGGGACTTGCTAATACAGCTGTCATTTCCAGCGTACTTAACAGATGTAATATTCCTGTTTCTAATAAAATGTAAATGGATTCTTGTGTTGCATGCTATATGGGCGAAATACATAGACTTCCCTCTCTACCCTCCACTATAGTTTTTACTTCTCTCATGGAACTTGGGCCAGCTAGTGCGGGTATATTCTGTGATCACTCAGCAGTTGTTGGTTTTTGTTCACACTATATTGGGATACAATATAGTTGATAGGTTATATGTATGTAATGCAGATGGCGTTTACTAAAAGATGAAGAAATTTTCCTTAGAGATTGATTCTTAGTTGGTGGTCCAAACATTTTAGAACCATAATACTCTCCCTCGGCAACTTAGGAATAGGCAGAGCAATATCTTATATAAAATTAGGATTTCATGTATCACATGTATATAGGGAGGGTAAATGTTGTGCAGAGAAACTTGTAAAACTTTAGGGTCAGAACAGAGTGTAGTATGTGGTAGGATACTATTATGGATTTTATTAGATATGAATTCTTTAGGGATAGGTTTAATCTACCTATTATAGGTTAGTTCCTTGAGTGGATTTTGGTATAACCCAACCACTATTTTGTATCTTTTTATTTTTAATGCTATTTTGGGTATGGTTTAGTGATTGATATAACTTGGGGAACATCTAGTTAGGATTGCATGTTATATAGTGATGCCTTTGCATACCTATGTTTTATTAAAAAAGCACAAGAATTATGTTAACAACCCTCTAACTACCTAACATACAACATTAACTAGATTATTTACAATACTCCTTAGTTCAGATTAGCAATAGACTACCCTCCTATAATCTAACTAATCATCTTAAATTGGTAGGCCGTAAGAGGCTTTGTTAAAATATCAGCCACCTAAGCCAAAACTAAAGTTGACTTTTTGTATATTAGCCTCTTCATAATAAGGTCCCATTGAGACTGCAATATATTCAGCCTCACATGAAGACAATGCCACCATTAACTCTTTAGAACACCATGATCTAGTTGCTCCACTCATTACAAACACATACCCTGTCATACCTTTTGTCACTTTTATCACCCCACCAATCTAACCCCCACAAAAGCCAAAATTCCATCAAAAATATTTTTTGTTTTAAAAACGACAACTCATATGCCAAAGTTCCCCTCACATATCTTAATATCCTCCTAGTGCCATGCAAATAGTCTGGGATGATCCATAAATCTACTAATCAGCCTCACTCCATGAACTATGTCAAGTATGTTGTTGCACAAAAATATCAATGAACCAACAATTTGTTTGTACAAGGTTGCATTGGTTACCTTGTCACTTCCTTCTCTAACTTTTTACCACAACTAGTGTCTGTACAAGGCTGCATTCGTAGGATTATCATATCTTTTCATTTAAATATTAATTTATTTAAATTTATCTTGCTTTTTTTTTATATTTTCCTTATTTAGTAGAATCATCATTTCTACATTATTAGAAATAGCTAATTCAATCCTACAAAACTAGCTCAAGAAAGGGAGGTTTATATTCATTTATATATTATAATATTATTGTATTTCCATACCCTCCATCTCAAGGGGGAGTTTTATCACATCCTCTCACAATGAGGGGATTTTCCCGTCACATCCTCTCTCTCATCTCGAGGGGGATTTTTCAATAGTCTCAACATCACTAGAGTTGATTCTAATACCATATTAGAAATAGAGAGATACCTCATTCAACCCTACAAAACTGTTTCAGTAAAATAAGATTTGTACTCACCTATATACCATAATATCATATTTCTAATCGATATAAGATTTCATCACACCTCTCATCTCGAGGGAATTTTCATCACACGTCTTTTTTTAATTAGGATAATTGTAGATACGATCCTTTTAATAGGGATTTCTTTATTTTTATTTTATCAATTTAGATAATTGTTGGGGATCTAGGTAACCTATTTAAAAGGAAAACTTAAAATTTCATCTATGAGAAATAATTTCAGAAAAACTTTGTTACATTAGGAGGGGCACAGTCATGGACTAGTCTGCTTCTCACTGTCACATAATGTCCACAAAAGGATTCTTCAGCCTATAATATACCGATTGCAGTAACTAGAAAAAGAATAAAATAAGATACCGATTGCAGTAAATAGAAAAAGAATAAAGATGATAGACATAAAAAGTACGTGCTTCATTTTAACATACCAATCCATATCTTGCAGCCTTAATGTCTCGTTCAGGAAAAGGTTACCAAGAGCATGACAGACATTCCACTGGACCTAGTAAGAGAGTTTCCATCTTCAAAAGGGATAAAGTGCATTGATAACATGAAACCAAAATATTCGGATAATAACACAATATAACATTATGGTACCTTAACGTTCCCTGTAGTTATGCAAGAAATAAATGCATGAACTATTCTCTCTAGCCTATTCAAATCTTGTAGAGAATCTGTTACACAACGCTGTTGACACACCATTAGATTTTTACTGTTGAGAAATGCTTCATTCATGTGGTTATGGTGATCCATGGGTGTGTCTGGAAATTTTGATGTTGAACATTTTAAGATTCTCGAAATATACCCAAGAGCCCTAACAGCATTAGATTTAACCTGGTAATGGAAAAAAAAAAAAAAAAAATAGAAAAGGTGTAAACATAAGTACAAAGAAAATAGATAGAAAGTCTACACCTAGGACCCTGGGTGACAATTGGGCAATTTTAGGATTTAATATAATTATAGCAATTAGGCAATTATCTTCTCCATAACTATTTTGCGTACATTTTGACACGAATTCAGTCATGTGTCTAGTTACTCTTAATAATGACATTTTATCAATAAAGAATATTAAAATTAAAAGAAATACATAATAGAAATAAAAGCTACCTTGTCTCCATCCTTAGTAAGATGCAAAGCGCATTCACTCAATGATTCAATCAAGTGGGGGGGCTTGGAGATTGAACCTAAATTTTAAAAAAAGAGCAAATAAAGAAATTACTAAAGAGAACTTTGAAATTTTGGCTTGACACCAAATGGTTAATCATTCAATCATGGACATCAATTCAAGCTCACCCATCTGCTGTCCAAAGGGTAGGATTCTATCAGAGTGACATATAGCATCACATATATTTGCCAATGCCCATGAAGCTGTTATCCTAACCTGATTTAAGGAAAACAATGAATTACTAATCAAGTAAAAAAAGAATATAGGAAAGTGGTGTCCGAAACTGAAGCAGAACTTACTGAGATTAGGGTATCATGAGTGTTAATCTCAACAGCATGGATAAACTTGTCAAGTACCTCTGCACTACAGAGATTATTGAACTTTTTAGATTTTCACTAGTGAATCAGACACAAGTTAGAAAAAGAAATCAAAATATTGACAGCACAAGTTTTAGTATAACCTCTGACACACTTGTGGAAAACAAGAAATGATCCCAATGGCTCGACAAGCAGCAGATCTCACCGATGGCACATTATCACGTAGAGCGGCATGCATCTAGAAAATTTTAGCTAGTTAGTAAATTCATATCAGCAGCATGTTAATCTATCAGTAAAATACTGGAATTGAACATCATTGAGCATGATTTCTACCAATACTTACTAAAGAAGACAATATAAAGTCCTGTTTCTCCTTAGTGAAACACATGAACACAGAAGAAGTCATACCCGCAAAACATGTAATTGATGCAGCTCTCACCTTTCAAGGAAAAACAAATAGAGGGATACGGTTAGGAAACCTGAAAACAATTTCACAATTATTTGAAAAACACAAACACAGAATTGAATATACGTATATTGAGACAAACTTGTACAATTTCCAGAGCTATGCCAGACAAAATACTCTATCCACACTAAGGCTCTATACAACTTTCCATTCTCCCGTTTCCTATTACTTCCCTTTTATGATATTCTAACCTCGTGAATATTCCCTTGACAGCTTTTCTAATAACAGACATAACCAACTGCCAGCTCAACCCAAGCGTCTAACAGACTTTTCTTTGCCTTAGGCTACTTTCACCTAGACTAAATCTCTTCCACACCTTGGGACTATCGGTGTCCTGCCCCATAATTGGCCCATCACTTAAATCATGGGCTCTATCAAACACATTAATTAAAGATACATATTTCATTCATTCAGTGCAAGGTAGTCAAAATCGAGATTTTAGGTAGAATATGAGGGGTGAATAAAATTTAATGAATTAGTGTAAATTAATTTTATATTATTATTTAATAACAAATGATTATTGGTAATAGTTTACTCTTATAATAATTATATCAAAAGTTATATTAGTGGTGATCATTCATTAACTAATTATATAATTTTTAATAGTAGTACAATTTTTTATTTAAAAAAGTGTATATATTTAATACACTCATTCCTATTTCTCTACCAACAAACTTGTGCACCCTATTTATCATGCGCACCATTCCCTTCTCTTTCCCTTCCACACCCTTCTCTTTTTCTTGGTCAGATTCAAAGCACAACTAGGGATGGCAATCAAACCCGTCCCCGTGGGGACCGACCCGTTCCCGCCCGAAGTTGACGGGGAAAAACCGAGTTGACCGGGTTCGGGTTCGGGTTCGGGTTTTCCCGCTTTAAGAAATCGGGTTCGGGGCGGGGATGGGTAATGCAATCCCCACCCCGCCCCGTCCCAGTCCCGCCCTGACTTTATATTTAAACCTAAATTCTAAAATATTAACTATTTGTCTCGTTTGTCTTCTTTTCTTTTTTTTAATGTTAATTATATTTAAATTTAAATCCCGATATATAACCCTCTGTCTTTTCACATTACCCTTAGTCTTTTCACATTACCCTTAATCTTTTCACATTATTTATTACTCTTAGTCTTTTCACATTACCCTTTTTGTTTTCTTATAATACCCTTTATCTTCTCATTACGTAGTGTGTTCCTTTCCTTCACTTTACTTCCATTTATTCTGAATTTCTTTGCCTTTTTGAATCTCTTCACAACTAATCTTAGTTCAACTCACATTTGGTTTCTCCTATCTCTTTAACTAGTTTGAGTTCTCTGATCAACTTCTCTACTATTATCAATCAGTTTATCGAACGCATAAGGTAATTTTTTGTTTATTTATCTTTTTCTAAATATGTACATCAATGTATCATTTTATTTCTAATTTGGTTTTATTAGGTTTTTGTTATATCATGTTTTCTCGGGTTTACTATTCTTATTTATCATATATCATATCTTATGTTAATTAACTAATTATATTTTTTTATCTTTTATGATCAATTTAAGTCTTATTTTAGAAGAAATAAACAGAAGATTTTTTATCTTTAGGCAATCAATAATACATGTCTTGTTTATGGTGGTAGGGATTTTTTTATATACAATGGAAAATAATGAAACAACACAAGCAAGTATGCATGAATCATTGTTAAAAGAACATTCTAACCTTGAGGGTCCTACTCCTACACCAAATGAAGTCCCACCAGTAACTAGAGATAATGAGCATGATGAGACTATATCATTGGGATCAAATCGGCTTAAAAGTAAGATTTGGCAACATTTTCGAAAGATTCAAGTTAATGGAGAGGACAAGGCTCAGTGCAATTATTGTAAGAAACTTTTGGGAGGAAAATAAAAAAATGGAACGAAACACCTATGGCAACACAATGATAATTGTATTCAATTCAAGATTTCTACCAGAGGGAACAAAGGGCAAATATTTCTTACCCCTAAAGTTATGCAAGGTAAACAAGAGTTGGGTACAGGAATTTATGATGCAGAACATGTAAGAAAAGAACTTGCACATGCAATTATTATGCATGAATATCCACTTTCAATTGTAGATCATATTGGTTTCAAGAGATACTCATATGCTCTCCAACCAGTTTTTCAAGTTCCTTCTAGAAATATTATTAAAAAGGAAATATTCAAAGTTTACAAGTCTGAGAAATCAATAATTTTGAAGTCATTGGATAGCCTTGAAGGAAGAGTGGCTATAACATCGGACATGTGGACTTCGGGTAATCAACAAAGAGGATATATGGTCATCACTTGCTCATTATATTGATGATTCTTGGCACTTACGAGTCACATTTTAAGGTAACAAATCACTTTCTTAGTCATATTTTATATTATTTTTATTTTATTTTCGTATGGTAAAATGATTGAATATTGATTAAATTTATGTGAATATTATTATTTTAGGTTCATTTATGTTCCAGACTCCTCACACAAGTGATAGACTTTGCAATGCATTAGTTGAATGTTTGATGGATTGGAATATTGATACAAAATTATCCACTATCACTCTTGATAATTGTACTTACAAATGATGCTATGGTTGAAAAAATTAAGGGTAAATTGCAAATTAACACTTTATTGAGAGATGGAGATTTACTTCACATGCGTTGTTGTGCTCATATATTAAATTTGATAGTCAAAGATGGGCTAGAGGTAGTGAAAGATGAGATTGAAAAAATTCGGGGTAGTGTAGCATATTGGTCTGCAACACCTAAGAGGAAAGAAAAGTTTGAAGAAACAGCAAAGCAATTGCGCATCTCTTGTACTAGGAGCTTGATTTTAGATTGTCCAACAAGATGGAATTCAACATACAAAATGCTTGAAATTGCCATAATATATGAAGATGTGTTTAATCGATTGAAGCAACGAGATTCTCAGTATACTTGTTTGCCAACTAGTTTACAATGGCAGTTTGCAAAAGATGTTTGTGAAAGGTTGAAATTGTTCAATTTTATAACAGAATTATTTTCTGCTACTAAACATCCAACTGCTAATTTGTATTTTCCCAATATATGTGAGATTAAATTGACATTGACTGAGTGGATTGCATCTCCAAATGAAGTGATTAAAAAAATGTCTGAGAACATGTTGTTCAAATTTGATAAGTATTGGAATGTGATTCATGTTATTATGGGAGTCGCTACTGTTTTAGATCCTAGATACAAGATGGAGTTACTTGAATATTATTATGAAAAGTTGTATGGTCATGAATACTTTTTGCAAGTTAGGATGATTCGTCAATTATGTTATGACTTGATTTCTGAGTATCAAACAAAAATGAATAAAGACACATGTGGCGAGTCTCCAACAAGGGATGGTACTAATGTTGCTGGTGATGCATTAACTGAGTATGACAGGTATATTTTGAGAAAAAAAAGGGCAAGAAATACATATGTTAAAACAGAGTTAGACCATTATTTAGAAGAAGAGGTTTTACCAAGAAAAACTGATTTTGATATTCTAATGTGGTGGAAGTTGAATGGAGTCAAACACCCAACAATTCAAGCAATTGCTAAAGATGTATTAGCTATCCCTATCTCCACAGTAGCTTCTGAATCTGCATTTAGTATTAGTGGTCAAATATTAAGCCCCCATCGCAGTAGACTTCATTGGACTACTCTAGAGGCTTTGATGTGTGCTAGGAGTTGGTTATGGAGTGCTTGAAAACAACGGTAATGTTTTATATACCTTTTTAAATATATATTTAATGATTGTATTTTTAGATTTTAACAAGTATTCTCTTTATATTTTATCTTTAGGTGGTGTAAATTCTCAACTAATTGATGACTATGCTATTTTACTTAATGAGATGGATTCAGGTGATGAAGGTATTATTTTATTTATTAAAAATATTATTATTTATTTTTTAATATTTTATTTCTCTTTTCAATAATATATTTTATTTTAAATTATGTAGGTGAATTGATGGACAGTGGCATTGTTGCTCATTTGGAGGATGATCATTAAATTATCCAATATTTGTTATTTTTCTTATATGTATTGTTATGCACGGTTATGCATTATTATGCAGTTTTCTTATATTATTTTCCATGAGAAACTTTGTTTACTTATTTATTAGTATTTTTAGATGTATTTCATAATTATTTTAAAAGGATCATTAGTTGAAACTTATTTTTATTATATATTGTTTACAAGGATTAATAATTTTAAAGGATTAACAACTTATAATAAGAAGAAAAAAAGAATGATCAAATATATTTTTTATGCATAAATATTTTAATATAAACGTAATAAATTAAAATATACACTCAATCAATAATAATATTATAAAAGTTATAATATTATATTTATTTGTTATAAAAAATAAAATATAAAAAATAATAATTTTAAATTATTTTATTATAATTTATATATAATTACTTTTAAAATAATACCATAGAACGGGGACTAGGCGGGCGGAAACCCGAAACCCAACGGGGACGGGGATGGGGACTTAAATTTTAACCCATGCGGGATCGAGGGCGGGACTGGGACGATTAAAAATATCGAGGGCGGGGGTCGGGGAGGCAAAACCCGCCCCCGCTCCGCCCCGTTGCCATGCCTAAGCACAACACTCTCAATGCCTTGGGGCCTAGGGTTAGGTTTTTTGAGAGATCAGGAATGCTCCAAGCATTGATGAATATTATCGCAATTGTTGGAAGCCATTTGAGCACAAAACTGATGTCAATGCCAGAAGAGAATGCAAGGACTACATCCTCTACTTCTGCAACATTGTAAAGCTTGTTGTCTTCTCCATAGATGTCTAGGTCATCCATGTTTTCGAATACCAGTTGCACACATCGATTCAATGATTTCATGATTTTCTTCATCAACCGCACGAATCCTACTCTGGTGCTATCTTGTGTGGGCACTGAGCCGGACATGATATGTGAAATCGTGGAATCATGCAATTCCACGATCTTAAACACAATTTTGACTAAACTGATTCAAGGACAATATATTTCTATTCAATAAAATAGAAAAAGAATGAACTACAAAACAAGAATACTAGATAAACAATTTGGAGAATGTTAGCAAGAGTGAAAGTGTATGATATTGAGCATCTAAGTTAAGCCATTTAACCTTGTGAATATATTCATGCATTACCAAACTGATAGAGCTTAATAATTTATTTGCATCATAAACCATAAACTCATTGTCCTTTATTAGAAATTACATATATGCTCATGAAATTGCAGAGTTGTTAATGACTATTAAATTAGACTTCTATTCACTTTGCAACTGATCTAGTCTGTTAGGAATGTAACCGCACCAGATTGGTTAGTTGGTGTAATAGAATCAGACAACTCACAATAGTGACTGTTGTAATATAAATGAATTACACATATTCTTAGAGATTCCTTAAAATAGTTCTCTCTTACTCTCTCTATGCTCACTCTATCTTTGTCCATATTCATACACTTGCAAACATTTTCACACCTCTGATTAGTTTCTTGCATGGTATCATGAGTTAGAATCCCAGGGAACAACATCCACAACAAGTCATTGCAGAATTTGTTGCATACACATCCTCCGTGTCTATTATCAACTGTTGTTGCTCCAACAACTGCACTGGTAAACATTTTGCACTTTGTTTCTATCAAACAAATGAGAAGAGTTTCTGATATGAAAAGGTTGTGATCCAAGGTCACAAACTCCATTGCTTCATAGCAAATCCAAACTAATCATTAAGTTGTATTTATATTCCATTCTATCTCTCTTACTCTCCCATTGATCTGAACAAATGGAATAGCATCCAACAGTTGAGAATATCGTACCCAAACTAAGAATGAGAATATCTATTCCTTCACAGGTTAACACGGTAGTGTGAAAAACTGGGGTATTTTTGAGGGTGTAAAGCTGGGGAGATATTCACGACGACACGAGCAAACCACATAAACAAGCATAACACTATCTTTAACAAAAAACCTTAAAGAATTAGATTTGTGGATTTTTCTCATTTATATATTGCTTAACTTTCCCATTTCTACATAATATGGAACTCCAACTCACTAGAATTTCAACAATCTCCTTCTCAAGTGTGTCTCTTCATATTGATACATTCTCAACAGAAGCATCTCCTAATCACAAATACCTCGGTAGTAATCCTTATTTTACCGTCGTTGATCACAACAAGAGATGCTTGCCAAAAAACCCATATCAAGAGACTTTTGATACAAGGATCTACAATCTTAGGATACATTATCTACTCCATATTGTACTCATCTTAGTCAGTCACCAAATGAACAATTGACTATGATATCATTGTTGGGTATTTTCGAAGGGGTAACATCGGGAAAATATTCACGAATGGAACACAAGAACCAATCATATAAGAAAACATTACATTACCTTCAGCATAAAACCAAAAGACATTAGGTTTAGTGTTTAGGGTTTCTCATTCTATACAATGTGGGACTTCAACAAAAACTAAGGTGTAATATAAAAACATTCATAGCCAACAGGTTCCATGCCACCCAATTTTTTCTAATAAAAAGTTGAGTCGACCTATGATTGGCGAACTTGTCCATGATAGGCAATGTTAAGAGATATAATAAAAACCATTCATGTGTCTTCACCTAAGAACTTCAGCTTTTGCTTTTACCAACACCACAAGCTAATCCTACTATCTAAGATAAGAAATATTTTGAAACATCATGCCAACAAATAGCATGGGATGAAAATGAAGTTTACTTCCTTTTCTATCATTATGCCCTTAATAAAAAATAATTGAAGTAAAAAAATTTATTTCTATCATGATGCCCTTAACCTCATTGTCATTAGTAGATCAATTTAGCAAACATGACTCAATTATTTCATATAAAAAATACAAAACTATTACCATAGAAATGAAAATTCTTACCATTGCTGAAGAGTGACACAAGATAAGAGGCATATGCTTCTCAATTGCCTCACACCATTGCCGAATTCCTGAATCAGGAGCTTCAAAGTTGACTATAACATCAGCTTTGCCCTCTACATCATATGATGGAGCAGAAGACACTTTCTTCATCCTAATGCAATCAGATGCAAAAGGAATATCCATCAATTTATCATCCGAAAGATCTTCTGTTCCTTGAAATCCAGAGACTGCCCGAAGACTCTCATCTAGAACCTTAAAGTAATAAAATAATTTTATCATCACTCAAAATAGGTGGCTGAAATCATGACTCAAAAACGACATCACTCATCAGTTCAAAAAAATATAATATTTACAACATAATATTTTGATGTTCCACAATCAGAATTGAATTCATCTAATTTGCATAATAAATGTCTGTATTAAAAGGTGAGCATAGGTTATCAAGGCGAAACTTCAATCCTAATTGGAGAAGGGCACCAAAACACACAAGGAATTGCATCTGACCTTTGTCAAAATGAAACTTAGAAGTAATAGAACAAGACACATGAGACATCATGCAACAAGAAAAATGTAATGGTATTAATAAAATTTTCTGAACATAAATCAAAAGAACCAAAAAATGGTTTATAAAAGCACATTGGAAGAAAGCTCATGATCACAAGAATAAACGAGAAACATATCAAGATGAGAAAATTAAGATTTGGGTAAATAAAGTTTCTTTAATTTGAAAGGTGTTAAGGTTCCAACATAAAACCAATTGGCAATATGTGGAGTAGCCTAACATGTATTTAAACCATACCAAATGATATGAGGTAGGCGATGTGGGACTTTCAACACACCCCTTCCAACGAAGCCTGCCGGACCAGGCAAAGGGTACTTTTGACCCAACTAAAGGGCAACTTTTAGCCCATGACAATAACCGGAAAGATGTTAGGCTTTGGCTCTGATACCATGTTAAAGTTCCAACATAAAACCAATTGGCAATATGTGGAGTAACCTAACATGTATTTAAACCATACCAAATGATATGAGGTAGGCGATGTGGGACTTTCAACAAAAGGGAACAAACATAATTGGAAATATAAATTGATTAAAGCTCAAAGAGTTGCATCTATGTTTTGTCAACTAAAAAAAAAATCAAAAGATGGAAATTTAACACTATTTTATGCAAATGAAAAGAATATAGAAGTACTAGTATAAGACACCTGAGACACCATGTCACAAGAAAATATGTAATGGTATTCATAAAATGTTTTAAATTCTAAAGAAAAGAACCAAAAGTAAATTTATATATAAAATCACATTGGAAGCAAGTTCATGCTCACACAAAAATAAATGGTGAAACATATAAAATTTGAGAGAATTAGGTTTTGGGAGAACAAGATAAACCTACTTTAATTTTAAATGGAACAAACAAAGGATTGACACCTTAACATCCTTCCCATTATTTCCACCTTAGCTAAGTCAACTGTCATACCCACTATGAAAATATTAGCCCGCTGTATGAAAATTGCCACACCATAGCGGATTAGATGACCAGTGTTTCCAAAAATCAGCTACACCTTACTATCTAGGTCTACATCTAATGACATTGTTTAGAACAGTGAGAATAGATTGGGGCATTTTTTATTTTCTTGTTAACTAGGAAATATTTTTTTGCCCAACACTTTATATCCCTTGATTTGGGCTACTCCATAACCACTTTTAAAATCAGACAAAGAACAATTTAATGCTGTCTAGTCCATTGTTTTTGGGTAAATCAAACAGACCACTAGAATAGTGAACTAATATAACAGAGTATAGCAAAAACGTAAGGGTTTTTCGTTTAAATTTCTCCATAAACAGTTCTACACGAATAAAATAAGAAAAAGTGAAATATATTTCTTAATAAACTAAAAATAGCTTCTGCAATCGGCAAAATTCTTAATCTGGAGAAGTCAAACAAGAGAGCCTCTACATATTAGTTTATGCATAAGCTACTTGTAGTTTATGAAATAAAATTATTTTTTTCTTCTTATTCTCGTTTCATACAACTGTTTATGGAGAAACTTATCCAAACAAACCCTAAAAGTTTATTGTAGACAGGCCGGCAATGACATCAATTAACTTCAATGCAAACAACACGCATTTTCTAATTCGAATTGATTTTTGATTCTACAGCAATTAATCTAACAGAAAGGGGACTCTAAGAGGTTAATTCAGGGAAGAGCAAAGATGCTACCTTAATAGCAGTGACAGTAACTTTTTCATTTATAAATGCAGTAGGGCTACCAACATGTTCACTTGACTGCCTGGAAGGAGGAGCTTCAAGGGTCACAGTGCTAAGGATGTGATACACAATAGCAGAAACTTGTTCCCAACAAGCACTAACTATGATAGGATAATTGTGGGATACAGCTTTAAGTGCCTGTAGAAAAATAATCTGAATATATCAATAAACTTGCATTGATGCACACTCCAACTTATCATTTAAACATCAATAGATAAAACGTGCCAATCAAAAACTACTAGCTTGAAGTTTGAAAGCAGTTTGACGATTAAAACACCAATGTAACTTTCAAAGACAAAGTAACAAAGGCAAGATATCATTTAGCATTCACAATCAAGCATATCATAGTTAACAACAATACTACCCTTAATCTTCATTTTGCATCAAGTCATCATATTTCAGTAAACTTTACCAGAAAAAAAAAAAAAAAAAAACACTATACAAGGGAAACTACAGTTGCTACATTTTATTTGTACATCTGTTGTAGTATGAGATATTTTTTTAAGATTTTCCACAACCATATATATTTTTGGATTAATTAGGAATATTAGGATTTTATGATTCAAAATAAATTATGGATAAATTAGGAATGTTTCATCTATCCAAATTTGTAGGATGAAGTTAAGGGGATAAATTTGAATCAGATCCGGATTTATTTTTTGGAAAAATCTCACTGTTATTTTGTTTCCTAAGTTGTGGGAGATTAGTTTATAGTTAATGTGGGATTTATTTTCCTTATTTGTAGCCGATATGATCTGCATGACTAAAAGTTGTATCATCTGTTACTGGTATCAATTTAATAAGAGAATACTTCTCTACATGGTCTCAGAAGCTTTAGCGTTCAATCAGGAACTGTATAGCTGTTTGCCATGGCAAATTCAAGTCCAGCCACCTCTAATATGAAAATTGGTGTGTTCTCCTCAGGAAGAGGCAATTCCCAGCCTGCACCAACAGACATATCTTCCACTGATCACTCTCTTCAACTTATCATTCATAAATTGAATGAAACAACTATCTTGAGTGGTCCAAGTCCATGCAGTTGGCGATTGTCGACTAGGGAAAACATGAATATCTGAATGGGGGAGGTGACAGCCCCAGCAATCACTAATCCAAACTACAGGCAGTGGTGGTGTTCTGAAAATTCAATGCTTACTTCATGGATAATCAATTCTATTGACCACGTGATTTGTAAACCTTTCATGTTTTTTTCCAACATCCTGTGATGTATGGGAAGCAGCAAAAGAAACATATTTAGATCTGGATAATCACTCAGTTGTTTGAATTAAAAAAAAAAAAAAAAAGTCAAGGGGCTTGAAAATGTAACGTAATAGGCTGTTATTCTAGGCTTGCTAAACCTTTTATATTTTTCACAATAATTATGATGGAAAAAAAATCAAATTCAAATAGAATGGATTTAAAATGATGTTATTAGATAGATCACGATTATAAATTCTCTTGTTTTTGCTATTAAATAATATTTTAATACTTGAAAAGTTGACTACCCTCATGTGGAAAATACAAGAAGGGGAAGGTGAAGTCAGTGTCTAGTACAATGAGATGATGACAATAAGGCAGAAGATGGATATCTTTGAAGACTGGGCAAACAACAATGACATTGTTTGGCATAGAAAAAAGATGGTAAGAGGTCGAATATTTGTCTTCCTAGCAGGACCTAACAAAGAACTTGATGAAGTTTAAGGGCGTATATAGGAAGGAGACAAGTCGTGCTGAAAATTACTCATGAAGTATCAGCTCTTCTAACTCAAGGTGGAGAATCAGAAGAGGATAGGGGAGGAAATAAGAAAAACACTTGCTGTGACCAGTGCAAATGGTCGATGGCACACAAATGTTGGAAACTGAATGGAGAACCAACTTTTTAAGAAGAAACCAGGTGCTGATAACAAGCCAAGGGGAGACATTCATGCATACCAAGTATGTAGTACTGATTCAGTGCAGCAACCTTCTTCAGAATCTCTTCCCTGTAGGAGATTCTAATTCATCATGTTCTATAGCCCAAACAAGTAATCATTTTATTTTCACTATTGTGTTTAAAAAGTCCAACAACCCCTAGATGTTAGATTCAGGTGCAACTCATCATATGGCCAATGTTTCACTTTTTTTTTTGTTGCGTATACACTGTGTGAAGAAATTAAAAGGTTAAACTTGTCAATGTTTCTCCTTCTTAAACTCTTACAAAATGTCCAAAATGTCCCTAATTTGTCATACAATTTTGGGTCCATTAGCCAACTAACCCTAGACACAATAGATACCTAAGACTGGTCGAGAAATTTATCTACTCATCTCGTACACGTCCAAACATTGGTTTTGCTGTTAGCATGGTGAGTCAATTTTTGCATTTCCTGTACAAGAAAACCTAGAGGCTGTAAACAAATTTCTTAGGTATCTCTAAAGCACACCTGGGAAAGGTTTATTCTTTGGAAAGCATGAGAAGAGAGGGATTGAGGAATATAATGATGTTGATTGGGCAGGTTTTATTACTGATAGAAGGTCCACCTCAGTGTATTGCACATTTTTATGAGGTAATCTTGTCAAATGAGGAGCAAATTACAAAATTTGTTGTCAGGAGTAGTGCAGAAGCTGAGTTGAAATCAATGACTCAGGAACTATGTTAAGTCTTATATCTGAAACATGTTCTAGACGAGCTTGGAAGACAAATAGCTCTCACTATGCAGTTGTTTTGTGATAGCAAGGCTACTATAAGTATTGCTCAAATTCCAGTCTTTCATGACCAAATGAAGCATGTTGAGATTGATAAGCACTTTATCAAGGAGATGCTTGAAGATGGAGTACTGAGACAGCCTTTGGACATTCAAGTCACCAAGTTGGATCATTGGACCAACTTTAGGGGGAGTGCGGATTAATTGGGAATATTAAGATTTTATAATCCAGAATAAACATAGGAGATATGGACAAATTTGGAATGTTATATCTGTCCAAAATTGTAGGATAAAGTTAAAGGGAATAAATCTTAATCAGAACAGATTTATTTTTAGAAATATCTCTTTGCTATTCTGTTTCCTAATTTGTGACAGATTTGTTTCCATTTAATGTGCGATTTATTTTCATTATTTTTAGCAGATTTGATCTGCATAAATACAAGTTGTATCCTCTGTTGTTGGTATCAATTAAATAAGAGAATTTTGTAAAATATTAGTAACACTTGTACACATATCAACATGGGCTTGTTAAGCAATTGAAACAAAAAATGACAAGCTCATCATAAAGCAAATTCCACAATGCATATACACCATCATCCCCATTTATAGTTGCTAAGGAACAAACAATTCACCAATCCATGCCAAAACGATTACCTGAAGGGCTTCAAGGTAAATGCTTGGGCAACTATATTGCATTGCATGTTCAAATAAGGTAGAAAGAACACCAGACTTCTTTTCAGTCTCAATATAACCTGAAGGAAAGCCAACAATTACAAACATGAAGCTAAACCAATGAAGCAGTAAAACCAGAAAATGGAATATAAACAACCCCACCAGTAATGTCTAGTGGCTAAACATGCAATCTACACAAATTAGTCATGCCAATCAGTTAATGACTTATTGCATATTGTCATTGGCTGATCAATATCCAAAAACATAACAAATAAAGAATAGAAAACAGGCTACATACATGTCAATAAACAACACAATGAAAGGAACATAAATGCTATCAGGTTACAACTTTTCTGGTAATCAAAATATTTTAATATGTTAGGGTCCACAAGTCAGTAGCTTTCAAATTTTCACTCCAACCCCCTTTAGAAGGAAAAGTTGCAGATTGTGATTTCATCAGCACCAGTCTTAATCTTATGGACACCAAAACAACAGATACATTTAATTTGTATTTCTAACAGAAAAAATTATAGCAAGATAATGCCCTCCACTCACAGAGCAAGTGGTCCACTACAAAGAAATTATCTACCCAAGACAAAGCAAAAACGAAATTAAAAGAGGAAATAATGAGAATACTTGAAAGTAAAAACTAATTTCTTTTGACTACTGTTGAATGATCAATACACTTATTTATATACACAAGGGCTGATTCAATCCTTCAAGTTTAGGAATTATAATTAGGGAAACAAGGAAACTTAATGAAAATAAGGAAACAAGGGACAAGGAAACTTCATGAAAAAAAGGAAACAAAGAACAAGGAAAATAATAAAATAAGAAAATGGAGAAACAGAAAAATAATATCATATCAAATTCCTAAATATAATCTCAACACTCCCCCTCAAACTACAATGTATACTCCCTCCGGTCTTTAGCATAAGGCACATTTTAGAAGCAATTATTGATCTTTTATATAAGGCATCTTAAAATTTCTATACAACTGTGGATTTTTTTCATTATTCTCCCCTATTAAATATTATGTGTATTTGTGTTTTATATTAATGAATAGTGAAAAGTACTTTTAAAAGTCATTAGTAATGAAGGTTACTATGGTAAATTCATAATATTGAAAAAAAAAAAAGATCAACTACCTAAATTGCTTTCATTGGTCTATGTGATTATGTTAGAAGTGCCCGATATATTAAGGCCTAAAGGAAGTGCTTCATATGTATTCACCTAGTGAAATTGTTTGTTGTGTCTCGGGCAGTTGCTGATGTTGCACTAATAGTCAACATTCCGGATGGTATCTACGCAAGAAAATTGGGGGGAAAAAAACTGGGTGGCTCTAATACCATCCTGCGATGAGAAGAATAATTTCTTCCGTATATTGTTAAACAATTTATAAACTTGTATAACATAAAGGCAAAATCAATCTAAACAAGAACAAAGCCTAATCCCAGTTGGTAAGGTTGGCTAAGTTGATCACAAGATGCCATGTGACTCAACAAGTAGCGAAACAATGGAAGTAAATGAAAATAAGGAATCATGTATAAAGGAAAATGATTTTTCATCAAATTCCTAATTCAAATCACAGCATGACATAAAATACAATATTGCATGTCCATGCATTTTGTCCCACCAAGCTTCGACTTGCTAAGATTCTACCACCTCTAAACCTTAAACCATGTGCACTTGGCACTAAATAAAATATTGTTTTCATCCGTCAATGACAACTTCCTTCTTTGGGCCTTCTTACGACTAAGTAGGATTAATCATCCTTGTGAGAAATCAAATAGTATTTTAGGAAAGAATAAATAAGGAAATTTGTATATTTCCTTGTAATCTGTACAGATTTGAATAATTAGGAACAATCCCATAAATCAAGGGATCCTAGCATAAAATAGAGTTATTATATTTCCTAAAATAGTTTAGGTCTCTTGTATATATCTTATATCATCTCTTTGTATTGAGATAATAATAAAAATCATATTTCAGTTAATCTATTTTTCCAGATGGTATCAGAGCTTCCGATCTAGGAAGCTCTATCTGCGCTCGATAAACCCTAAGACGGCAGCCTGCATTGCTGCTGCATATTTTGTAACCCTAAGACGGCGACCTGCATTGCTGCTGCATTTTTCTTAACCCTAAGACGGCAGCCTACATTGCTCGCTGCATTTTTCTTAATCCTAAGACGACGACTGCATTGCTGCTGCATTTTTCATAATCCTAAGACGACGACTGCATTGTTGTTGCATCGCACCTTTTTGCTATAATGTCAAGGGAAGAGGAGATAGAAAGGGTGAAAACCATTCTTAGTAAGCTGGAAAAACCTACAGGTATGTGTTCTTTGGCATACTCGGGTAAGTTTCCACCTTCTTTTGGATTAAATGTCTCGAGATACGCCTTTTAACCATTATTGGATATTGGACTCGGAGCCACAGATCACATGACACCATTAGCCAAACACTTCTCCACATATTCCCCATGTCCCAGCAACAAGAAAATTGTCACAACGAGATGGAACCCTTATAACTGCGACTGGTCAAGGAAATATCCAAATCAATCCTTTAATAACCTTAAAAGACGTTCTCCATGTCCCAAAGTTGTCCACGAACCTAGTGTCTCGTACAAAAACTTATAAAGGATTTGTCATGTAAAGTTGTTTTTTCCAATGATCATTGTGTATTTCGGGATAAGGATTCGGGGAGGATGATTGGACATGCTAGAGAATGGAATGGCCTTTATTATCTCGAAGATCCAAGTCTGCCCAGACAAGAATAGAATCTCTCACTCCTTCATATCTCGAATCCTTGATGACCAACGAGAGAAAAAATCATGCTTTATCATTGTCGGTTGGGACATCCCTCTTTTGGAGTGATCAAAATTATATTTCCCTCTCTGTTTACCAAGTTAGATGTTGAGAGTCTTCATTGTGAGGTGTGTGAACTTGCTAAGCACAAACGTATATCTTTTCCAATAAGTAATAGAATTAGCAATTTCCCTTTTTATCTTGTTCATACTGATGTATGGGGACCTTCTAATATTCCAAATGTGTCTGGTACTCGATGGTATGTCACCTTTATAGATGACTGTACAAGGGTCACTTGGGTTTTCCTACTTAAACAAAAATCAGAAGTCAGTTCTGTCTTCCTAAACTTCCACTCCATGATAAAAAATCAGTTTGGTGTTAATATTAAGAGGCTTAGGTCAGATAATGCCAAAGATTACTTCAATCATGTCCTTAATTCTTTTTGTCAAAAAGAAGGTATAATTCATGAGTCCTCTTGTGTCAAAACACCACAACAGAATGGGGTCGCAGAGAGGAAAAATGGACATCTATTAAATCGGACTCGGGCATTGTTGTTCCAAAAAAGTGTCCCAAAAATTTACGGGGGAAGTCTGTCCTTACAGACAACATACCTTATCAATAGACTACCCTCTAGAGTCTTAGGATCAAAAAGCCCTATGGAAGTTTTGTCGTCTTTCAATCCAAACTTGTCTACTACAAATAATCTTAAACCAAGAGTTTTTGGGTGCATCTCATATGTCCATATTCATAATACAGACAGGGGAAAACTTGATCCTAGAGCCTTAAAGTGTGTCTTTGTTGGTTACTCACCCACTCAAAAAGGGTATAAATGCTACCACCCCCCATCCAAAAAATTCTTTGTGTCTAGGGATGTTACCTTCAATGAACAAGAGGGCTATTTCCATCAACCTTATCTTCAAGGGGAGAGTTTCAGGGAAGATAAGGAAAGTAGTGATTCTGGTTTTCCCATTCTTCCAGACTTGACATTTGAACCTAAACGAAATCATATTGAAAGTAGTAATTCTGGTTTTCCCATTCTTCCAGACTTGATATTTGAACCTAAACAAGATCAAATTGAAGTTGTAACAAATGAAACAAGTCAAGGAATTGGTCAAGCAAAGGAAGTTGGTCAAGAAAGTGAAATTAATTGTGAAGCTGATCAAGAAGATGTTGAAACTAGAAAATTTGGTAAGAAAGTCTGGTGTACTCAAGGAAGACTAAGGCCATTCCAGGATCAAGCCATGTTCAAGAATCCAACTCGACTCCACAAAAAGAGGTAACAATTTTTCTCCAGATGTGCGAGGTTGAAATTGAAACCCAAAATGATCCCGACCTCCCAATTGCCATTAGAAAAGGAACAAGAAAATGCACCAAACAGCCACTCTACCCTCTCTCAAATTACCTGTCCTTTAAAAATTTCTCTCCTACCCATAAAACCTTCCTAGTAAACCTAAACACCGTACTTCTACCTAATACCCTATCTCGAGGCATTGTCCGACAGAAAATGGAGGCAAGCCATGGATGAAGAGATGGAGGCATTGGAGAAAAACAACACTTGGGAGTTAGTCACCTTACCAATAGGAAAGAGGCCAGTTGGATGTAAATGGGTCTATACAGGTGAAATACAAGGTCGATGGATCAATTGAGAGATATAAGGCAAGACTAGTTGCCAAAGGGTTCACCCAAACCTATGGAGTTGATTATTTGGAGACCTTTGCTCCGGTTGCCAAAATGAACACGGTTAGGGTGATATTGTCTCTTGTCGCCAATTATGGTTGGAACTTGGAACAATTTGATGTTAAGAATGCTTTCCTACATGGAGACCTTGAAGAAGAAATCTATATGGAGATACCTCCGGGATATGGTAAAGATGTTGCTACCAACACTGTTTGCAAGTTGAAAAAGGCATTATATGGGTTAAAGCAGTCCCCCATGCATGGTTTGGCGGGTTTACTAAAGTTATGACAAGTCCGGGTTACAAACAAAGCCAAGGGGACCATACTTTGTTTTTTAAACATTCCAAGTCGGGGGAGTAACAATATTATTGGTGTATGTGGATGACATAATATTAACTGGAGATAATAAAGAAGAGCAACAATTATTGAGTCAATGCTTAGGCAAGGAATTTGAGATCAAGACTTTGGGAAAACTAAAATATTTTTTGGGAATTGAAGTTGCCCACTCCGAGAAAGGGATATTTATATCTCGACAGAAATACATCACTGATTTGCTCAAGGAAGCTGGCAAGGCAGCTTGCAAACCTGCTAGTACCCCATTAGAACCAAACCTAAAGCTTGGAAATGCAGAAGATGTTGTTGTTGAAAAAGATATGTACCAAAGATTAGTGGGCAGACTTATATATTTGTCACATACCAGGCCAAATATTGCCTATGCAGTGAGTTTAATTAGCCAATTTATGCATAGCCCAAAGGAGACCCATTTACAAGTCGCCTACGAATTTTACAGTACCTTAAAGGAACTCCAGGAAAAGGGATTCTATTCAAAAAGAATGGTAATGTGAAACTTGAAGCCTATACTTGATGTTGATTATGCAGGGTCAATTGTGGATAGGAGGTCAACTACAGGATATTGCACCTTTCTTGGAGGAAATCTTGTGACTTGGAGAAGCAAAAGCGGGGTGTAGTGGCTTGGTCCAAGTCTTGAAGCGGAATTCCGAGCCATGGCACAAGGTATATGTGAGTTGCTATGGCTTAAAATCATCTTAGAAGACTTGAGGATAAAGTGGGAAGAACCTATGAAGCTCTATTGTGATAATAAGTCAGCAATCGAGTATAGCCCACAACCCGAGTGCAGCATGATAGAACAAAGCATATTGAAGTAGACGAGACACTTCATCAAAGAAAAGCTTGATAGTGGCTTGATATGCACTCCATATGTGTCCTCTCAAGACCAAATTGCAGACATTCTTACCAAGGGACTGGGCTGCCATAATTTTGAGAAGATTGTATCCAAGCTAGGAATGGAAAACATCTATTCACCAGCTTGAGGGGGAGTGTGAGAAATCAAATAGTATTTTAGGAAAGAATAAATAAGGAAATTTGTATATTTCCTTGTAATCTGTACAGATTTGAATAATTAGGAACAATCCCATAAATCAAGGGATCCTAGCATAAAATAGAGTTATTATATTTCCTAAAATAGTTTAGGTCTCTTGTATATATCTTATATCATCTCTTTGTATTGAGATAATAATAAAAATCATATTTCAGAATCCTTAATCTCACTTAATTGGCACACAAAACGAGAATTAACTTGTGAAAGTAAATGCAGGTTGTACTGTCCAGTCAGGAATGCAGTTCAAGTTTTAACTGAACTATTATGCCAAACTTGGACTAGAAGCAATCCCAAGGTTATTAGATTAAGATTTAGGATAATTGTGATTGTTCTCACTATTTAGGCGATTCCAACAAGCACTTATGAGACACAAGGAAAAGTGTTACAAGATCAATTTAACAAGTATCTTTGGCCAAAGCGCTTTTTAAAAGCCTATTCAACTAAAAAGGATAGCTTTAGCTCATCAAGAAAATATAAAGTGAATATAAATAATATTATAATAATATTTTATTATTATCATTGTACTATTTTTTTCTTTTAGATAATTTGGAATTAAGTACTTGTTCGCACTATTGAGTGGACCTAAATAAAATATCATTCACATTTAGAACCACGACTTATGAAAAAACTTAAGTTAAATTTTTAGACTTTCATTAATTTTAAGTAATAACTTACACAAGTACTTTTATTATCCATAATAACTGGGAAGTTACCTGAAGAAACCTCATCACAGAGCATAATCCTTATTTGAGCAGAAGATGGTGAAGTAGAGAAGGCTAACGTCAGACAACCAATAGCAGCTGCCTGCTAAAAAAAGTCAATGTTATACATGTGATATTGTGCCTGAAGGAGAAACAAAACATTCGGCAATTAATCAGAAAACTAACCAGCAGACTACTTCGATCACTTCTCAACCAAAACCCTCCTTCAATCCTTGTCCTAATAGATGTAACAACAATCGGCAACAAATTTGGTGGCATTCTTGAATATCTGTCAAAATAATGATTACAGTATCCATACTTATTTTGAATTCAGAAGCAGAGAAGGAAATAAAAAATCTAATCCGCCTTCAAGAATAAAGAAGCATATATGATGTTAGTGTAATTTCTGCAATTTAAATATTTAGTCTACAGTTAAAATGATAAACATCATTATCTTTAGTTACTTGGTTATTCTAAATAGCAGAAACGCAGACACCCTCATGCCTGTGTAATCCTCAATTTTATTTGCAAGCTTGTGTATCCACATTTTTATTATGCTACAATAATACAACGTTATAAAAACATTACAAAAATAGGTAATTTTGTAAAAATGGTTTTGAAAGGATTGTGTCAAGAAATAAAAGATTTATTAGTATGAGAGAACCATGTCCACTTCTAAATGATTAACGTTTGCAGTGGTTACATTTAAGACAATACAAGATCCAAGGCAGGAGGACAAGGAAAGGAAGGCTACATGACTACCAGATTGAGTCACGGAAGTAACAGGTGAGACAAAATAGATAAAAGGCAAAAAATAGTAACATCCATAAGTAGAGCAGGGCCAACAGTGTGGGTAACCTTGGCTGCATTCGGTTGTTCTTGAACTTTGGTGTGACATTCTGCTTCAATATGGCTAAAATGTTGACAGTGATTGTAACAAGGGCAACTCTTGCCAGATTGAACACAATCATGGCCCCCACAATGAGAAGAGTGTGAAACCAAGGCAAGGAATCATTAAAGGAGGTCATGGAAAAAGTTGACCAACCAAGCAGGAGGAGGGACAAGATAGGTTCAACATAGGTAGGGGAAGACTAGGAAGATGTTGTCTTCGAGTGAGTGTCGTCGGAAATGTGTTTACACGCAGATCTGTATATGCATATGTCAACATCACACACCAGAGACAGTGAGCGTGTAGGGGTGCATCCAGTGGCTTTAGGAGGAGCGGTTGCCAACATAGGGCACGTCAGAGTTGTGCAACAGTGGACTGTGGTTGCTGTCAGCATCAAACAATGGCTGAGGGACATGTGGTATTGTTCACAGGCAAAGAAAGGAAAGAAGAAGAAAAAGAAGAGAGGATCAAACTCTGATTTTTTATACCATGTAAAAAGGGATTAGAGGAATTGTTATTGTTACACACATTCAATCTTCATTTATAATCAAAGGAAATCTGAAAAATATCCTAATTACAAGTTATTTACAATTATCTAATAAGATCTATTACAGCTTCAATCGGAGAGCATAAGAAGAGAAACAATAACCAAAGCAGAAAGAACATTGTATAAATTTAGAAGAGAAAAAGAAAAGGAAAAATTTAACATTAAAATTACAGCTAAGATGAACAAACAGAATAATATGGGAAGCAAAGTAACATACGGTGTAGATAATATCAAAAGCTTAATAATCTTGAATAACAAAGCCAGCAATTTAGTATGAGCTTCATGCTCTATTAGGTAAAGAAGACCTACATCAAAGGAAAAGAGACAAAGTGCAAGATATGTAAATAAATAATGAACAGAAAAAAAAAAAAAAAAATAAAAGCACATAACAAATATTTTTAAACAACAATCTATGCGATTAGATACTGCAAATCTTTTAGATACCTCTATGAAGTTCCAGTAAAATCTTGCCAAGGGAGCTTGAAAGTGCCATAAAAGATCCAAACTTGTTAGATTCCTTATATTCAGCTACTTGCAGGAAAATGGACGTTAGACCATCTAACATGGTCACTAGCGTGGATGCAGATGCCATACGTGCCTGAATAACACAAACAACATTTTCTTAGCCAAGAAACCAAGAACTCTAGTACCATAGCACATGTTAATGTGAGGAGGGGGGATAGATGGGGGATAGATGGGCATTAGATAAAGGGTGGTAAAAGCAATTAGCTGCATGCATATGAAAGGAGATGCAAATAGAAGTTTGAAAAAGTACAAAACTGCTCATCCGGACAACATGCCAAAAGAAATTTTGTTAGAATAGAGTTGAATTACTGCAAAAAAAAGTGAGACAAGTTACCATATGATGAATGGAGAAGGAATTCCAATATCATATCAGAATTCGGGCAATTAAGAGGTTGACTCTCATCCAATATCAATATTGGGATTGGCTCAATCCAAATCCAACTTACTCCTGGGGATGTAACCACGTTGTTATAGTCAGAGTGTTATTTAGATCAACCAATTTGAGTCCGGGATGAGGAGCTAAAACCTTGGCAACCATAAAGTAGAAGCAAAGATAAGGTACAGAAATGGAAACCAATGTGATGGAGAAGATCATAAAAATGATACGACAACAGGAAAATTGGAAATCACCAAAATGGCGGCAATGGATACACAAGTAATGGACATTGATAACGATAGGGATACAACTGCAATGATAGTAGCAATGGCCAGGGAGGAGGAGATTCAAAAGGAAGATAAAAGTCACGTGGAGGTATAGAAATATTTGGCTCAGATCAAACCATCAAGGACATATAACGGACAGCAGGTATACTCTAAACTAATGTGCATGCCAGGGAAGTGCAATTGGATGGATGCGAAGGAAATTTGGATGAATCTCTACGAAGACTACAGCTCGAGAAATAAAGTTAACAAACAATGCATGGGAGGAAGTTGCAATGACCGAGCATAACAGAATAAGGTCTGAAAATAGTCTTTATTAAAGCCTATTTTGTAAAGTAGCAATCTGGACATAGCGGTACCAAGGTAGCAGGTATACTCTAAACTAATGTGCATGCCAGGGAAGTGCAATTGGATGGATGTGAAGGAAATTTGGATGAATCTCTACGAAGACTACAGCTTGAGAAATAAAGTTAACAAACAATGCATGGGAGGAGTTGCAATGACTGCGCAGAACAAAATAAGGTCTGATAGAATAGGCTTTATTAAAACCTATTTTGTACAGTACCAATCTGGACCTAGCGGTGCCTTTACTTGTTTTACACTCTTTTCTCCCATTGATTGTATCTTTCCTTTTTACATATATAAATAATAAAACCTAAGAGCTACTCATTCTCTCAAAACATATAAGGTCACTCATGAGCAAAGGAGGGATGGACGCATAAGGTCAACACACAACAACCATTGATTCAAAATTCATACAACTCAAGGCCCAAGATCACCAAAGTTTATGAAAGAAGAGGGAAGCCAAGTGCAGGTGTAAGGCAATCAAATGAGGACTGGTGCACCTAAGTAAAATTTAGGTGAAAAAAGTGCAACTAGCTGCCAAGCTGGCAGAATGTTGACGATGGGTGAATGTGCTGAGATAGAAAATAGGCAGGTAGGAGGGGTATTTGTTGGGAGTGGAAAATCAATTTGAACCTGTGGGAGGGATTAGGTCCCTCAAAAGCACCGAACTGCTGCTTCTTTTTTCTTCAATATTTCAGGCATTCATCTAAATAGTAGTGTTTTCATTCCGCTTCTTGTCTCTGATTTTCAGTCCCTAATAGTTGGTAAGGAGCAAGGGCATTCTAATTTGTATTCTAATTCTAAGTTCATATCAAAATAACTGCAACTAACAAGTCAGAGTATCATAGAACATGTCTCAAACTTCTCAAATATTGTATCAAATGTGATCACTAATATTGAAAATAGAAAATTGAGAATAGAACAACTACACACACAGGTAACAAGATCATTGTCATTACCTTCAAACAAGGATCAAACAGCAAGCATGTCATTAAAGTTGCATCATGCATCCTATGAAAATACAAATTAAACAATTACGTAGTTAGAAAACAACAAAACAACCTCAACTGTAGAGAAAGATTAAAGTTTGATTAGATTCATAAAAGGAGGAAAGGTTAGGCCATACCTTGCTTGTAGTACATCACTAGTTGGCAAAAGCAAGGACCATTGCATGGATAAAGATTTAGAATCAGCTTGACAAAGATCCTTCCCATCCAACATACAAAAAAAAAAAAAAAAGTATTAAGAAAAATAACTAAACCAATCACAACAAAGTTAGCAAAGCTTACGTCTTAGATGATGTTATCCAAGCAAGTTAAAAAGTAAAGACAAAAAACATATTTATCTCTACTTTGTGTTGTGAGATATTGGAGCAAGAAAGGGTAACAAAAACTCAAAGTTTGGAATAGGGTTTTTTTTTTCCTAAAGAATATGTTTAGAGAATTAAGGAATTAGGAATTGGTTCTCTTACACCTTTGAAAATGTAAAAGAAAACTACGGTTTTAAAAATTATCTAACAAAACCATAGCAATGACAATGAGATAATGGGGAAGTTGATGACAAACAGGTAAAATTAATAGTTCTAATTTCTTCAAAAATACATCATTACCAACTTGTTACTCTCTTATTCTAGACTTTTGACAACTTAGATTTCTAGAAAATCTCAAAGTAAAAGTTACAGACCAGTTTTGAAACTTACCTGTATGCAAATTATGGCAGCCACTCTAACCCTAGAGTTCTGCACTCTGTCAATGTCATTAGCTGATCCATCTCCATCACTAAACTCTGAATCTGAAGATGTAACATTAATTGTAGAAGACTCACTATCTGACATATACTGCTTAACACTATGGTGCTTCACATTCAAGCAGTCCCTTTTGCGCAAGTGTGGAGGCCTATATGTACCATGATCTGATTTTTTTAGCTGTTCCCTGCTTGTCTTGAGACTCATACAATGAAGCTCCTTCTCCTTGTGATCAACAAGCAAACCAGTACCTGGTGTTCTACCAGAAAGGCCATAAACCAAGAACATTCGCAGAACAGAAACAAAAACCGATGCCTAGAGGAAAAATAAAACAGGTCACAATGGTTATGGGTATAACATATTTCTTTAAGCTTTGTATTAAATAAAAGTCTTAACCTACATGATCTGAAACTGAACATTTAGGATCAATGAGGATCAAATGTACACAGCACAGAAAAGATTCATAAAACCTGCAGAAAAGATGCATCAGTAACTTGTAAAAAATATACAAATAATGAAATATGACCAAAGCATGAATCACTCAAGAGTTTCATCATTGACTTCTACTAAGTTCCTCCAACATACAAGCTACCTGGACATAACACTATCTTCCGCAACAGGGGTTTTTAATGCCAAGACATCCATTGTTTTCCTGAACACCTGTTTCAGAAAAGAATAGTTCAAATCACTCAACATTAAGAAACAGGAAAATATAGTTTGGAGAGTTTTTATCACCCCTCTTAATCATCTTCTATTTATATTGAAAAGTTGATACAAGAGAGCATAGAAGATCTAAGGTCGCACTAGAAACCTAGGTACAAAACTAGGTACAACAGTACGACAACTGGTAGATGTTTCGAACACACTACCCCCTACTCAGAATTAATGATTACCCACAAATTTAATAATTATTCTAACACTCCCACTCAAGCTGGAGCATACAAATTGTATGTACCAAACTTGGAGCAACTGAAATCAATCCAAAGTCCTCTTAAGGACTTGGTTAACATATCAGCAAGTTAGTCATTTGATCCAATAACCCAGTACAAATTTCTTTGGACAATAATTTTTTCCGAACAAAATAGCAGTCAATTTCTATGTGTTTGGTCCCTTCATGAAATACTGGATTTGACGCGATGTGAAGAGCAACTTGGTTATCACAATAGTTGATTTTTTCCAGTACATGGTTTACCAAGGGACTAGGCTGCCATAATTTTGAGAAGATTGTATCCAAGCTGGGAATGAAAAACATCTATTCACCAGCTTGAGGGGGAGTGTGGGAAATCAAATAGTATTTTAGGAAAGAATAAATCAGGAAATTTGTATATTTCCTTGTAATCTGTACAGATTTGAATAATTAGGAACAATCCCATAAATCAAGGGATCCTAGCATAAAATAGAGTTATTATATTTCCTAAAATAGCTTAGGTCTCCTGTATATATCTTATATCATCTCTTTGTATTGAAATAATAAAAAATCATATTTTAGTTAATCTATTTTTCAAGAGAATCATATTTCGACAGATGCATCCCACGAAAGATAATTTTTTCATTTTATTTCTCGGAAGTAATGGAAGGACTTCCAAAGAATGAAACAACTCCAGTAGCCATTTCTATTGATAGAAAGCCAAAAGACAACTAGGGTAGAGAGACCCCTAAAGTGACCTTCACTAGGATGGTTTTTGGACTTCGCCAAAATGAAGTTTTGAGGGTCAAAACAGGAAGGGACGGCTCTGGCGATACCCACGGAGGTGGCACAACAACGTTCAGACGGGGAGAGGGCAGCACGTGGGTGACACGCGCCTGATTGCAGCTGATTTTGACTAGGTGCGTGATGGCGCGTGGGAGGGAACTAGCTTATGAGACCGACAGGGTTGGCTGTCGCTCGGAGAGGCGATCCAGATCTAGTGGTCACCGAAGAAACTGTGACGGTGGACGATGGTGGATGGTGGCAGACAGTGGCGAACAGCGGCTCCGAAGATAACTGAGATAGGCAGAGTGGGATCAACCTGCTCTGGTACCAACTTAATATTAAGAAACAGGAAAATATAGTTTGAAGGGCTTAATCATCCCTCTTAATTATCTTCTATTTAAATTGAAAAGTCTGATACAAGAGAGCATAGAAGATCTAAGGTCGTACTAGACACCTAGGTATAAAACTAGGTACAACAGTAGGACAACTGATAGATGTTTCCAACACACTACCCCCTACTCAGACTTAATGGTTACACATAGATTTAATAGTTATTCTAACAAAATCTACAACTTAGTTTTACAAAAAAAAAAAGTGCAGATTATTTTATACCTCAAGAATTGATCTCCAAATGTCAACAGCAAAGGATGACCCAGCTCTTGATATTGCTTCGCTGAGCATCTCAAAAGCCACTTTCTGTAATTCATTGGTACTTCTTTCAGTGGAAAATCTCATATTAATCCCCGTAGATTTCTCTTTACAATTTGAACGAGGCTTCCCAACACTATGGGAGCAAACGATAACATCAAGTAAAAATTTAACCAGTATAATATCTTCAGACTGCAACCATCGTCGATGAGACGTAATAATAAACCTGGAGAGCGAGCAGATTTTGCAGAGTCAATAAAAATAGTATCATTTACTAAAGCAAAATAGTAAAAAGTACTAAACGTAAAAGCAGTAAAATAAAGAAACATAATAATAGTATAACTCAAATTTTGGAAAAACAACATTTACCCCTATCAAGCATTAGAGGTCAACATATATTATGTACATAAAATGACAGAACATGGTAAAATACATACACCAGAAACTTGGAAAAATGCAAAATTCGGAGGCATGTTCATAGGATTTAAAATATATTATGACTTGATAAGTTATCACTTAAAAAAACCTTCAAGATAATAACACAAGAAGTTCTACAGACTTTGCACAAGACTCCTCCAGGTGTAGATCTAATCCCCATTCGAGGATGGTACCCTAGCCACAAGGTGGTTCCAGTAGGGGATTTGAAACCCATACTAAAAGTATAAAGTCTGTGCACTCAGAAGCTTAGGTTGCCAGCACAGCCCAGGGTCAAAACTAGCAACTAATAAATAATATACTATCAGAATAAATAAAAGTGATAAATCGCAATGACCACAATCCACAATTTAAATCGCATATTTACTAGATAAGTAGAATAGAAACAACAAAAATTACAACTATCATTTTAAAATAATGGAATACATAATTCAACATTACTAAAGGGACAAAGAAAAAGTCACTTGATTTTCAAATATAATAAAATACATAATGTCAAGATTTTCAAATAGAAAAGGTAAAAATTAGAGAAGAGTCTGTTTTCATCAGAAAACATGTTGTGTCTATCATGATTTTCAAGTAAAAGCATTAGTACAGCCTAACAATTCCAAAATGGACGTATGTATAGTGCCTAGGGAAGATTATATTATGCATCAATTCTTTTCCAGAGAATAAGTGAACCTGACTGCCTGTAAGCACTCAATGGCAGGAATTATTGTAGTAGTACTGCAAATTCCACTTATATCGCCACTAGTAGCAACTTTTCCAAGAAAAAGATTCAGCATCTTCCCGAAACAATTGAGGACACTACTAAAAGAGGATAAATTTATATCAAACGAGACACATCGACATATATCATGAATCTGCGATAAGAACACGAGCACCAAAATCACTTATAAAAATATTTCTAAAAAAATGTCAATAATGGATAAGTTTAGGCCAAAGCAAACACATACCAGGCGTGATGTTTGTGCATAGATACGACTACAATCTTCTTTATCTGAAGAAGTTGCAGCAACCAATTCCATCATAAACAAAAGGTCCGACAAAACCTTAGGAAAAAAAAAAAAAACAACAACAACAAATCAGGTGTACATTTATAACAAGTGAGAAAAGAGCGAATAATTCAAAGCATGTTTGCAAAGCCAAAAAAGCACTTCAATGATGTAGAAAAACTCCAAAGCTAGAACTAGCTCCCGTGATCCGTTTCAAAACACACATTAAATCCTCCAAGCATTTAAGTAACGAGAAGACAAAGAAGATACCTCGTGGGAGGGAAGTTCAACCGCGGCGGACACCAAAGAGTTTGAGTGGGAGAGAATGAGTTTGTCGAGCAATTGCGCATTGGAATTGAGAGGAGGAATCGTTAGGGTTTCATCCCTCAATGTCAAAAACGCAGTTCTCCACGACCTAACCAACGACTTCGGTGCCGCTGCGCCAAATCCCGTTCCCGCCATGGAAGAAATGGCGACCACGAAACAGCGTTTCCAAATTTTTACTCAATCATCACTCGTGACTTTGAAGGAAATCGATTCATTCAGCAAACACCTGCGACCATTGTGAAGATTAGTTAGACGGGAATGGCAGTGCAAAGGGGGAAAACACGGTACTTGAGGAAGTCTTGCTTGCTATGCTTCCATAATTGCCATTTTGTTTCATCAAGAGTGTTATAAATATAATTATTTAATCAATGTAATGATAGTAAAATATATTATTAAAATATAAATTTAAAAATAATTAAAATTGTATTTAAAATTTTCAACTAATTAAATAATAAATTTAGATATAAAAAAAAAGTTAAATCACTTTTTTTAATTAGAATTTAGTTATCAATTCCTAAGATAAAAGACAATTTTTTTAGAAAAACACAAAGTTAAAAAATATTTTTCTCTTTTTTTATATTTAAGTCTGAAATCCCTTAAAAAATATATTACCCACATTTTTATATGTTAACAAAATTTGTTAGATAGACTTTAAAATTAAGATAGAAAGTAAGTTTTAAATCTAACTTAATCTCGTAAAAATTGTTTTATAGTATAATATTTATATTTTATTATATATTATAATTTTATTTATATTTTTGGTTGATGACTTCAATGTCATCTTTTAATAAATTTAATGTAAACAAATAATCTACATTAAAAGTATTCATCTTTTATTATGTTTGATCAAAACATATTATGTAATAAAATATTATTTAATTAATGTATGTATTTTTGCTAGTATTAAAAATTAACTTAGATATTTATTTTACAAACTTTTTTATAATTTTACCTTTAATATTTTAGTAATTATTTTTCTAATTAATTTTTTAGCTATTTTTGTTTACACAACTTGTTGTTTTTCAACTATTTTCTTTCACTTCTACCTTTTTATTGAAATAACCCATTCCCCCAAATAACTTTTTTTTTCCTTGCCCCCACAAGTGTAGTAATATGTAGTATACATTGGAGTTAGTGCGGTGAAAAAGTAAAATATTCGAAAAGATTGGGCGCAGCCGCCACTCTTCCAGACAGACACAGAGGGAACCATTCCAACTAATGCCGTGTATGGACTCTGGATCAGGTCGTGTCACCAAAGTGGAAAACCAATACGTACTTGTTCCTTTTCTTTACCCTTGATTTTTTTGTTCTCATTCAAATTCACTTACGTTCTTCTAGTCTCATTGCTAAAAAACAATCCCAATTTTCAAATCCTCTATTTAAACAAACAGACACAACCACGGACACACCAATCCTACTAACAACTCTTGGTGTTTTCTCAGAGTGTTATTTTACTCTGTGGACGGTTCTGTCTCAAACCCAACCAGTTTTGAACCTTTGAGACAGCAACATGCGGTTAATCCATGTTCTTATGTTTGTGGCTTTCAATTGCGTGCAAGTGTTTCAATCCAATGCTCAACTCATACCACAAGATGAAGGTATGCTGACGCTTCAACGCTTTTCTTCTGAACTTTGTTGTCTTCATTGGTTGGTTTGGTTATTCAGAGTGCAGTTAACAAAAGAACTCTTTTCAAACTTGTTTTTCATGATTAACCACCCTTCCAACTGTTTTCACCTTTGCAGTGGATGAAAATTTAATTGGAAATCATGAAAAAACACTTCATTTTCTGAATGGAGAAGTTGGGGTTCTGATAAGAATTGAATATTCTGCATCATTGTCTGTTTCTTTCCGATTCTAGAACTTACTTTGTTAGAGGAATTTTTAAACACTGATTTTCTTATCTGGGTGTTTTTGATGATTGTCAATGGATCTATCTCAGAGGTTTTGCATCGTGTATATATCAACTTCAATTCATTTTTGTTTACTGAGTCTTTGAATTGTCTGCTACTGATGGTGGATTCTTCCTTGTTTCAAATTTTGGTTTATATTTTTCGTGTAATCATATCAAATTTGGATTTTTTCTTGTCAGAGTTAATCGTCACTTGGGATTGTTTTGGTGATCCAATAACATTGCTTGAGACATCCCATGAGAGATGACACCCTTTCGAAAATGAAATCACAAGGGTGGAGGACCACTACTTTGTGTTAGTGATATTTTTATTTATAGTTATAGAAAAAAAAATTCAAATTCTGACCAAAAAAATCTTATTTTTTTGGATATATATTTTTTACTAGAGATTTTCTTTTGAAAATAAAAAATTATATTTAATAGAATGTTATAGGTTTAGAGTTCAAAAAATATTTAACAATTATGCAATAATAAATTTTTTACTAGAGATTTTATTTTAAAAATAAAAAAATAGTTTAATATTATTAACAAATGTATTTTATAATTTGTTAAAAAAGATATTTAATAATTTTATAATAATAAAAATATCATCAAAATTAAATGATAAAATAATAGTTTAACTTTTATATTCATTTTAAATAAATTTTTGACAAAAATTGAATCAAATTTTGAATACTTATATAATATTTATAAGATCAATGTTTATAAAGTCAATAAATTCAATGCTAAATGATCAAATTGATATAAAATTTGAATATTATGTTGAGAAGATATTTTCAACCTACGGACCCTTGTAATTAATGTTTTCAGCCTAATAGTAACATTTAGGACAACCATTTTGCATTGACATGTGCTGGTCATAAATTTTGGAACATATTGCAGTTATACCTTATTTTACTCATAGATTCATTATGTTGTTTTTCACTTAATAAAATGGGTTAATCAGCTTCATTCTGTCTTTTTACACTTTTAATTTGTAAAAAACAGTGTGTGGGTTGGTCCAATCTGTCAAAAGCAGGTCCATAGATTGGTATGTTAATATTTTTTTATATATATATAAGTTTTTATATGTATTTACTTTAAAATATACCTTTAATTATATAAATAATTTTTCATTTTTTTATTTATAATTAGTATTTTTATTATATAAATTAAAAAATTATTATATTTATATATTAAATAACTAATTATAATTTTAATATATAAATATATTTTTAAAATAAATTAACAGAATCCTATTTTTACCTCGTCCAGTCACTGAAATCAGACCTCCAATTTTTAAGAGAAGAGGGTTGGTTCAAATTAACTCATTTTGTCATTTATATTTTACACATCAGAATTGATTAAAAAATATTTTATTACTTTAAAAAATTATTTTTATAAATTAAAACACATATCAGTATTTTGAAACATATTTTACCTTGTGTAACACTAGACAGAAAAAAAAATAGAATATAAAGAAAAGTATGACTAATACGACTAAGTTGTTTCATAAATACTATGGATAAGGTAAGATTCGATGTTTTTTATGCATGATTTGATTATATTTGAAAATAAACAAATCCAAAACCATGATCTGTCTCCATATGGATGATCCTTATTTTGACAGGGGGAAAAGAGTCATGTATAGTCTTTGAATGAAAATTCAAATTTTAATATTGTATTGCCCACCATGTTTGACTTGACTTTATTCAAAATTGAAGAATAGAAATAAGTTATTTGAAAGTTGCTATATTTGATAAATTCTACCATTTAAGTGTTTTTTTAGTGGCCTTGGTCCTTATGGCCCTCAAATTTTTAACCAATTTTACATATGAGTATATATAAAACTATTTTTTGACACAGTTGCAATTACTACAAACTATAAATTAAAAAAAGTTTAAAATTTTGACAAATTACATGAACTATCAAGCTTTTTGACTATCAGAGTTTCAAGATTTAGGGGTCAGACCTTAAAATATGATTAATCAATATCTAGAACTTACCAAAAAATGGACTAGATTCACGTTTTAGAATTACATACAGATTTCCTTAAAAATAATATTCAGATTAAACTTACGGTTGTGGCTAATGCAATTATTTTGAGTTTGTGGTGCAGTGAAAGTACTGCAAGCAATATCAGATAAAGTACAGAACTTGAATTGGAGGGTGACAGAACGTTCTTGCACAGAGGATGGAGGGTTTAATGGCAAGATTAACATAAACGATGACATAGTGAGAAATGTCACATGCAATTGCAACTTCCAAAATAAGACAGTTTGTCATGTTGACAACATGTAAGTATTTCTCTAGGTACTTTATAAAGTAAACCTACTTTTTTTAAAGTTGCTATGCATTTGAGTGTATAATGTAATTATTTATTAATTTAATTGTTAACAATTTAAAGAAAAAATCATTGAAATTACTAAATTCAGAAACCTATAAAAGATAAAAGTGAAATAGTATCTAAGTAATTTATAAGATTAGAACACTGAAATGGTCCTTTAAAAATTTATTTCATTAATTATTATTATTATTATACTAATTTGTTTATAATTATTATTTATTTATTATAATTATTATTAAAGTTTGTTAATAATAATAATAATAATAATAAAATATTTAAGATATACAAATATAGATATGATAAGTTGAAATCGATTGGGGGTCAACATTTCCTAACATTCACAATTTTCATGATTTTATATTAATTAAATTCAATGAATGTTATTTTTTTAATTAATCTATTTGTTTTTTTTTATGGGATACTAAAACCATTGTTTATCTATGTCAGCTTTCTCAAGGGTCAAAACATATCTGGAGTTTTTCCCAGTGAATTTGGAAATCTCACCCAACTGAAAGTGCTGTAAGTGACTGTAAATATTATTTGTTTATCTCTTCTTATGTTTGGTCATAAATGTTATCACTTTCAGACAATGTTGTTGATTACATCTTGGTAACACATTTGTTGTCGCTTCTGCTTGCAATTGTTCTCATTTTTGTTAGTCTACCAGTTTTCATGGGAGATTAATCCTTATTACACTGATGAATTCTCACAAAGAAAAGTTGTTTTTTTTTAACTTTCTGTGCTAACTCATAACTGAAAATATATATTTGTAATAACTATGTATAGTTATGGCATTATTTTAGATTACATGTTATACTTGTTTATGTGAATGCCAATAATTATTATTGGAACTTCTATGTCTTATGCAGTGATCTTTCACGCAATTATCTCAATGGCTCGCTTCCAACAAATTTTACTCCCTCACTGGTCAAATTGTTAGTCTTCTATACCCTTGATTTTGTGTTTATTGTTAATTCATGACTCTTTCTCCTGAAAAGTATAAGCAGTCTCAGAAACAATTTCTTTACTCAAACATTTTTGGAGGTCTAAGGCTCACTTGATTTTGCATAAGTGGCTTTCATTATTTTCGGTGGTTTCTTACTTAAAATTATCAATGTCCAAATGTTAATGTGGCTCAGGTTACTTCTGGGAAACCGACTAAGTGGTCCAATTCCTACAGAAATTGGTGATATTGTTAGTCTGGAGGAACTGTAAGTACTGGAGAATTTTGTTTTTTATATTGAAAAAGGGTTGATATTAGAGGTTGAATACTTGAATGATGATAATGGTATTCATGTTTATAGGGTCTTAGACGACAATCAACTTGAAGGACCACTCCCTTCTAGTCTTGGAAATTTGAGCAATTTGAAGAGACTGTAAGACTCTTCCATTCTAGTCATTTTCTTTTGATATATATAGTCAATTTTAATCATTCATTTTTCTGTATACACATTTTATTTATTTATTTTTTGCCAATTCATACAAATTTGCAGGCTTCTTTCTGCAAATAATTTTACAGGGACCATACCGGAAACATTTATCAAGCTTGAAAATCTGACTGATTTGTGAGTAACATAAACTGATACAAATGTTCCAACTCGTTTTTTATTTTGATATCTCTGTTAAATCCTAAAATCTTTCCTTGCATTTTCTGCAGTAGGATAGATGGAAGCAGTTTATCCGGATCAATACCCAGTTTCATTGGGAACTGGACCAAACTTGACAGACTGTGAGTACACATTTAGAACAATCCATTACTATATTCTTCTTAGCTAGGAAAACAAATTTGATCTTCTATTCATGCTTTGTGGAAGATTAAGATGTGTTACATTGGTATAATTTAGTTATAGTTGATATTCTCATCAATATTCATGATATAAAAGTTTTAAAAAACGAAAAGTAAAAACTGTGTATAAGAAATTGATGCCACATGAGACAGTTGTCTTTTGATTCCTTGTTTAATTTTTTTTCTATTTTCTAATTAAATTTTTTGTTTTTGCTAGGGATTTGCAGGGAACAAATATGGAAGGCCCAATTCCTCCCACTATATCTCAGTTGAAACTTTTGACTGAGTTGTGAGTACTTGCTTCTTTCTGGAATATTCCTGAATTGGGGCATTTTATGTCTGTATATTGTGGCATGATTGTGGAACATCAAAATTTCCTTTTCACTGATGAACATTCTGCATCAGGAGAATAACAGATTTGCATGGACCAACTATGAATTTTCCTAATCTGGAGGATTTGAAAAACTTGGAGCGACTGTGAGTTCAGACATTTCAACTACTTATGTTAAGAACTATTACATTCTTTTGGGCTTTCAACCAAGGGGTGCATTTCTGTGACTCAGGGAATTAAGAAATTGCTTAATCACGGGTCTTATTCCAGAATACATCGGTCAAATGGCAAACTTGGTTACTTTGTAAGTTACATCAATAGGGTATTCAGCCCAAGCTTCTTTTTAGCACCATTGTCAATCATTAATGTTTTCTCCTCATTTTGGCAGTCCAACTTAAAATTATTTGTTAATAGTTCTAAATCTTTGAAGAGGCATTCCATTTTGTGCTGTTAATCTCTTGTTTATATCTTGCCCCAATTAGTTTCAAAGGGTTACTTTCATTAGAAAATGTTTTAAGTATTACTTACATACAAAGATTGTTAAATCATTTCCAAGTGAACTAATTCTCTTGGCTGTCTTTGTCACTCATTTTTATATCCTCATCTTTGGGTGCTTGTGATAATGCTTTTCAAGTTCTTTCTTAGGGTGATTTGGATTTTTTTTTTTTTGCATGACCATGGTGTGTGATACACACATGAATAATAAGTTGATACTAATCCTTTTGGTAAGATTAGTTTCTGGAACATAATATCCATAAAATATTGTTATTTTGTGTGTATGTGTTGCAGAGACCTAAGCTTCAACATGTTAACTGGTCCAGTCCCAGATTCAATACAGCATTTGGATAAGCTAGACTTTTTGTAAGTGAAGATTCCATTTCTTGACCAGAAGATTAGACAAAATAGATATCATATCCATCTATCTACTATATATACTCAGCTAGTACTTTAATATCTGGAAAACTGATTGCTTTTTATTTATTTATTTAATGCAGGTTACTGACAAATAATTCTCTGAGCGGATCAATTCAGGACTGGATACTGAGCTTCAAACATAATATGTGAGCATATTTTCATTATTTTGCTGTCTCGAATTGCATAATCTAAAAGTCTTACAGAATTACACCGTATACTATATTATAGATACAATGATACAAGAATTACCATATGTCCACTTTCAGAGATTTATCTTACAACAATTTTACAAAGTCTTCTGCATCTAGCTGTCAGCACTCGGCTGTGTAAGGTTCCCTTTGTCTAGCAATATATAACCATTTCTTTCAATTATGTCAATACTAACCTTTTACTATTGCTGATCAGGAACTTGGCTTCAAGCCATTCTTCTTCAGTAGTAACTTCGGCTTCGTAAGTTTTTTTTTTTTTTTCTTATTTTCCACTTGGTTTATCACCATTCTACCATATCTATTGAAACTAACTATATTCATTTTGTAGAACTTTTTGTCTGAAGAGGAACCTTCCTTGTGCAGGAAAACCCCAGTGTGAGTGTTGGGACTTAGTTAAAAAAATGTTTGGCTTACTATTGTTATTTTTTGAATTTGGTCCTTTTTTTTTTGTGAATTGCAATTTTAAATCATCTTTTAACTTATTATCCAATATTTAATAGAAATACTGAGATGCCAATGCACTAAAATCAAGTCAGCATCGATGTGCTAACTTACCAATGCAATCAAGTGCAGCATTAACATTTCTTGTTAAATACTCATTGTCAAAATATTGGGTGAACCAAAATTGCACAATTAAAATAGTGTAAGATCAAATTGGCCAAAAAAATGGCGGACCAAATTCAAGAAATGACGATGATAAGGGAACTAAAAGTGCAATTAAGCTAAAATGTTTCCATACACCACAATAATTTTGTGAATAAAACTGTTTGATTTCTGTTAGGAGTAAGTTCAGAGATTTTCACTACGTCTTTGCAGATAAGTCATTGTTCATAAACTGTGGAGGAGAGGAGGGGCAGTTTGAAGGCAATAACTATGTAGGTGACCTCGCTCGAGATGGCATTTCAAACTTTGATCTGAGAAATGGAGGACAATGGGCTTATAGCAGCACCGGAGTATATTTGGGAAATGACAAAGCAGATTACATAGCACAGAATACATTTTCTTTGAATATTAGTGGTCCAGATTATTACCAAAAGGCTCGCCTTTCCCCTCTGTCGCTTAACTACTATGGCCTTTGTATGCCAAAGGGCAGCTATAAAGTGAAGCTCCATTTTGCTGAGATAATGTATTCTGATGATCAAACTTTTAGCAGTCTTGGAAGGCGCATATTTGATGTTTCAGTTCAAGTGAGTGCTGAAGCAAAATATTTCGTTACTTTGTTTTGGTCTTTTCTAACTGTTTTATCATATATATCCTATCTGGTATTTGAATAAAATAGAAGTTCTGAACTGAAGGTAGAAATTTTCAATATCGCATCTTCACAGGGTTTTAGATATTTGAAAGACTTTAACATTGCTGAAGAGGCCGGTGGTGTTGGAAAGGGCATCACCAAGGAATTTAATGTTGATGTTGAAGATAGTACCTTGGAAATCCACTTATACTGGGCAGGGAAAGGAACTACTGCCATTCCTGATAGAGGTGTATATGGACCTCTTATATCTGCTATTGAGATGATACCAAGTAAGTTTTTTTCTTATTTTTAACTATTCTTCCAACTATCATGTTATGTCATGTTCTGTAAGCATTTCTTTGTTGTAGACTTTGAGAATCCTTCAAAAGGGTTGTCTGCTGGAGTCATTGTTGGAATTGTTGCTGGATCATGTGGGCTTGTCATTTTCATACTGGTTGTCCTTTGGAAGATGGGTCTTCTTTGTAGGAAAGATACAACAGATAAAGGTAAGACTCAGGCCAAAATAAAAATTCCTAGTTGCTGGTCTTATAAATTACCTTTTGTTAATAAAAGAATATTTACAGTGTATAATATATCCATATATATTAATTTGATACATTAAATTTGCAGTAAAGATCCCAAAAAAATGAGGAATATAGAAAATGTAGATTAAGGTTTATTATTGTAGCAAATTTTGCATTCTATTTTCCTGTTTTTGTGCCTATCTTTTCATTTTTTAATTCCTTGTTGCAGAACTTCTAGATATGAAAACCGGCTATTTCAGCTTACGACAAATTAAAGCAGCTACTGATAACTTTGACCATGCAAATAAGATAGGTGAAGGAGGATTTGGACCTGTATACAAGGTAACTACATAATCATCTGATATAATCAGTATATGATCTCAAAACATGGAAACATGATACTGATGGCATGATTTAATCATAGGGTGTCCTGTCAGATGGTGATGTGATTGCTGTTAAGCAGCTCTCCTCCAAATCAAAGCAGGGGAACCGTGAATTTGTCAATGAAATTGGAATGATATCTGCTTTGCAGCATCCAAATCTGGTGAAGCTATATGGCTGTTGCATTGAAGGAAACCAGTTGCTACTAGTATATGAATACATGGAGAACAACAGTCTAGCTCGTGCACTTTTTGGTAAATGCCATACTGGGAAACTTATACCGTGAGTTTGTGTGTGTTTCTCTTCAAAATTAATATATAAATAAATAAAAACTTCTTTCCTTCCCCCCAATTCTGGTAGGTGAAAAAGAACCGAAGCTGCACTTAGACTGGCCTACAAGAATGAAGATCTGTGTGGGGATAGCAAGGGGATTGGCTTATCTTCATGAGGAATCAAGGTTGAAAATAGTACACAGGGACATTAAGGCAACCAATGTCTTACTTGACAAGGATCTGAATGCCAAGATCTCTGACTTTGGTTTAGCTAAGCTTGATGAAGAAGAAAATACTCATATCAGTACACGTATAGCTGGAACAATGTTAGTACTGCGCCACATCCATTAGCGTTATCCATGATTAAGATCAAAATTAGATTATATTTTATTAGTAGCATAATCAATCCAGAGCCCAAGACTTGGTTCATAATTAGTTCATATTTCACTATTAATTTTATTAGCATAAACAATTGGTTTGCACTTCTGTCCACAATTTGTTCTCCTGCATGAAGTTATTATCAATTAAATAATCCTAGGAAAACTTATGTTTCATTGTTTTGTGAAATCACTGACTATTGGTTACTACATGTCTTAACAGTGGTTACATGGCTCCAGAATATGCTATGAGGGGTTACTTGACTGATAAAGCAGATGTATATAGCTTTGGAGTTGTAGCTTTAGAGATTGTTAGTGGAAAAAGCAACACAAAATACAGGCCAAAGGAAGAGTTTGTATATCTTCTAGATTGGGTAAGTTGAAACCAGAAGCAGTATGAGGGAGCATTTTGATTCAATATTATTTATCAAATTGAAGGATAAATTACCCTTTGCTCTTCTCTTATTTCCTCTACAATTATGGTTGGCTAATATCTATTTGCTGCATAGGCTTATGTTCTCCAAGAGCAAGGAAACCTTCTGGAATTGGTGGATCCAAGTCTTGGTTCAAAGCACTCTCCAGAGGAAGCCATGAGAATGCTGAGCTTGGCACTCTTATGCACCAATCCATCTCCCACTCTTAGACCAACCATGTCTTCTGTGGTGAGCATGCTTGAAGGAAAAATTCCAATCCAAGCACCGATAATCAAGCGCAGTGAGAGCAACCAAGATATAAGATTTAAAGCCTTTGAGTTGCTATCACAAGACAGCCAAACTCTTGTTTCATCTGCACACTCAGAAGAAAGTATGAAGCAACGACACAAATCAGAAGATGGACCATGGATTGATTCCTCCATATCTCTTCCAAGTGGAGATGATTATGCTTCAAGCAGCAAACTAATTTAAGATTCAGATGACGGGCGAATTTGTTAAAACCTTCTCTAGAGGACTACTCGAATTAATTTCCAGTTCATTTTTGAAGGAGAAAACCTGAAAGCACGGAGTGATACATAGCATCCACAGTACATTCATCCAATCTCATACTCTTAAAACACATTTCAAAACATTTTTTTACCACTGGGTAAACTGTCAAAAATTGCAAAACTATGCGAGACTAGTTACAAGGAGAGGTGAATCCACATGATTTTGTCAAAAGCGTGTTAGAGACTGTGTTAAGGATTAAGTTGCCAGTATTTTTCTGCATAATTTCAGTTTCTACGTTTTAAAGCTCCAATAATAAAGCATGAACATGATACCAACTGCAAAAAGATAAGATCTAGTCAAATATATTAAATGACAATTAATGCGAAAACTTTGAAACCGATGACAACTTGTACAAATTCTAATTTTTGAAAGAACAATGATAACTCCATTGCACTTTGTTTGAACCTTATATTCATGAGTTCTTTCATTGAATTTTCTCCAACCTTTTTTTTATCTGGTTTCTATTTATAATTTTCTTTAATTTGATAAAAATATCCTAATTCATAAATCATGTTAGAAACAATTAATTTGTATATTCGAGAAGAATATTGGACAACGTTGAAACATGTCGTTGGTTGACCCTTCTCACTTTTACAAAGTAAATGTACGGCATGGTACTCTCTTTTTTTTTTTTTTTTTAAATACTTGTGCTTTAACGGTAAGATGCACATCAAAAGATAAATATTAATTTTTATTAATTTTAATAATTTTTTATTTTATTATTATTATTATTTTATTTTAATATTTTTTCTTTATTTAAAACCATTCTTAATAATTATTATATTTTTTGTTTACAATAAATAAATTAAACAAATTAAGGTATAACTGGAAAAAAAAGTGACTAATGTAATTTTAAATTTTAAGAATCACACATAATTAAAAATATTTTTTTTCTCAAAAAAACTAATATCTATTTAAAAACAGAAAGAATATAAAGTAGATATTTTTTTAAGGATAACTTTAAGCTTAAAATTACTTAGTATAATTATTTAAAATAACAATTATGTATTTGAGATAAATCATTACGTATATTTGTCAATATGTTGGATTATATCTAATTAGTGTCGAAAATTCGTTATTTAAAATATGTTTCATAAATCGATTTTTTTTCAAATATTGATGAAAATAATAATTTTCATTATATAAATTTTTCTGTTGTATATAAAATTTCTTATTTAGTTTGAATTTTATTATTATGAAACTCTTAAATATATTGTATTTATTAAATGTAATATAATTAATTAATAGAGTTTTCAATAGAGTTATGTTATTTACTATATATAAGAAACAATCAGTTATATTTATTTATTTATTATATTATTTAATAAACAATTAATATTATATTACATCATTAATTATATTATGTTTAAAAAATAATATATTTATTAAATACTGTATTAGTTTAATAGTTTTTTGGTGTTATTATTTCTCAAGTTTTTGTTCAAATTTATGTTATTATTATTATTCACAATGTGAATTTGGTTCTATTTTTTTAATTGAATTAATGTATATAGTATGTGTTTGAGATGTGATTATAAATATATCTGAGGAGCAGAATTGCTCATACACATTAACAACTTAAATTTGTTAATTAATGACTTGAATTACTAACATTAACACATATTAAAATTGTATTAAATTACTAAAATAATAAGATAAAATCGAAAAGAAAATTAAAAAATAGAAAGAAAAAAATAATTATCTAACTTTAATTTTTTTTTAATCATGTTAGTGAAAATATCATTTATTAGATTAAAAAAATTATCAAATTTCAATGTTTAACTTATAATTTACAATTTGAGATAAATTTCTTACAAAAACTCAGCTATTCCATTAAAATTTGAAAACAAATTTAGATTATTTTGCACTTGTATTCATAAATGTCTAAAAATTTCATTATGCACATGAAAACTTCAAACATTAAGATTCCTTATCAATGTTAAACAATGAAGATACAATTATGTAATATTGCATAAGCTTACCTCACCTATGTTTCAAAAAGTTTTAATTCTATGCATATTAATGTTCATGTTTCTTCGTTCCATCATTCACTCTCAAAAATATTAATGGTCTTCCTTCTTATCATCTTTTGCTTGTTGCTCTTCTCTGTCATCTTCATCCTCTTCTTCCTCTTCAATGGCTTTGGTAGCTTCCTTAAGGATAAGCTTCAAAAGTCTCTCATACATTTCAATGGCAGATTCCAACATGTCAATGGCCTTTTTCTTATCTTGCACCACCACATCCTTGATCTCCCCAAGCTCTGTGATTTGCTTTAGAGTCTTAATCATCTCTTGGTCACATAAACCAGAAGAAGTGAATAACCCATTACCTTCCCCAACTGCAACATTATTTCTCTTTCCAACTCCAAATCCACCAATATTTCCCTTCATCACAATCATATCACTAATGTTTATCAATTCATCCCCAAAAACCAATATGACTTCTCCTTTCTTCACATTCCACATCCACACACTCCCATTTTCTGCAGCAGACACCAAATTCCTCTCTTCATTCACCAAAACCAATGACACAATTGACCCACTATGACCCTGAGGCCAGGTGCTCACCTCACAGACCTTATTTGGTAATTTTCTACTCTCAACCTTCACCAACCCATGATAAACAAACCCATCTGAACCAGCAGCGTAAAATGCTGACCCTGTAGAATCCAAGACAACCCCAAAAATAGAACATGGGAATGTCACAGTCCTCATGAGAATCCCACAATTTCCCAGATTCCAAAACTTGCATGTGCCGTCCAATGAGCAAGAAACCAAAGTACCCATCACAGACTTCAAAGCAGTCACAGAATCAGAATGTGCCTTCCATTTGTGCAAGATCAAGTCATCCATGTCCTCCTCCTCGGATGAAACCCCAACAACAACCATCTTAAAGGTAGGGACAACAACAATTGTGCCATCTTCACTGCCTGAAATAACAAGTGACCCATCATCGCTCAAATGAAGACTAGAAACTGGACTTGAGTGTGCAGCGACTGATCTAATCACATCCCCAGAAGAACCTGAAAGGGATAAAACTCTCCCTGAGATTCCACCACCAAAGAGAAATGTACCATCAGATGTAGCAACGATGGGGGCAACGGCTTCAGGCAAAGGAAAGTTCCTAAACACAGTAGACCCGTGCCAATTGTAGACATTGATGGAGCCTGCACCAGTGTCTGAGGATACGTGTGAGACTGCCAACAATCTCCGACCCGCCATGGTCAGCCCACGGCAAGGAGATCGGCTGCCGGAGAACCGGGTCACGGCGGTGCGGTTGACCGTGTCATAGACCATGATGGGGCCGTCGGGTGAGCTAGTGAGGATGAGTTCATGGGAGGAAAACGACATTTTTCTATCCGAGAAAGGGATAGATAAGTTGTGAAGGGTACGAGGAGGAGGAAACAAGAACAGTGTGTATGTATATACAATTACTAACGTTTAGTTTTATTCTATTCCACTGTTAAAAACTCATGTTAATTATAAAACTCTGTCTTAATTACTATGTTCAAGATTTGCTACCAACAATTTTTATTAAAATAGTAAAAATTGTTAAAAATCAAGTTGAATAAAAATTTAAAATCTCTTTTACTAGGTATCTATATGAAGATTGTTACTTTTATTATGTTATTGACTAATTTTAAAACTTCACATGTTAAACTTTCATTATTAAAAATTAAAGTGGATGAAACATGTGAAATTTTCAATAAGAAAGACTCACCTCAATGAATTTTCTTTCTTCAAATCTTTGATGGGTTGGTCCTAAATATATTTTAAAAAATATTTTAAATTATTTAAAATAATCATTATTGACATGACTAAAGATACAAAATTTTAAAATATGTAAAATCCTATTGATATTTTTACTCTTCTAGAGATGTTAAACAGAATAGAAGCACAAAAGTGAAATTATAAAAATTATGGAGGTGTAAGAAGAAAAACACTGGGTTCAAGAGAAAAATAAAAAGGCCCATATATATTGAATCAACTCAAAAGTTATATTAGAAGAACTAAAAAATTCTTGAGATATTAAAATCACACAAAGAATTAAAAAAATAAATAAATACTACCAAATATAGTATTCATTTTAAAAATTATTTTTATATACTTAATTATTCTTTCAATTAAAAATACTTATGATAGAAAAAGTACGAAAATGATTTTTTTTTTAAATTACTGTTTTTAATAATTTTTGAAAAATTGAATAAAATAGATAAGTTTTACTTATAAAATACGATCTTATAAAAAGGAAATCATACTTTAATTTTGTTATATTAAAATTATATTTTAAAGTACTATTATATATATATATATATATATTATAAAAATTGTGATTTGAAGTGCAATTTTATTTTTTAAATATTATTGTTTATTAATATTTTAATAAAAATTAAAAATAATTATAATATTAAAAAAATATTTTAAAAACTAAACTTAAAATGATAAAATCAATAAAAACACAATTTAATATGAATGAAGAAAAATTATATTTATAAGATTTTTATAAGTTGACATTTCAAATACTATTTATTATAACTTTTTAAAAGTTATTTAAATCCATAATTTAGAAACACAATTATCATTATGCTGTTTTTTTTTATTTCATATTTAAGTTGATCATCTATATTATAATATCCCATTTATTATAGTTTATCACTTTGTGGTATTTGCATAAATTTCTTCAATGATTTTATTTAGTTGTTATTCAATGGACTTCCATTATTTGCTTAGTTTAACTATGTTTCTAATATGTATTTTAATGTGACACCAAACTTTTTGCACATGATTAACTTGTTCGAAAGGAGAGTGATATTTTTTTTTTCACATCCAGAGTTAAGGAGTTACTCCACATAGTATTCATCATCTTTTAAGATTGTTATATATGAAAAAAATTACTCCATTTACTATTTTTTTTTTTCTTCTTGATTTCCACAACAACCCTACAACCGGTCCTACACAGCTTTAATTTCACACATAGATTCTCTTTCTATTCCCAACTGTCTAATTTAGTTTTCAATGATGATGGCGATCACAGAAATGGCGTGAGAAGCCTTTATTAATCTTTGAACGGTGAGCCACAAGGGTTTATTGGGGTCCAAATTTCAACAATTCCACTGTCGGTGGACCTCATATGAAGCTTGCCAACATGGCAACATGATCTTGAATGTTTCATACTTTTATTATTCCACATTAATTATCAAATATATTCCACAAAACAAACTAGGTTCCTCTTCAGTTCACTTGGTCACACTCAAAGTAGAAAAAGAAAAACAAAACTCATGGAAGCTTTGTGGGATTTGGAAGACAAACTGAAGGTTTCAACACTAGGTGCTGTTCTTCTACTTGCATGTGCAAGCTTTGCTCTTGTGTGTCTTTGCATTGTGGTTATACTCAGAAGGAAGGTCATGAACAATAAGATTGTGCACCAAGAGGGTGTTTTAGATGATGAGAATGAAAATGATGGCACAACTACTAATACTAATACTATTGTTACTGTTACTGCTACCCCTACAGAATGGTCAGAACCAAGTTGTGTAGGGTGGATTTCAGTGAAGAGGGTCTTGATGGGGTCAATGTTGTGGAGCAAGGCAAGCAAATTGGAGGAGAACATTGCATGGCAGAGAGAAAGGGGATCTCCATTACTTGGCTTACAAAGGCAGGGTCTTGAAAGTGGGTGGCAAAGCCATAACTCTGAATCTCCAGTGTGGCAAAGACCAATACTAAGAGGGGAGAAGTGTGAGTTGCCAAGGTTTAGTGGTCTCATTCTCTATGACGAAAAAGGAAGACTTCTTCGAGATTCTTCAGAGAATGAAACTCACCATTTCATGGAAATTTCACAACAGGTAATTTTTAAATGTAAATGGATGACTCTTTTCACACTCATTAGTTTTGAGAGTAACATGGTGAATTTGGATAACAATGACACAGTGACTCTTTGGTACCTAGACAGTATAATGAGTGCTTGCATGATATTTATGTCCATTTCTTTAGTAACTACCATTAGGAACTCTGACTCCGTGGAGGAACCCCAAGATATTCTTACAAGTTTAGGTCTCATGAGAGTGATCTTCATTCTGAAGCTTAATCACACTTAAAATGCTTTGTCACTCAAGGATATGTTTAATGAGAATCAAACTCAAATATCTCCTACACCCTCAACATGTGTTTTCAACTGAATAGTACCATTAAGTTCTTTATGTTCATTTTGAATGAATGCATAAATGTACAGCAAAAAAATTTGAATTTTGTTTCCATAATCCCATCCCAACTTCTTGTTAGTCTATAGGATGCAACAGTATCAAGAAACCGAATCAAAGAAATGTCACTGTTTCAGATTCAGCCAACATTTTGGTTGCATTTGTTTATTTCTAATTTTTATTCTGTTTGATGCAGGAAGTACGAAATGTTACTGTGAGGACTACTCTAAGAGATTTACTTTAGAACTTGCTGATACAGGGTTTTTCTATCTCTTGTAAGCTGTATCAGACAGACAATGACGTTTCACAGTAATGACATGGTGTTATGAGTTCAAATACATAATTATCATTTCGTTAAATTGCAGTTTTTTCCCTTTTTCCTAGAATTCAGTGATGCATTTTCCATTTCAATATCAATAGTTTCCAAAGTGTATGACTTATGACTACCTTCTCTTTTCTTTAATTTTTAAATGACGCATTAGGGAGCTGCAGTAACAAAAGCAAAAAATTAAAAAGAAAGTAAAGGAAGTTTTTTACTATATCTGAAACGGGAAAACTAACACGAAAATGATGAATCTAGCTTAACTGACAATTTATCAGGTAAAAGACCATTTACATGTTTTTGAAGATGCCAATTTTTAACTCTATTCTTTTATGGTTCTTTTATTCACCTTCTAAAAATATTTTGACTACATAGTTCATGCTCCTCACATGCAATTTTGCTATAATTTTTCATTAGCTTTGCATTAAGATAAAGTTCTACAATAATCTTCCTGCAACAAGAGGTTGCTTATTAGACCACCAAGTACCGAGCCCCCTCAGATATAGAATGGGGAAAAAGTAGCTAAAAGGGATATCAAGGGTACTATAATTGAGGAATAGATAACTCTGCTAATCAATAATTCAAAAGCATGTAAACTGTTAATAGCAGCACTCAAAAAAACTTTATAGAGTCTTACATCTGAAAGGTAAGTCTTTTTTAACTTATATTGAATATGGATAAAATTAATATTATGATCAGAACAGAACAGAAGAGATTGAATAACCTTTAGAGTTTTCATTGGTACTACGTTTCGCTTTAAGGTGTATGAAGGTGGAAATTAACATCATCCTCTCATTTCAGTAAAAGCATTCATTCTCATATTGCAACAATAAAAAGATGACAAAAGACAATACCAGAAATGGAATTAAAATATTCTGAAAAGTTTCAATTCAAACATCTCTATGAATTGCATGCAAGAGCTTCAGAATCAAAACCATAAAATTCACTCACTCAACTTATGGAAAACATTTCGTACACAATTCATTTCAGAGAACCACCTCACTGATGTCAAAACCATAAATCTTTAACCACTTACTGTGCATTTGATTTGCGTATGCCTCCACTTTGCTAGCACTCAGCAGCATGGATCATTCATACGACACTATCAGGGGTTCTCTGCAGTTTTCGATGGATGACCTCTTGTAATAGAAATATAATATCAATTGCATCATTCCTAAAACAGTTCCTATCCCATTTGGTGCCTACAAAATCAAACAATGACAGGTTTATTTCATATAAAAGCTAACAAAAAAAAAGGACTTGAAACTAAGATGAGTACCTCTAGAAGAAAGGAGCTGAACGAAAACTCACATAAATGAAGGCATCATCACTAAGAAATCCATAAAGAAAGAAGGATATGCTCATCAGGAAGGTGGAAAGTGAAAGATAAAACGGCATAAACTCTACACTTTTTGTCCGAATGACCAATTTCTGTGAAGTTATATAGACAAAAGATGTAAAAAAATTCACCAAGCTAACAGATGCAGAAACTGATAAATGGATGGGTGTCTAGGAGATGAAAAGCATACAATTATAAACAATGGAGAAGCGAACATTGAAATGAGAGAAGCACTACTCAAGAATCCCACAAACATCTGGCGCATTGCACTGTCATGAATTTGCAAGCTTCCAACTAGTATGATCACAAATATGCTCAAAACTGCTAACAGTAATCCAAGCATTCTCACCTATCAAATGACAGTTTATAGTACATAACAGCTTAACATAAACCATTTTTTTTTTTTATCATTCATGACATTCCAATAGTTATTCAAAAGATTAACCTTTCTTGCGTTCTCAGCATATATCAAGAAGAGGATTATGTACACAAGCTGAAAGGCTGCCCCAATTGTGTTAACAGTTGTCACCAACAGATTATCAGGTGATATAAGAGGTGTGCCATACCACAAGCAGATGAAGCAGTTCATGAGAGAATAAATATATGGCAACCCTGAGAACATTTCTGTTGACTCATTTCTGATGATTCTTCTAAATGTAGGTCTAGAGTTCAGAACAGAACAAGAGTTATTACCTATGAAAATATAAACAACAAAATCTTCTCAGCTCAATTATTGTAAAAAATTTTCACTTCAAGAAACTTACATGGGGGATAAAAACAACCCAAAAGCAAAGATGTTCCCTGCAATTCAAAAAATGTATATCGTGATCAAGACAAAGATAGGTAGACTTTTAATATCCAGAATATTGAATTTGTAAATATGGGTTTTTTCCTTCATCAACTAAAAATCCCAAAACAGTAAAGTCATTTTTTTTTTTTTTGGTTTTAAATCTTTGTAACCAGAATAAATCACCTCAGAAACTGAAAAAGAAAGAATACCAGCAACTCCAGCTGCATCCTTGCCAACCTCACAGAGGGAATAAGCACCAAACAGAGACATAGCTCTTCAATAGTCAAATCCAACTTTAACCGAAACAAACTAAACCCTCAGTTTCAAGCTACAAGAAGAAATTAATGGATAATGAAATTCGAGACATGCTTGTCCTCTCCCTTTGTCCTCTAGTAAAGATCACCCACGTTTGCTCGAACACTTCTCTATCTCTTCCTAAATCTAATGATTGCGGTTGGTCAGTGTCAATAATGTCTTCTCAAAACACCCTGGCATGCTTAACCCTTCACGTCTTGTTCCTAATCAAAATGGTCCATACTGTGAAAGATAGTTGCATTTGCTTATGTGTATGTTAATGTCTCCACAATTTTTTATAGGATGGATAACAAAAAAGGACAAACCATTTATCATATGATCATGTGTTTCCACCATTAAACTCTAACATGTTGAGTGGAATAAAGAAATTGAATTAAATGCATATAAAGTACTTTTAGCCATATAGAAATTTTATACATTTTATTTTACTTTTGAATAATGTGATCTTGTCCTATTATCCAATGTTAAAGTTTTATAAAAACTTATAATGAGCATTTTAATTATTGCACAGTTTATTTCTCTCCAAAATTGGTATTCTAAATATATGATTGTAAATAATAAAAACAAAAAATATTCTTAATATTATCCATTTTAATTAGATTTTTTTTATAAACTTTGAGTCTTAAATTCAAAATATATGAATTAAAAACATTCTAAAAGTCTATTCAGATACCCGTGATAAAAAAAATGAGACAATAAAAAATTGTTATAAATTATATAAAAAAGGTAAAACAAAAATATTTATTATTAATTATTTTTTTATTTGTTTACATGTTAAAGTTGATATTTAAAAAGATAAATTTAACCATTTTATTATGATTTGTTTTGTCATCATATACGGATGTGAACAAGACATGAAAAACTCTAACTAGTTTTTTTTAAGCATTATTTTATTAATATTTTCAAACTAAATATATAAAATTAAATACTCTTTATATTTCAAAGTGTTAAATTTATGTTTATTTAATAATTTTTATAAAATATTTCAAATATGCAACATTTTTTATAAATATTATAAAAATATATAGTAATGCATATATTATATAAAAAAAAGTGTAACTTATTTCTAACACAATAAATAAATAAAATATTATTTTTGTCTTACACTAATCAATTTTAGTACAAAAATAAAAATATTTTTATATTTTAGTATAAACAGTTAATCCTTACAAATATAAAGGTATTTCATAAAATATATTAATTTAATTATTATTTTAATCTGTATTTGATTTGATATAATATTAATAAATTATTCAATTAAAGTTATTTATTTAAAAAAATAACCGTTTTTTATTTAATTTGAAATAATTATAATAAATAAATGTTGACGATTTGAATTTATATATAATATAATTTAAAATTATTATAATTTTGAATTAATAAAAATATATTATATTTTTTAAACTAAAAATTTTAATTCAATTTTCCAAGAGTTATATAATTAGAAATTTTAGTTGATACACTAATGATATAATTCCAACTTTTTAAATACTACACTCATGCTTAATGTTTCAAATTGGTTTAAAAATCAGTTTTAAAATCTATATATTATTTATAAATAATTAGATTTTAACTAAAATATATAAAATTAAAAAAAAAAAAAAAAAAAAAAACACAGACTGAATTTTTGAGTTAAATTAGTTTTGTTAGAAGGAAAAAAATTAGATTAAAATATTTTTACTTTTTTAAAATATATTTTTTTATACTTTTTTATTTAATATCAGTCATATATATATTAAATAATATTTATTTATTATATTTGTATCTTATATTTTTTATATTTTGTTATAATAATTTTTTATTTTATAAATTATTATATATTTATTATATTATTATATAATAATAAATTATTTTATTAAATTTTGTAGAACCCGAAATTTTTAATTTTACCAATTCAATTTTAAAATATTAATTTTTAATAATAAAATATGATTTTATTTTATTAAAGAAATTAATATTCCCTTTGTTGGTTCTGAAAATAGTTTATAATTTATGAGTGAGTTTAAGTTGTTTTGTGGTCCACCCATTAAAGAAACATAGGTATAGATTGTGCGAATATTCCATGTGATTAGGAAAAACATCCTCCTACATACATAACTCATGAATTAATATTATAATAATTAAGGGGTTTATTTGCCAAATTAAAATATAGTATTCTCCAAGTTCAGGGGTTTATTTCAAATAAAAAATTGAAGAATTAATGTCATCTAATTAAAGATAAGTACTATTTTTTTATAACAAAACATCTTTTACGAAATAATGACCTATAATAAGATTTAGAAGATTTTTTATCTCTTCAAATATAATAAATTTAGTTTTCTTTTTGAAATTTTTGGTTTTGAGGTACAAAATATATATATATATATATATATATATATATATATATATATGATCTTGCATTTATTTAATTCTTTTAACTATATTTTGAATATCATTAATTTCATTTATAAAATTTATTTAGTCTGATTAATGTAGTTTTTCGTAAAATAGGTTTTCAAAATTTTTCTTGTTGATAGACCAGCCATGTGAGTACAATTATAAAAATCTTGAACTTAGTAAATATTGTTCTATTAAGTCATAAAAACAAACATAATAATGATATTATTTACTTACATTCACATCAAACATGCCATGAAAGAAAATGTAGTGTTCATAACACAAATATAATATATTTTTTTTAGACTTACATTATCATATTATAAGACAAATATGATTTGCTACTAAGTATACAAATACTCTTAAACTTGATATAAAATTATGAATAAAATAGGTTTTTATTTTATATTAATATATGAACAATGAAAAAATTTAATATATTCAATAATCCAACAAATAAAAAACAAATAGTTAACCTAAGTCTAATTTTTTCTCTTTTTTTTTTATATAACTAACAAAACACTTAACATTAGTGTTAAAATCACTTAAATTGTTCAGTTTTACCTTCATTTACTGACATTAACAAGAAAGAGGTCATTGTATAACTCCATATATTTTATATTGTAAGATACCCTCTATTACTATATAATTATACCCATTTAATTATTTTATAAAATGTTTTATATTTTTTAATATATTTTTAAGAGAATTCACTTATTTATTTATTTATTCATACCGAATATTAAGAGAGTTTTTTTAAAGTATTTTTTCTTTATTTTTATTTATTATAAGAGAATTTTTTTTAAGTAATTTCTCTTTATTTTTAATTACTTGGATCAGACATGTAGATTCAATCAGTCTAACACCAAATAGTCAACAAATTAATATGTTATAACCGATTTTTATTAAATAGGAAGAAACTGATAAAATAAAATAAAATTGACTATTTTTTTATCAAATTAATTTTAATTAAAAAAATTAAGATTAACATTTTTTAAAAATATATTTTTATAAAAATATTATGTTTAATTTTTATTTATTTCATATTAGTTAAGTCAATTTTAAATAATAATTATTTTATCATATTTTATTTTATTTTACTAATTATTCATTTTATATTTTAATTTTTATTACAAATTACAATAATAATAATTTAGTTATTAATTTTTATAAAAAAATATTATTATTATTATTATTAAATTTATTATATTATAAAAATATTATTTTATTAAATTGAATTCATCTTTAAACCTTAAATTTATATCCTGAATCATTCCAACTTTTAAAACATTGCTCTAATACATTCCATTGAAAGGAACGATAAAATGTTTGGCAATCCCTAAAATCTAGATAACAAGACTTATATGTTCTTTAATAAATGTCTCTAAAAATCCAATTTTCATATTAGTTTAGGTTAGATTGTGAAAAAAAAAATAAAAAATCTAATTTCCAAGTTTAGGTCTTCTGAATTAAAAAAAAAATGTTAATCTCATTTATTTAAAAATGACATTTTCATCTCTAAATTATAATTTTCAACAATTATTTTCTTTTTCAAGTCTTTCCTACTCTACAATCTCTCAATATATATATATATATATATATATATATATATATATATATATATATATAAAATATTAATTTAAGGAAATTCACTCCGAATTTTATTAACTAGAGTCATAATCAAGCCAAAAATATATAACACTGACAATAAATATTTTACCTAGTTTAAAATTATTTCCACCAAAGAAAAAAGTGATAGCAACAATGCAATAACTTATCTGCATTATCCAAGAAGCCACTGAAGGAAGCCATTTAGGCAAAGAGATAGAGAGATAAAACAAGAGAATGGCGCTGCTGTGTGGTTCAACTTCTGTGACTCCCTTACTCTCCCACAAGAATGCTGTGGCAACCTCAACAAAATCTTCCTCTGTTGCCTTCCAATTTTCACTTCCAAATCTTACATTATCTTCTTCTGTTCGAACCCTTTTACCCCCAATTTCCCGTGTCCGTTGTCAACAGGACTCTACTACTACTGCCCCTCCCACGGAAGACCCGCGCTTCGCCTGCGTTGAGCCCGAACCCCGATTCAAAGGCCCGGTAAAATGCAACCCTTCTTCTTTTTTCAAACGGTTTATGCTATGAATGTGTGGTGTGTTTGGATTTGGAAGTGTTCGGATTTGTGTTTGAAGTCACAGATTTACATCAGTACTAGAAATTTATGCATTTGTTTTTCTTCTCTAATGCCTGGGAATGGCGAAATTGTTTAGACGAACTTCTCCATAATTGCCGAGAGAAGAATAAAATTGTTTTAACATTAGCTTATACACAGAGAAATTATTAGAGACAGTTTTTATAAATTAGTTTACATAAGTTAATTTTAATTGATGGAAAAGTTTTTTTTTTTTTTTTTGGTGTTTTTCATTTATAAAAAATAATTATGGGGAAGCTGTCCAAATATATCCTTAATCTTGCTACTGTGTTCACTGTTGCTTTAGTGCTTACATTTAATTAAATTGTAATTCATTTTATCTAAGTCACTAAATTTAATCAATCATCGTCATTTGGTCCTTTGGTCACTGAGCATAAGTTAATGCTGTCACATAAGTCATCTAAAATAAGTTATGGATTATAGTTGGGGATTTATTTATTTATTTATTTTCTTAATTTCCTTCATAGCAAGGGTTAAAGTGACATTCAATTACAATTTTAGGAACTAAATTGACCATTTTTTTGTGCATTTTTTTTTAAATTTTTATATTGTTTTTTAATCTTTACTTAAGTTTTTCCGTGTCTGAATGATGTTAAATTTAAGCGTCTGAATGCAATTTCTGTATGTGTTGCTTTCTTTGAAAGCTATAAACTTTATTGATGTGTTTTATGTTGAATGAATTTGAACTCCCCAACCAAAAAATACATTGCAGGACATTTGGAATAAGAGTTGGTATCCAAAAGCTGCAGATCATGTGAATACAGAGAAAACATGGTATGTTGTTGATGCTACAGATAAAGTTCTTGGAAGATTAGCATCAACCATTGCTATTCACATCCGAGGGAAAAACTTAGCAACCTATACACCCAGTGTGGACATGGGTGCATTTGTAATTGTGGTATGTATTTCTGTAAAGGCCATTGGTCATGTAGTTAAGATTAGTATTTCTGCTTTCTCCCTGTCTGTTTCTGAGTGGCAAGGGAAGAACTGTTTCAATTGTATAAACTGTTTGTTAATTTGTTAGAACAACAGAGTATTTATATAAAAGATCAGAGGGAAATAATAGAGGGGAGGTTTGGAATAGGAATTTGGGGCGGGAGAAAATGTAGTCTCTTGAATACTTGGGATTTCAGAAGGAGAAAGAGAGAGAGATACATTGGAGATTTCTGGAATTGACTGACAGTTGCTGTGGGTTTATTGCATTTAAATCTTTCTTTTAAGAATGGTAGATCTTCTAATTTGAATTTAAGCCTAACTCAATCACACAAATCTAACTTGTATGGTGAGATTTCCTATATATATACTATATTATGGCACAAAACAAAACTGATCTGAGACTTGGGTTTCTTGCAATAGTAGATAACAATGAACATGTATTATATGCTCCATAGATATCATATTTTATTAAGTTGCCGTTATAATTTTTACTCTTTCTGTAATGATGTCCTACATGACAGAACCTTCAATTAAATTTTACATTTTTTGTATATAGGTTATCAACTTAATCTGTAATTAATGTATTGTTTTGCGTCATATTTGGGAAATTCTTAATTAAGCTGTGCTAAATCTTTTTATGTTTGAATTCATTATTTTTGGATCAGTTATTATTCTTTTATTTAATCAGTTAATCGTCATTATGTAAATTTGAAGATAGGGATTTTTCTGCATTTAACTTTCCCTGTTTCGCCACATTGTAAACATTTTCTATGCAATATTGTAATTGAAGTTTGATTTGAATTATATAAACATGAGGACAAATTATGATCCAAGAACTGTTTTCAAATTTCCTTGATAAACAATTTTTCTAGAAGAAAAATAAAAATATATATTAAGGAATCAGGATCACCTTTCTGATAATATTCTAAACTAATGATAATATTACTGCTCAGGTTCTCACTTTTCACACGATTTTCTGTTTTAAACAGCCTGACCCTTCTGGATAAGGTTTGAGTTATAAAAATGTATTAGATTATATTTTCTTCTATTCCTATTGATGAGTGAAGGACTTGTGTTAATTACGTATAAAGTTATGTGATGCTATACCAAGGCTGAACCTGTTTGTTATTTAACTTGGGGATCTAAAGGTAAATGCAGAAAAGATTGCTGTGTCTGGGAAAAAGAGAACCCAAAAGCTTTATAGAAGACACTCTGGACGACCGGGTGGTATGACAGTGGAGACATTTGCTCAGCTGCAAAACAGAATACCTGAAAGAATTATTGAACATGCTGTTCGTGGCATGCTTCCAAAAGGGAGGGTAAGTTCAAGTATTTTTGAATATTTTTCCAAGACATGCACATATCTGAAATACACGGGTTAAACCAAGTTGTTGCTGCATTGTAATTGTAGACATGGTGACATAATTCTAAATTATTTGATTAATTTTCATGACATGTCACATATCTAAGATTCATCCCCACAACTGATGGAAGGATTTAATGGTGAAGAATGAAGTGAAATCCCAGGATTGTAAGTTAGCTGAAGATTTTAAAGTTTGGATTGAAGTGAAATCCCATAACTTATGCTTGGATATTTTGACAGACTATACCCATGATCTTGCTTTGGGACATGATTGTCTTTCTTTGTTGTTCATTGCAAGAGTCCTTTTTGTGGTGTTTATATATTTCAGGACTGGAAACTTGTTTTCATGTTTAATTGTAATTGCTAGGTTTCTGTTGGCAATTTTATATTTTAAGGATGGTTACTTTCGTATGTTCTTTGGTTTATTTATAATTTTAGTGAAAATAATTCTTTGCTCTTTGTTGGATCCACAATAATCAAGGGTTGTTTGTTTTATTTAGCTTGGCAGGAGACTATTCACCCACCTGAAGGTTTACAAGGGCCCAGATCATCCACATGCGGCACAGAAGCCCATTGACTTGCCAATAAGGGATAAGAGAATACAATTCCAGAAATAGGTCATAGGTGTAGCAGAGAAAATGGAATGAAATATGACAACTGTATCTCTATTTCACAGAACATAAAGTTTCCTGCTTTGGCTGCTACCTTGCTGAAGACTTCCATTAATGTTTATATTGTCTGTAGAGGTAACTGATTGTGTTTATTTTGTTTTTGTCCAAGGTCCTTTGTCGAATCTTCATAATATTTTTGTTGTAGATTTGAATCTTAGACATGTAATTTTTTTTTAATATGCGAGTTTATTGTCAGCTTTTTCATTTGAAGGAAATCATCCATGCCTTTTCTTTTTCCTCTTTAATTGTTTAGACCACCAAAATGGAAGGAAAAAAAGAAGTCAAAGAAAAAAAGATCGAAGTGGAGGTTATCCCTCTTTCTAGTGGTTCAAGTACTGTATGATATTGTTTTGTTATTCGTTTCAAAAGGCACTACTAGAACTGAATGAACTTGCCCTCAATAATGAAGAATTTATATGGAGTCAGATAACCTCTATGTTTTTCTTTCTAGATGTATAATAATTCTTATGCTGTAAGGCAATCATGAGACAATTCACTATTTTGTGTATGGTGGTCTATTTGATATGGTGGAGAGAAAGTGAGAGAGAGCCGAGGACAGAAAAGTATGAAGGGAATTTTAAATAATTGCATATGTAAGACTAAATCTTTTCTTCTAAAGCAACACACACACACACACACACACATATATATATATATATATATATATATATAAATTGAAGTACTATCCAAATTTATAGTAGGTCTATTTGCTAGGAAAAGATAAAGTAATATAAATGAGGAAAATGTTATACTCCAAGCAAAGCAGCATAAAAGATTTCATTCCAAGTATCAGGAGCACCAGCTAGACACCAGTGACTACAGTCCTCATAAGAGGTGCCTTTGCCTGTGTATATAGAAGGATGGCCATCTATCCTCATCTGTGTCTGCAATGTAATGTCAAGCAAATATACAGGACATGACATTCTGCTCAAAACACTCTTCACAATTTCTACACCAGGATAAGGTGGCTGGGGTCCTTGTTCTGGCTCAGTTTTTCTCAGACATCCCTTTCCCCTTCACAATTCACCACAACAAAACATGAATACTTCAGTTACAACTTCTCTAAAGTCCATAATATTTCATAAAACATTGGGTGGTTATTGTTGAAAAGTTGTCTTCATTGCAGTTTTATTGGACTATTTTCATTAATTACTAACTCTATTCTCGTTTATGAAACAATACAAAAAATATAAATAAACTTTAACTATTTTTATTTCATTGATTTTTTTTCGAAAGTACCTTAAGTTTAACTAATATTTGAACTTACTCAAAATGGGATGCAGCAATTCCTTGGAACAAAACTGTTGTCTTTGAGGGATCAATGTTAGCATCTATCCATTTAGACCAAGTTGTTAACCCAATCTTGTAAGCTTCGAAGATACCCATGTCTTCTATTATTTCATTGCCTACTTGAAAGTGAACCCTTCTGTATAAACATAACAAGAATGCATTATTAGCCACTTAACATCTCTAATAATAACATCTTACATCCAAAATATGAAAAAAGATATAGTTCAAAAACTTCATTACGTTTCAGAATCTCTTGAATGAGTCCACCAATGGTAGGTATTGAAAATCAATACATCTCCTTTCCACATGTGCCCATATTTAATGGAATCCAGTCTCACAATCCTGCCCTTTTCTTTGTTATGAACCACATCCACTAGGAAACCATTTTTCAACCACATTATTGAAACATCAAATTCCTATGACCCAAAATAATTGGACAAAGTTATTATTAATAAGCTGACAATCAAACAATTACCAAGACCCAAACTTTCCCCTTCATTAAATTTGAAATGAAGAAAACTACCGGAAATGAGAACACCGAGAGCTGCTTTGTTGGTTTTGATATGGCATAACTTGATTGCGGGACAGCAATGTGAAGCAAACAGGTAAGTGATTGCCACATGTTGTTGCTTATGGAGTCCCCAATAAACATTATCTTTTTTCCTCTGTATCTCTCCAAGAAATTCACCCCATCAAACCTGTTAACCAACACAACACCACTTGTGAAAGATAAGCCTTGATCATTACCTGAAGTCTATATATTGATACCCACTTGACTCAATTAAAGGACAATATTTCAAAGACTGTATTTACCACTAGTGAAGGAGCACAGAAATTAACAAAATACATATGTGGAGGCTTCCAATTGAAAGCATTATAAAAAGCCATTTTGTGCTTAATTCGTTTGAAAACAAGTTCAAGATGGAAGAAATACGTTTCAGATACACTCACACGCACACATTATATATCCTAAAACTGAAAAATATTACATCTGAAACTTGGAACGAAAACATGCAACAAATATATAAAAATGAAATCAAAAAGTGAAAACTTTACCGTGGAAGATCACACCCAGAGGGTTTCCATCTATACTTGAGGTAATCCCGATCAGGTCTACCATTTCTGAGGCAATTAAATCCCTGAACTATGAAGGGACAATCTCTGGAGGCATCATAAAGAGGGTAGTAGGAGTCATCCACAACCCAATTTCCCAGAGAAAAATCACACACATTGCCTTGCACATGGCACAGTGGGGATGCCGCCAACCACAGAACAACAAAAGCTAGAACATACAACCGGAAATAGAATGCCATTTGAAATTGTCCTACACCTTTTCACACCATGTTTATATGCCATTTGTATGCAGGGGAGTACCTCTAGAGAGAGAAGCTTCTATTGAGGAGAATAATAAGACAAAAAAATAATAATATTGACTTTATATGCATGGCAAAACCTTATCATCAAGGCTTCAACTTTTAGAATGTTTATTTCTTTTTTATTTTAATCATCATTGCAAATAAAATTACCTGCACAAAAAAAAAATATTAGACTTATGATTTCTTATCTTTCGGTTGGCTGAAAAGAAAATATTAAATGATATTCGTTTGCCGTTGTGGATATAATTAGAACACAAATTCACTTACCCCATCAATTTATACTACATTGAACCAAATAAGATATTTTTAATTCACCAAAAAAATAAATTAAATTAGCTCACTTTTTCAATAAAAGAATGAATCATCAATTTGATCCATAAAGTATTATTTTCTCTTCTAAATAGTTTTTAAATTGATAAAGTAATATATAAGTAATTATGAAATATTGTAATCATGTTACATAATCACTTTAGTAAAAAAAAAAATGTTCGTCAAATTAGTCTCAATATTAGTAAGAATTTATCGATTTAGAAATTAAATTGGTAAGTATTTATTATTTTAGAAACTACTTATATAATTTTATTAATTTAAAAACTATTTAGCAAAAAGATAATAATTTAATACTTTATTGAAGAAAGTGAAATATTTACCCTCTAAACCAACAACGCTTTGATTCAAAATTTTAATACAACAGAAGAAACAAGTTGACCGGTCTTCTTTATAAATGTGAGAGATATGAAATTCCATGTCCTTTGAGAGATGGTTGAAAGGAATAGAATAATTTATAAAAACATAAAATTAGACCTACAAAACTTTTTTTTTTTTTCTGTTTTAGAAATTGAGTCCAATGGTTTTAAAATTCATTAAAAGATATTCCAGTCCTTTTCATCTAATTTGGTTTGTTTTAAGACAAAGGTTTATAAACAAAAAAAAAAAACATGAAATCTACAACCACCCCAAATGAAACTTAATTCAGTGTTATTTTATTATAATACTAACTATTCAAATTAAGATTTAATATTTAGAATTAACATCTTATGTAAAAATAGCTCTACGATTTAATCTTCTCTCTTCTCACAACACAATTAAATATCACCTCTTCAATATATAAAATGAAATACTAATTAAACAAAAAAAAATTAGTACCATTTCTTATTCTAACATAATTAATATATATATATATATATATATATATATATATATATATATAAGAGGGTACGAAAGGAGCATCCAAATTATATGAAGAAAGTTCAAGAATAGGCTTTATAAAGAAAGAATACTTTTTAAAGTTTTAATATAAAATGTAAAAGTCTTATATCCTTAGTTTCATGGTATGATCTAAATATGTGGCTACTCGGGTCAAGAATTCTCATATTGTTGTAGATTAAAAGTACTATTTTTCTTTCTAATTTATTATTTTTAATCAAGAATTATTTATTTATTTTTGGAAAAATATCATATGACAGGTTTTGTTAAAGGAAATGTGTCTGAAGTCCTACATTATTTGTTCTTATTATATGGTACAATATAAATACCTGTTAATTTTACGTTCAAATCTTATTAATGATTAGAGTAAATATAAATTTGACGATGATTATTAATATTATTTTATTGTTAATATAAATTAGACTTTTCTTTTTCAACATGTAATGAGTCAAATATAACTTTTTATAATTAATGCCACCTAATATTATTTTTAATTAATATTAGTTAGAATTGTTTTTCTATCAACATATTTTCAACCTAATGGATCAGAATTAGTTTTCTTAGTATGAATCACGTTGTCATGTGCTTCGTGCTTTTCATTAAAGATTTCATTTATGTAATAAATAGATTTGATGGATTGTGTGAGTAATTAAAGTAAATATTGTACTATTCTGGCTTAAATGATTATGTTTCATATTTACTGCATATGCAATCTGAACTAAATTTGCCTTTATAGTTATTTAAAATATATATATATATATATATATATATATATATATATATATATATATATATATATATATATTTCACCGTAATAACATAATATGGCAATTATCAACATTCCAACACTCAAATACTATACATAATTTGGTATAAAAATAAAAAATAAGTTCATTTTTTTATCTAGCATTTAAAAGTGAGATAGATACTTCATTGATTGAAGTTGTTTGTCTATTAGAAGAATGATCTCCTTCCTTAGAGACCCTTCTAATCAAGAAACCAGGTTCCTTGGGTTCTGGTAAAGCATTTTCACTTGTCAACATAACAACAACTTGTGTCATGTTTGGTCTATCACTTGGATGATGTTGCAGACATAGAAGACCAATTTGAATGCATCTTACAACCTCAAACACATTGCATGAGTTTGCCAAACAAGCATCAACCAATTGCTCTGGATTACCCTCTTTCCACAAACACCATGCCTGCATTAAATTAAGAAAACATTTGTCATATGTGAGTTCATGATGGGAAAATCATTTTCTATTTTCTCGTACTCACATGGCCAATAAGGTTATTGTTGTTGTCTTGGTAGGTAAATCCTCTGTTTTTCTTCCCACTGAGAATTTCTAGTAATAACACTCCAAAGCTGAACACATCCGATTTTGTAGAGAACAATCCATCAATAGCATATTCAGGTGCCATGTAACCACTGAAAAGAACCACACAAAGAAGTTCAACCCATATTTTATTAATCACTCAGCATCAAAATTTTAAGGTACTTACTGTGTTCCAACTATGATGCTTGTACTTCCTTCTACTTGATCACTTCCACACATTCTAGCAAGACCAAAATCAGAAATTTTTGGATTCATATCATGGTCTAATAAAATATTGCTTGCTTTGAGATCTCTGTGTATGATCCTTAATCTAGAATCTTGATGAAGATAAAGAAGCCCTCGAGCAATTGCATTCAAAATGTTGAATCGCATTTGCCAATCTAAAAAATTACTTTTGTATGGATCTGTCAAGATTGTGCAAGAACTTTATCAGTTTTTCTTTCCAAAATGACCTTAATCAATCTTCTACCGTACTAAAACAAAACATTCTAGAAAACTTACCAAAAATAATCAAATCAAGACTTTTGTTGGGCATGTATTCATAAAGCAACATTTTCTCCTCTTGTTCAATGCAATAACCAAGAACCTTGACAAGGTTTCGATGTTGAAGTTTGGCACACAATATTACTTCATTTCTAAATTCTTTCAATCCTTGTCCTGAACTTCGTGAAAGCCTTTTGATTGCAATTTCTTGTCCGTCTATTAATGTGCCCTATATTTAATGGTCAAAAAGAATGAAGATGGTGAGATTCATAAGTTTTGTTAACTCTATTAATTCATAGAATGCTTCTAAAACTACCTTGTATACAGGACCAAAACCACCTTCACCAAGCTTATTCTCAGTTGAAAAATTATTAGTGGCGGTAACTACTGTAGCAAGATCAAAGAAAGGAAGCTCCAAATCTTCTTGTCTTCCTTCATTTTTATCCTCTGTCCTGAGTTTTGTTTTAATTTTCCCTTCAATAGATCAATACCCTTATGTCAAAACAAAATCAAAACTTTGATTCACAGTTATGATTATAATCACATGAAGACGTCATTCAAATCCACGGACTCAACTTCTTAGACTTCAATAGATGGGCAAGAAATTTACCTTGACATTTTTCTTTGGTCATGTAAATACAGAATGCTAATAGCATCACAAACACCAACGATGCTATGACTGAAACCACCACGATTACCTTTTTCCCCTTCCCATGTTTAACATCTGCATGTACAGGTTCACGGAGAAACCAAGCACAAGTGATGATTCCCCAATACTATAAAGGCCCAGAAATTAATATCATGAAAAGTTCATTCGAAGAACTAAAATCATATAGAACATACCTGCACCTGCATCAGAAGTGGCGATTCGAACATACAAATCTTGGCCACTTTCTATAACTCTCAAATCATAAAGATCTCCTACCCAAATAGAACACCCAGTACCTCCTCCTGTGTTGTCCAGATTCGAGTAAGCCGTGCATGAACAATCATTCAAACACTTAGCCTTACACTCCTCAAGTGTCATACTTCCATTAACCCAAGAATGTGTAGTGTCTGGCAATTTCATACCAGAAAATTTACGAAAACCATCTTTATTTTTCACCCCACATTTCCACTCTCCACTTCTCACACACCCTTGTCTCCAATTCATTGCATTCCACTGTTGGGACGATTTTGGCACGAACCCATCTAAGCACTGGCAAATTGGTGACCCAGCAATTACACAGTTTCCATTGGCCCCGCAAGTGTTGTACACATCACAACTATCCCGTGGCAAGGATTGGTAAATCGTCCAACTTTCGGCTTCAGGAATCCACGTAACTCGTTGACGAAGATAAAGGGTTTGGTTCATGACAATTATAGTGATGACCGAACTGTTTTTTAGGGTGTATTGGAAATACACTTCATCTTTGTTATTCACAAATTTATAATCATAAAGTGGGTTAGTAGTGGGGCCATATACTCCACTAAACATATTCCCAGTATAAGGTCCAGTCCTAAAGTATTCAACTTTACCCTTCCACATCACAATATCAGGATTGCCACCTAACTCCACTTCCATACTAAAGTCCCCCGAAGATGGGTCGTCCCAGGTTTTCCAAGACGTAAGACGCCGGTTAAGACCAGTTCTTAAGTCCCTCCCAAACTTCATTCCTGCCAATATGGATCATAAAAATGAGTCAACTAAAACCAACCATTAAAAAGTTTATTAAAATTTTAGAAGTAATTCGATCAAACTAAACTATTCCAAACTCTTTCTGAATTGTTTGAATTACCGATATATCATTTTAACCCAGTTCAGTCTTTGAAAACTAAACTAAAAAAAATAACTCAGATTAGTTATCTTTTAAATAATTCAGTTTTGATTTAATGAAACACACTTTCAATATTGTTCTTGTTCAGCTCAATCTTTTTAACAATCCTACCTGATAATAGTGTGTCACAAGGAAAGTCAAAGCTTTGCCACAGAAAAACATTCTCTTCATTTGCCTCTCTAATGACCAAGTTGCCAGTGTCCAAGAGCTGCACAATGGGATTTGAAACCTTCCGTGTTGCATTTGCAGACCAAACAAGAGTCTCGTTCTGGCTGAACAGTACGAGGTTTCCATCTTGGCTGATGACCATGGTGTTTGTGCTAGACTTGTTTCTGATCGGATTGTCACGGTTGGCCACCCAAACCACAGTTCTGACAGGGATGTTTTTGTACCAGACTCCGATGTAGCGGTTACCGGAACTCCTGGGGCTGAAGAACCCCAACTCGAAGGTTCCGTCTTTGGAAACCAAGGTGCTGCCATCATCAGAAAGAGGCTTAAGCTGGGTGATGGCATCACTTGCATTGCAAAGTTGAGATAAGAGTAACAAAAGGGTGCAAATAAGAGCAATGGCCATTTCTGTGCAGAGTGCAAAATTGTCAAGAGTAGAACGATTATTGATGTAACTCGTGAGTCTTATTGGGATTGACTTGGAAGTCACGCTGCCACTTATCATACGTTGTTACGGGGAAAATAAGTGTAAATTACTGTTTATTTCGAAATACAATGTTCCGAGGAGAATAAATGTCTAAGAATATATTAATTATCTTTTATCAATTATATTTATTATATGAAAAAGATAATAAATTATTAAATGATGCAGTGATGACATCTTCGGAAAACACTGTGGTTTGAATAATATTATTATAATAATTCAACTTGTCTATTTTTTAATCTTCAAATAAAAATTTGGAGTAAGTAGTGTTTCAAATTATTCTTTAGACGTGTTGAAATCATTCTTGAAAGAAATTGTTAGGTGGTTTTATTCTACTTATTTTATTTTTATAAAGGTCGAATAATTATTTTTTTCTCCATGGAATTGTTAGGTTTAATCATTTGGTTTAGAAATAATGGTTTGAAATTTGATTCTTTGTTATTTCCTTTCACATTTAATTTTCAACCTTCTCATCCTTCTTCTTCACTTCATTGCCCATACAAAAAATTGAATAAATATATAAATTCATGAATTTAACAATAATTAAAGTATCATAAGATTAGTTTCTATTAGGGTTGTTGACATTTTAAGGTGAGTTGAATTAAAAAATAAATAAATTATTTTAGTAATAGGTTAAAACACCTCCCATTTATTTATTATGTAGGTTAAACATAAGTTGACGGTGAATTGACTCGTTTTTTCTAATTTTTTATTTTTTATTTATATGTTTAAATAAATTTGTAAGAAAAATATTTTTATTAAAGCAACTCACTTAATCCACTTATATTAGTAAATCAACTCATTTATTCTAGTAATGTAAAAAGATAAAAAATAATTAAAAAAACACATACTTAAATAAATCAATCTAATATTAGTTGAGTTTAATTATAAAAAAAATTTCTAAAAAAAAGGGTGGAATTTAACTTATTTATAACTTAGTTCGTGATTAACAAAGTTATATAAATCGGATTGAGTTATTTTTCACACTCCTAATTTTTAATTTAATTGACTTATAAAAATTTATGACAAAAAATAACAAAAACCTTTAAAAAAATAACATGACTCATTATTAGCATAGGCACAGACCTTTAGTGAAAGAAAAAAATTATGAATTTTAAAGCTAAAAAAATATTATTTTTGAATTTTTTATTTAATATATTGTTTTAATTTTTTTAATATATATTTAATTGTTTGTGTTTGATAGTTGTTAGAAAAAAATTAATTAGATTTATAATTATATATAATATTTTATTTGAATTACTATAAAATTTACGTATATAAAAAATTTGATTATATATATATATATATATATATATATATATATATATATATTAAAAAAAAAATTGACAGGCCATTACCTTTAAACATAAAGAAGATGTATGAACGCTTGTTGCTTAATTAAACCTGACATTGTTATTTCAATTAGTGTTTGCAATATTTCTTTCAAATTAAAGTTGATTATCATCATTTTTCAGTTATCATAGTCAACGTTATATTTAGTCAATACATGTTACTGAGTTTCTCAACTCATTTTAATTAAAGTTTTTTTTAGTTTATATCTAAAATAGTTATTTTTTCGTTTCCTATTATTTTTTAATTACTATCAAATTTCAATAAATTTAAATGATCTTAGAAAAAGTATTTGAAAATTTTGAAATACAATAATTCAAATTTATTAAATATTATAATACTTCTTATTTAAACATAAATATAAGAAGTTTAAAAACAAAATATCATATTATTTTTTATTATATGCAAGTGTAATACCATTATAGCAAACTTTTTACCCAATAATTGTTCACCGCCTCTCAGCTTATATGATATATTCAATCATCTAAATAAATGCAATAACAACGTGTGTGGTGATATAGATAATTATTATAATAAAATAATTATTTGATAACTCATTTATTAATATAATAATAATAATAACAATAATAATAATAATAATAATAATAATAATAATAATAATAATAATAAAATAGTATTTTTATTCTATTTTTGATTTTCTTATTCAGGAATTATCTAGAAGTTATTTATTTAAAACAGATTGCCAAAGAAATATTTATCTAACAACAATAACTTTATCCAATTAAACGAGGTAATTTACATATACTGGTTAAGGTTAGACAAAAGGATAAACAAAAAAATTAATAAAAAATTGAAATGAACATGTTCCTAAGTAATGAAAAAAATGAAAAAAGAAATCATATATGAACAATTATTACATAATTTGGTATAAGAAATAGAAATAAGTTAATTTTTTTTACCTAGCATTTAAAAGTGAGATAGATACTTCATTGATTGAAGAAGATGTTTGTCCATTAGAAGAATGTTCTCCTTCCTTTGAGATCCTTCTAATCAAGAAACCAGGTTCCTTGGGTTCAGGTAAAGCATTTTCACTTGTCAACATAACAACAACTTGTGTCATGTTTGGTCTATCACTTGGATGATGTTGCAGACATAGAAGACCAATTTGAATGCATCTTACAACCTCAAACACATTGCATGAGTTTGCCAAACAAGCATCAACCAATTGCTCTGGATTACCCTCTTTCCACAAACACCATGCCTGCATTAAATTAAGAAAACATTTGTCATATGTGAGTTCATGATGGGAAAATCATTTTCTATTTTCTCGTACTCACATGGCCAATAAGGTTATTGTTGTTGTCTTGGTAGGTAAATCCTCTGTTTTTCTTCCCACTGAGAATTTCTAGTAATAACACTCCAAAGCTGAACACATCCGATTTTGTAGAGAACAATCCATCAATAGCATATTCAGGTGCCATGTAACCACTGAAAAGAACCACACAAAGAAGTTCAACCCATATTTTATTAATCACTCAGCATCAAAATTTTAAGGTACTTACTGTGTTCCAACTATGATGCTTGTACTTCCTTCTACTTGATCACTTCCACACATTCTAGCAAGACCAAAATCAGAAATTTTTGGATTCATATCATGGTCTAATAAAATATTGCTTGCTTTGAGATCTCTGTGTATGATCCTTAATCTAGAATCTTGATGAAGATAAAGAAGCCCTCGAGCAATTGCATTCAGAATGTTGAATCGCATTTGCCAATCTAAAAAATTACTTTTATATAGATCTGTCAAGATTGTGCAAGAACTTTATCAGTTTTTCTTTCCAAAATGACCTAAACCAATCTTTTACTGTACCAAAACAAAACATTCTAGAAAACTTACCAAACAGAATCAAATCAAGACTTTTGTTGGGCATGTATTCATAAAGCAGCATTTTCTCCTCTTGTTCAATGCAATAACCAAGAACCTTGACAAGGTTTCGATGTTGAAGTTTGGCACACAATATTACTTCATTTCTAAATTCTTTCAATCCTTGTCCTGAACTTCGTGAAAGCCTTTTGATTGCAATTTCTTGTCCGTCTATTAATGTGCCCTATATTTTATGGTCAAAAAGATTGAAGATGGTGAGATTCATGAGTTTTGTTAACTCTATCAATTCATAGAATGCTTCTAAAATTACCTTGTATACTGGACCAAAACCACCTTCACCAAGCTTATTCGCAGTTGAAAAATTATTAGTGGCTGTAATTACTGTTGCAAGATCAAAGAAAGGAAGCTCCAAATCTTCTTGTCTTCCTTCATTTTTATCCTCTGCCCTCATTTTAGTTTTTATTTTCCCTTCAATAGATCAATACCCTTATGTCAAAACAAAATCAAAACTTTGATTCATAGTTATAATCACATGAAGACATCATTCGAATCCGTGAACTCAACATCTTAGGCTTCAACACATGGTTTATGGTTTTAGTTATAATTCTCTAAATTTTTAAATCTACTTCAACTACTTTTAGTTTCAAAAACTATTTGTTCTAGTTTCTAAATAAATTAATTTAAAAATTCATGTTATTTGAAAATTAATTTATAAATATGTTTTCAATGTTGGTAACAATATTCACAATATCAATTAAATTAATGTTTAAAATTAGTATCATGATAAATGATGTGATGAAAACTGTAACAATTATAAAAGTGATAATAATAGTTTTAATTATAACGGTGACTATAATGAAAAAAGTGATTAAAAAATAATAGCAATTTTTTTAAACTACAACTAAATTTTCAAATTTTTTTAGATTGAAAATAAATATAATAAAAATTAAAATTCAGTACAAAAATAATTATTTAACTCCATTTTTTAATGTTTTTGTTTTAAAAAATTGCATTAACAAAAACCCTAAACCTGAAACGTAAACTTAAAACTTACAACCATGAAAGACCTTTGTTTTACTTTAGATTGTCGGTGGAAACAGTAAATATCTATCCATATTTTTATAGTAATAATAATAATAATAATAATTAATATAATTAAAAAAATTTAGTCATGTTAGTAAAATAATAGGGTTAAAATTGTAAGAAAATTATAAAAAATAATATTAACAAAAGCTAATCAGAATTTTTTTTATAAAATATTAAAGATAAAATAACAAAAAATTATATATACATAATAAGACAATTACAAAAATCAATCCCTATTAGTATACACATTACTTTTTTTGTTTTGTTTTTTTTTTTATCAAACATCACAACTATAACACCCACATGAATGTCTTTTTTTTTTTTTTTTACTTTTTAATCATAAAGATGATGTATGAGTATTGAGGTTAAAGTAGAGTTCCATTTATTCTTTCCCTTTCCTTTAACATTTTCTCTTAAATGTTTATAATCTTTGGGGAATGAAAGTGTTCTGTGGCCAAGAAATTTACCTTGGTATTTTTCTTTGGTTATGTAAATAGAGAATGCTAATAGCATCACAAACACCAACGATGCTATGATCGAAACCACCACGATCACCTTTTTCCGCTTCCCATGTTTAACATCTGCATATACAGAGGTTCACAGAGAAAACCAAGCACAAGTGATGATTTCCCAATACTATGAAGGCCCAGAAATTAATATCATGAAAAGTTCATTCGAAGAACTAAAATCATATAGAACATACCTGCATCAGAAGTGGCGATTCGAACATACAAATCTTGGCCACTTTCTATAACTCTCAAATCATAAAGATCTCCTACCCAAATAGAACACCCAGTACCTCCTCCTGTGGTGTCCAGATTCGAATAAGCCGTGCATGAACAATCATTCAAACACTTAGCCTTACACTCCTCAAGTGTCATACTTCCATTAACCCAAGAATGTGTCGTGTTTGGCAACTTCATATCAGAAAATCTACGAAAACCATCTTTATTTTTCACCCCACATTTCCACTCGTCACTTCTTACACACCCTTGTCTCCAATCCATTGCATTCCACTGTTGGGAAGATTTTGGCACGAACCCATCTAAGCACTTGCAAATTGGTGACCCAGCAATTACACAGTTTCCATTGGCTCCACAAGTGTTGTACACATCACAACTATCTCTTGGCAAGGACTGGTAAATCGTCCAAGCTTCGGCTTCAGGAATCCACGTAACTCGGTGACGAAGATAAAGGGTTTGGTTCATGACAATTATAGTTATGACGGAACTGTTTCTCAGGGTGTATTCGTAATACACTTCATTTTTGTTATTCACAAAATTGTAATCATAAAGTGGGTTATTCCTTGGGCCATATACTCCACTGAACATGTTTCCAGTATAAGGTCCAGTCCTAAAGTATTCATCTTTACCCTTCCACATCACAATATCAGGATTGCTTCCTAACTCCACTTCCCAAATAAAGTCCCCTGAAGATGGGTCATCCCAGGTTTTCCAAGAAGTAAGACGCCTGTTCAGACCAGTTCTTAAGTCCCTCCCAAACTTCATTCCTGCCAACATGGATCAGAAAAATGATCAACAATTGCAAAGTTGATTTAAATTTTATAAGTATTCAGACAAATTAAACTGCATTATTGCTCAGCTAAATGAATCAAACTAAACTTTCCTTGAATTGTTTGAATTATTATTGATCGGTAGATCATTTTAATCCAGTTCTAGCTTTGAAAGCTCAACAAAAAATGTTCAAATTAGTTTTCTTTTAAATAATTCAGTTGAATATTAATTTTGTTCAGTTCAATCATTTTAACGGTCCTACCTGGTAACAGTGTGTCACAAGGAAAGTCAAAGCTTTGCCATTGAAAAACATTCTCTTCATTTGCGTCTCTAATGACCAAGTTTCCAGTGTCCAAGAGCTGCGCAATGGGATTTGAAACCTTCTGTGTTGCATTTGCAGACCAAACAAGAGTCTCATTCTGGCTGAAAAGTACGAGGTTTCCATCTTGGCTAATGACCATGGTGTTTCTGCTAGAGTTGTTTCTGATTGGATTGTCGCGGTTGGCCACCCAAACCACAGTTCTGACAGGGATGTTTTTGTACCAGATTCCGATGTAGCGGTTACTGGAACTCCCGGGACTGAAGAACCCCAACTCGAAGGTTCCATCTTTGGAAACCAAGGTGCTGCCATTATCGGAAAGAGGCTTAATCTGGGTGATGGTATCACTTGCATTGCAAAGTTGAGATAAAAGTAACAAAAGCTTGAAAATAAGAACAATGGCCATTTCTCTGCACATTGCAAAATTGAGAAGATTAGAATGAAAATGGTAAATAACTGTTCATTGGGTTGACTTTGACAAGACACGCAGCCAACTATGACCTGCTGTTATGAAGAAAATCACGTATAAATCACAAAAACTTTTTTTTTTTTCAGTCTTCGGTTGAATATGAGAGTGATGACAGCTTCACAAAACACCACCCATAGACTTGCCAATTTTGAATATTATTATTATAATAATAATAATAATTAAATATGTTTTACTCTCTCAACTTGGCTATTTATTTTATTAATCCTTAAAATAAAAATTAGTCTCTCAAATTATACAATTTTTCTTTAGTTGTTTTAGAAGAATAGGTTCAATGTTAAAAAAGCAATCTATATTTAAATTATATTTTTTGAAGAATTAATTTATGTAGATCTTTTTAAGTGCTAAAAAACAATTATATCAAATCGAATTTTTAAAAATATATTCAAGTCTTTGTTATAATACTTACTTTGATAATTCTTTTGTAATTTTTTAAATAATTATAAAATGAAAAAAAACACCCTTTACGAATTTTTTTACCATTTTTTAATTTTTCTTTTGCTTTGACGGCGGGGGAATTTAATTTCTAAATTATAAAGCTATTTTTTATAAATAAATAAAAAAGTTTGTTTATTAATTTTAAACTAGTTTTTAATATTTTTAATTATTAGAAAACACAAAACTTATTTAATCATGGTTTTATCAAAATAATTTCTTAACAATAAATTTTATTTATATTTAAAAGTTAAAAAATAAAAGTGATAAAATATATTTTTATTTTTATTTCAATTAATTAATGACACACTATATTATTCGTTTTTATGAAAGTACCGAAATCAATCCTTGATTCTTCCATGTTTTCTTTCTCCCGTTGTTTTCAGCTTCTTCCGTTCACTTTTCTTTTTTCTCATTGTATTTGCCTTTTTTTTAATCTATTTTTGTTCGTCTTTGCTTACTCTTGAGTCTTCTTTTCAAATTAATATAAATAAAAATCGTCAAATAATTTATGCGTTTTAACTTTAAAATATAAATCTAAATAAATAAAATATGGCATAATTGGTCAATAATTTCGTCGTCTTAAATATGTATTATAATGAATTTTATATATATTTAAATGGATAGTTGTGTCCAAATTAATTGAGGATGAAAAACCAAAGTAAATTGGCTTAAAATAGATGATAATAATAATAATAATAATAATTTTAATATTTTAATAAATTAAAATATCTATTAATTTGATTTTCAGGTTATCGGACTAAACATGCTTCATTGGTCAATATTAAGAGTAATGATGACGTTCTTAAAATTAAAATTATAGATAATTAAAATTCAACAGACAAAAATATTGTATAAAAAAATCACGAACTAAAATTACAGAATTAATTAGATACAGTGATTTAAATCATGGAAGAAAGTTTAGAAACTAAAATTATAAATTTAAATAAATATAGAAAGATCAATTATAATTTAAACTTTTAAATTTCACATGATATAATTAATGAATATGTCATGGTTCCTATCCTAATGGTAGCTACTGTAGAGTTAGGCTTTTACTTTTATTTATTAAGTATAGTCAACGAGTTAGACTTCTACTACACAATAGTTGGCGTTTACGTGTTTGTATTTTTTTAATAACATGAAAAATAATTAGCAATTCTAATAATATATCCTTCGTTTATTTACTTATATAACACGTTTTACTATTTATAGTTCCGTTCTTATGCTTTTTCCAAATCTCATAAAAAATTTTGATTAATTGAGGTTACTCTCATTATCTGTAAAAACATGAACTATTGTCACACGTATAACTTGAAAATGTAGTTAAACATTCGGTAAAATAATTAAAAGAGAAAATTATATTTTAAAAATAAATTTATGAAATAGTTGTCGTTTTGAGATATGGTCCGATTTTAAATTTTCATAAGTTATTATTTTATTTTTAAAAGATATTTTATTAGATTGAGAAAAAAATAATATATTTAAATTACTTTTAAATTTCACTCTAATTAATGTGTAGTAGAACAAATTATGATTTGAAATGATCATAAGAATAATTAGGTTTATGTAGTAAAAAAGATAAATGTTAAGATGAATGAAAGAGACATTCAAATTAAAGTTTTGTTTATGAAGTGGGGGAATTAATCCAATTCTTAAAATACTTTGAGTTGTTGTATTTGAGTTTTCTAGTAGTGTCACAATTTGTGTACCATACATTTAAGTTCGAATATTTGTATATTTTAGGAGTAATTTTTTTTTTTCTTCAAGTGATGCATTAACAGTACTAGTTTTGATAAAAAATTATGAAGAGGTAACAGAACACAAGTACTACTAATTGTGAACCAACCGGTCTGGTCCCAGGACAGCGAGGTCGGTGTCCGAGCCACGTGGCATGAATCTTCGTGGCCTTCAAAAATATCCTGCATTTTGTTCAGCCCATCCACCTTCTTCTTACTTGGCCCTCGTGTTTCCTTCTCTCTCACACACCCTTCACTTTCTCCCCCCACACAACCCTTCAAATTCCGCTTCTCTCTCAACCCTCTTTCAACTGGGTTAAGTTAACTCCCTCGAAAAACTCCGAACCGTTGTTGGGTTAATAATTGCGATGAAGATTCAGTGCAACGTGTGCGAAGTCGCGGAGGCCAAGCTCCTCTGCTGCGCTGACGAGGCCGCACTGTGCTGGGAATGCGATGAGAAGGTTCACGCCGCCAACAAGCTCGCCACCAAGCACCAGAGAGTTCCGCTTTCCCTCTCTGCTTCCCACGTGCCAAAGTGTGACATATGCCAGGTATATATATATTGTTGCTTGTTAATGTTACTGTTTTACTTTCTGAGAAAATGGATCAAGAGATAATTTAACCTGGTTTATAAAGTAAGGTTCTACACAGATACTATATTTTGTTCTCCATCTTACCCCCTCCGACTGAGTACATGATATTTCCAGTAACATATATCTCGTGTGAGAGGTGGTTGGATAGTGGCCCAAGAGTGGGTGGTACAACTCAACAAGCTTTCTTCAAGTAGATTTTGATTCCATTTTAGAAAACGAGTTTTTAACTAAGCTATACAAAATCAGTTTTGTAAGATAATGTTTGGATCTATATATATAGTAGATAAGATCTCCAACATGCTGATAGTTGTTTCAACCATTTGTTTTCAATAATAACTGTTTGGAATCGGTGAACTTAACTGTGCTGAACTTGTGGAAATACAACATGGGGGCTGGATCAGGGGACACTTGTTAGTAATATGGGGGTCTAGACATGTTTTGTTCCATCAAGATATTTCAAAATGTTGGTTTTAGTATGAAAAAAAATATTATGTTTCTAGTTCCTATATTTACCAAACTCATGTGATTTTAGTTATATGTTTGGACTTAAAACATGGTTTCTGTTCCGGTGTAGTGCAAACAAAACCTCTCTAACACACTTCTCCTAATACACTTCCGTGTTGATCAAATTTATTGGAAACTACACAATCATGAACGAAGCTCATTAAATATATAGTGAATTATAGCCAATTATGAATAACGTGCTGAATAGTGTCTTGCTAGGTAGCATTTTGTGTTAAATAACGTGTTAAAACCTTGATTCATCTGCTTCGGGGGACTTTACTTTCACAATGGGTGTTGCTTTGAAGCTTCGATTTTTTTTTTCTCCCCGGGTTCGTTTACTTTTGATTTTATATTGGCACTTTGAGGATTTTATGAATGGTTTAATTGTGTTTTCTTTTTGGATTTAAATAAAAATATCATCTTTACTACATTTTTTTTTGTATGTTCCCGAATTTTGTGAAACCAAATTATTTGTGCTTTGATATGTTGGCTATTTGGCATTGTTGCTGAGAGAGAATTTTCTTGATTTGTTAGCTGTTCCGGTTCAGTTTCATGCTAGTCTTTTATTATGTTGGATAGCTTGTGATGCTGAAGTGTGCTATTGCTTACAGGAAATGGTTGGATATTTCTTCTGTTTAGAGGATCGGGCTTTGCTATGTAGGAATTGTGATGTATCTATTCACACTGCTAATGCCTGTGTCTCTGGTCATCAAAGGTTTTTGCTTACTGGTGTGAGAGTAGGCCTCGAAGCTACTGAGCGCGGTGCTTCCTCATCCTATGTCAAGTCACAGTCTGGGGAGAAAACATCTGATGCTAAATCTTCATCCATTTCTAGAAATGTTTCCTCCCTGCCCCAGCCATCAAATTTCAATGAAGTATTACCCCACCAAATGGGAGGAGTCGAGGACTTTCCACCAAACAAGGTGTCTTATGGTGGCGGTTATGCTGCTGGAAACGTCTCACAGTGGCCCATTGAAGAATTTCTTGGGTTAAATGAATTCAGTCAGTATTATAATTATATGGATGGGTCATCTAAGGTACGCTTTTAATTGCAATGTAGTCTATTTATTTTGTGTTTTTTCTATTATTTTTTGCAGTGGCAGGGGACGGGGCGTTAGTACTCTGATAGTCAGATACATTATAATCATGTCTTCATAATATGTATAGCCGGCCCCTGTTACTCTGTATCTCACAAATTTATGCATGGACTTGATGCCGGTGATTCCATGGCTACATTAGTCTGCATCAGATTCCTAGTACCATTTTCTGTAGATAGGATATCACCCTTTTAATCAAAGACATGCATTATAATCAAACAGATGACGGATTAGAGCATCATTTGCTAGGAAGGCAGGTAAACTTGATAGGAGTAGAACTAGTCCAGACTTCTGAGGGTAAACTCCCTGTTAACATGTTATCACAGACAGTATCACTAAACAATGGAGAAACAGGTCCCATAAATACTTGAAAAAAATTATTGTGAGAAAATAATTATTTTCTTGGTTGAGAGCTTTGAAATAGTGGGATTTGAATGAGTCTGAAGAATTGAGGAGGGAGGGTATTTGATTGTTGATTGATTAAAGTGTTTCATATCTGTAAACCAATTTAACTGTACAAAATTTAACCTATGAGAAATTCAAAATCCTTTGCTAGTGTTCTAGATAGAAGAATGTAGGTGCTCAGTATTCACTAGATTCCTAGTTGGATTTCCGTCAGATTTCCATGAAAATTTTCTAAATTCAGTACTACAAGCCATAAAAATTAATGTAAAGATTATCAGCTGAGAGGAGAGATGAACTATTATATACATAAATATGCAATGAAAATTTTTGTAGAAATCCATGAGTAATAAGGAGTAGTCCTCTTGATTTTGAGTAACACAAAGCGTGTGATATGTGATATTGTTGGAAGAGAATATGGGGAAGTTAGTATGTTGCATGGTTTAAGATAGGTACGTGTAAAAGGAAGATGTATTCTTATGTTTATTTATCAAACCTCTTTCCTGTGACTGTATTAATCAGTTGTTTGTTCTTTTTCAATGTATTCATTTACCATCTATTACTAATTAAGCTTACTAGGCTAGGTATGCATTGTTTCTACCCCTATATTCACCAAAACTAGTATCTAAGTTGATTTATTTTGAGATTGTAAATAAAGTAGTATTCATACTTGTCAACAATATTGGTGTTAGCTGGACAGCTGATGCTCATCTCCTCCCAATGAACTTTTGCAGGCTGACAGTGGTAAACCTGGGGATTCTGATTCTTCTGTTTTGAGGTCTAGTGAAGAGGAAATGGACGATGAAGACTTCTTGGGGCGTGTTCCAGATTCATCCTGGACAGTTCCTCAGATCCCTTCCCCTCCAACAGCTTCGGGGTTGCATTGGCCGGAAGTCCCTCAATATACATCTGACAATCCTATGTTTATTCCTGACAAATGTTTTACTTCAGTGCGGCAGCACCACCATGTTCTACATAATTCTATTCATTCAAAACGGAGAAGGAACCTATAATTTGTTCTCTGATCACTAGTTCGATGTTAAGATTGTTTTTTATCTGTTATAGATGGAGTGAGCTTTTGAAGTTGTATCCTTCTTTACAGCATTTGAAATTCATTTTAGTACACGTTTCTTCTGTTCATGACAGTCCTCGATTTCTTTTTGGGATTGAATCTCCAAACTCTCCATCTGTAGTTGGAAATGTGACGAAGAAAGTAGCTTTAATGGCAGTGTAAAATGCTTCTCATTCCATTTTCATCTTGGGCATTTTAACTTGTAGTTATAGAATGCAACAACATAGATGCATGTATTCGGTCTTCGTAGATATCCTGTTCAATATAAGCTGGTTCTTGTCCTTGGACAAATTTCTGTCTATGTTTCTGAAAGGGAGAGAGGAAAATAGGAAAATAAAATGAATTTATAGTTTATATAAGTTAAAAAATAAAAATTAAAAAGGTTATATGAATTAGTTTTTATAAATTAAATTTAATTAATAAAGATTGTTTTTTAATTTAATTTTTTTTAATGAAGAATGAGTTCTGAACAGATTTCTAGAGAACCTAGCCAATTATTGAATATGTTTTGGACAGTGTTTTCTTCTTTTTCCTAACACAAGACAAACTGTCGGGATCATGTTGAGGACCAAATTAGAACGAGACTTGAAAAGAAAATTTTCATGATAATTGGATAGTTTATGCAACCAAACACGTGAAATTGTTGGAACATGTCTGTACGAGATTACATCCTCAATAAACACGTCCAAGCAGAACATATTTCCAGTGGGGCCTTTTTTTTATATGACACAAAAAAGTTTTGAGAAATGCATGTACACTTTTAGATTACCAATATAAACGTTTTAAATTGTCAAACAATTATAAGTCATTCTTAAATTTTTCAATTTATTCCCATGTAATAGCAAAGAAAAATCTTTAAGTGTCGGAGAGAAAACTTATTAAAATTATCTAGAAAACATAATTTCCAAAGCATGCGCCATAATATAACAATACAAAAGACATAATAATATATCCGTAAACAGAGAGATAATTCTTAGCATTTTTTTCTTAATCGGGAATACTCATATCATAGACTGTAAGTTAAAAAGAAAATCATATTATTCATTAATAATAGCTTGAAGGATATAGTGAAAAGATAATGGACGAAGAAAATATTAAAAATTCTAAAAACAACTAAAGTAAGAGCAGAAATTAATTAAGGACTAAAAATTAAAGTCAATATTTTAGGGATTCAAATTAAAGAATAAAGATTTATAGAAATTAAAACCTAAATTTCAAAATATCTTAAAAACTAAAAAAAATGCCACACGGTACATCCTTAAAATTGACGCGGAAATTCTTGCAGTATCATATGATATGTCATTTTCATATCAATACTCTGGAATCATCTGATGTTACGAAACATCCACATCTTTTAACATATATTCTTGTTGGTGTATGGTGTGAGTGATAGAAAGAAACACAATATCTTGTTTATTGCTTAGGCTATTAGACCTCTCTGTGTTACACTGAACAAATGTGTGGGCAAAAAATTGACTGATTTTATTATGTGATGATTCTGTAGCAAATCTTGGCCTACTTTAATAAAAGACATATCTTGTTCTAACTTGAGAAAATTACATAAATAAAAACCAATTTGCACAGAGAAAGTTTCCACGAATTTATATCGTCACACTTTATTCTTATCCTTTTCCTTCTTTTAATTTGCAGTATTAGGGCCCTTCTATATTTTGAACGCACACCATAGTTTTTGCAATTTTTTTTCTGTTTTAACTGAACTAAATAAATCATGTAAGAATAATATATAGGTAATATTGCATTTAATTTTTTATGTTTGTTTAACTTTTCTGCCAACTATCTTTTCATTTTTCAACCCTAGAAGAGTGACGGGGAAGAACATTTATTCTAATTTGTAGATATATTCATCATCCTTTTCTTTCATTCTTTGTTTTCCCTTCTTCCCTCTGTTACACAATTTAATAGTTATAATCAAAATTATATCAAACTCAAGAGATTATTTAGACTCGTGGGATAGTAAGAGTCTACTTCATATAAAAAATATTAATTTAACAAAAAAATATGTTAATATCAATTCTACTTTATTGAAAAAAATAAATTCATATAATAATACATTAATAAAATAACAAAAAATAAGTTTATGACATTTTTAATTTTAATATTTATATCTAAATAACAAAAAAATCAATTGATTCCATCCAACAAAATAATCAAAATTAATTAATTTCTTTTCCTAAATCTCTAAATCTATTTAAAAATTTTAAAATCTCACAAAATAAATGGTTAACTTGCTAGAGGACCAAGGAGAAAGGTAGCCAAAGAACAACCATTAAAGTGAGACACACAGTCATAAAAAAGGACACGTTATAACCAACACATAACAAAAAAGAATAAATAGACAACTAGAGAGAAGAGACAAAAAAACACTATGACACAACCGACAACAACAACCAATAATGAATAATGGTAAAAGAAGAGAAATACAAGATCTAAAACTGTGAAAAAAATATATATATATACAAAAGAAAATTTAAGTTTCTCTTCTCTTTCATACTCGTTGACTCATCTTTATTCTCTCATTTTTTCTGTTTATCATTCTGCTACTAATCAAAATTGTTTTTCGGTGTCTCTAAAAGTTGTTCATTTTTTCATTTTTTCTGTTTATCATTCTGTTTAATACTCGGTGTCTCTAAAAGTTGTCTTCAATCAAAATTGATGCTTTACAGCACTAATCTATGCATTAAAAGCCAGCTTCAAAATGTCGGTGCTGGTTATAGAAATGAAACTCTAACTTAAAATAGGGAATCACACCAGAAATACCTACGGAAAAGGACACCCCTATGTCTTGCCTTTAGTATACAGGAGTTCACTGTTATAACAAGGACACCAGGGCCTCATTTCTTGATTTGGTTACACTTTGGGCAGAAGCAAGGTGGGTTTTCTGATTCATTTTGTTTGGTAATTCCAGCATCGATCAAACTATTACCAGCATGAAACAAATAGAACAGACAAATGATTATATGTTAATACAATTACTCAAGGGATATGGCACCCAAATAAAACCAAATACATCTACAGTCCTACTGCAGTGGAAGACTGCTACAGCAGTACATCATTCTGATTATAGAAGATTAAAACTGAGCTTCAAAGGGGGAGGAAGAAAAAACCCTCAAATGAGAAACCATCCCTTCAATCGGATCTTCTGCAAGCCACCTCAACCAAACTCACAAGCTAAGAGTCGCTTCACACTCATTGATGGGCAAATTACCAATACTCAGTATCCTTTCTGCCTTTCAAACACTGCTTAGGATTTTGAAGACTCGGACAAAACCTGAAGCTCTTGGCAATTTGTCTTTCTTACCAGGCGGCTGAAATTTAAATAACAAAACTTTTTTCATACCGTTTTATCACTACTGTCATCTAACCCATTTTTGTTATTTTAAACATTTTATCCGCAGCTTACACCCTCTAGGTGCACTGGGGCACAGAAGACGCCGTCTTGCACCTTGTGTGTACCCTAATTACTTCTATTCTTGTCCAGCTTGATGCCAAATATGTCACTATATCTAGAATTGAATCCAAAGTTACTCGGATATGCAGGCCGAGGAGATCTAATTTAGCATCATTCAACATGAAACAGCACACATTAAACTTATACTACTAGATCTTCAATCCACCCTCAACTCCTTGCCCATGTTAAAGAAACTGCAGCAATGGTGCTACTTCAAATAGGGACCAAGTAACATTACTCCATGACCATCTGGAGAGGTTTATAACCTTAAAGAAGCCAAATAAGTCTAAAGTCACTTCACCGAGACATTCAATCCAAAGTTACTCGTGCCAAGAGTCTGAAGAGATTTAATTAAGTATCTTTCAATGTGAGACAACACACATTTGGATTAAAATAGTACATCCTGAAATTATCCATACTCAACCCATATAACAAATTTTCAGGGACCAACAGTTGAGTCTACAGCTCAGAAACTCGATATAAATCATCTGTCAACAAGGGTTTGGAACTTCACTCGCTTTTTAACACTACGCATTCGGTCATACCCAATACCAATCTTGCTGTGCATTAACTTAATCGCCAAATCCGCATTACCAGCCTTCCTCAAGCCATTGATCAGCACAGTCCGAACCTTTCCCGGTATTTCCCTACCCCTATCCACAATCCCATCAGCCAACTTGCAGGCCTCTTTCACACGGCCAGCCTTGCACAGCACACCAATCATATCCTCATACGCCCTCTCCAGAACAATCCCCATAGGGGCAAGCTCATCCAACACCCTGCAAGCCCTGGCAACCTTGCCCGAGAGACACAGCCCAATTGAAAGAGCTCTGAAACACGCAGCATTCGGCGTGACACCTTTGTCGATCATCTCCTCCCACAGCTTCAACGCCTCCTCATTCCTCCTCTCCCTGAAAAGCTCACTAACAAGTATAGTAAACGTATAAACCGTCTGCTCACACCCCTCTCGCTCCATTCGCCTAAACAACACCAGGGCCTCATCAACTCTCCCATTCTTGCACAAACCATCCATGAGAGCATTGTAACAATATGAATCCCGCGGACACCCCTCTTCCGCCATCTCCTCAAACAGCCTCCCCGCCTCGTCCACCCTCCCAACCTTCCCAAGCCCATCAATCAAACTTGAATAAAACACAGCATTCACGGTCACATCATTACCCTTACAAAACCTAAAATAACCCATGGCCTCATCCATTTTCCCACTCTTACACAAACCACCTACAACAGCCCCATAAGTAACCTCGTCTGGCTCAACCCCATCCACCTTCATCCTCTCCAAAAACGACATGGCTACATCCATGTTCCCGCTCTTGGCATAACCATCAATTATGGCAGTATACACAGCCTTATGAGCTACACAACCTTTCTTAACCATACTCTCAAACACAGAACAACCCTCCACAACCTTACCCTGCTTACACAACCCACATATTGTTAAACTATACGCGTGGGGAGGGATTTTCGTTCCCAACACTTCATCTTCCTCCATCTCATGGAAAAGCCTCACACACGAATCCACATCACCCTCGTTGTAACAAGCCTGTATCAGGGTCATATACGTGACCTCATCGGGTGGCAAGTTTTCAGCCTCCATTTCGCGGAGCTTGGCGAACGCGTCCCGCGTTCGCCCGACCTTGCAGTAGCCTTTGACGAGCGTGTTGTAACTGACGACGTCGGGTTTCGACGACGCGCCTTCCTGCATTGACTTGAACACGCGCTCGGCGGAGTCGACGAGGGAGGCGTTGACAAGGGCGTTGAGGAGGGAGTTGAGGATGAGGAGGGTGGGACGGAGGTTGTTGGCCGTCATGGCGCGGAGCAGCCAGAGGAGGTCGTGGAGGAGGCCGGCGGCGGCGAGGGTTTTGGCGAGGGAGTGGGCGGCGGGGAGGGTGATTGGGAGGTTGGCGCGGCGGAGGGCGGAGAGGGCGGGAGGGAGGGAGGAGGGGGGAAGGAGTGGGAGGAGGGAGACGTGGCAGTCGAGGGAGTGGGAGTAGTTGGGCTGTGTGGCGGCCCAGGAGAAGAAGCGCGTGGCGGTGACGGGGTCGGAGAGGGAGCGAAGGGTGTGGGAGACGAAGGAGGGGGAGAGGGTTATGAGGTATTGGCGGCAGAAGGATTCGAGGTTGGACTCCATGGAGGGGGACCCATCGAGGATGGAGAGGATTTGAGGAACCCATGGAGAGGTTTGAGGGGGCGAAACCACGTCGGAGAGGTCGCAGAAGGGTTCCACCACCTCGCGCGGCGGAGGGAGGGGTGCGCCGAACAAGCGTCGTGCATTGTGGCAGCGCAAAGGGGAAACTCCTTTGAGTAGCGCGTAGGGGACTCTTCTCATCACTGTCACTCTGGGATTTCACTTTTAGGAGAAAACGCTGCGTTTTATTCCCCTGCAGGGTGTGCCCTTTTGCTTCTTTGGACGCCAATATAAATTACTCCCACCAAATATAAGGTTTTTGCTTCCTACACCCCCCAATATTTTTCAACTATACATCCCTAATTTTTTTTAAATTTCTAGGATTAATTATATTTTTAGTTCCCTTGATTTTAGTTCTTCAAAATTAGGAAAAAAAATATTTATTTCAAAATTTAGAAATATAAATTTAATATTTAAATAATAAATTTATAATATTAAAATGATTTTTTAAATTTATTTTAAATTCTTCATATTTAATATTTTGAGAGTACAATCATGTTTTATTTAAGAGATCGAAATAATTTTTTTAACTTAAGGGACTAAAAAATTTATCCCAAATTTTAAACACAAAAAACATAATTTAACTAATAAATATTATAGACGTGAATTTTATTTAATTATTATATATAATATAACGTAAGTTCTGGAATAATATTTTCAAAAGATTTATAAAATGAGTAATCCAAGAATGAAGGATCTCGAATAGTATATGAAAAAAAAATTATAGGTTCTATATTTCAATGTGACCACTTAAAGTAGTACTGTAGGAAAAATATAAATTCTAAAATATTAAAAAAAATACATTCTGGAATAAATAATTTAAATTTTTTTTTAAAAGTTCTGAATTAATTTATCACCATCTTCTTTATACACTATTTCCTAATGTAAACAATTAGAAAATATGAAAAATATAAGTTTTAAGACAATTATGATAAGATAAAATAAACAAATATATAATAAATTTTAATTAAATAAAATATATAAAGACATTTAAATACAGTTCCAGTTATCATATATTGATTTGTATATATCAATGGATTTCTAAACTTTGCCGTTAACGCTTCACCTTTTGGTTCCCATTTCAAGTTTTGGCGCTAAAATCCATCTTCCATTCTTCTCTGAAATTCAACTCTTCTCTCGTTCCTTCTTCAATTTCTGGATCAATCCTGTTAGATACTCCGTTCTTGAACCTCTGCTATTGCTCTTGCTATTCCACGACCGTATTTCTCGACGAAAAAGTAAGTTCTGGAGAACTTTTGATATTTGTAGCTTGAATGTGCGAAAATTTTGAAAAACAACAAAACATAAGCTGAATTTTTTACGCGTTTCATAAAGTCACGGATTTGGTTCTGCTGGCTATTTTGGTCACGGTAATCTATTGCTAAGGAATTTATTTGAAGTTATTTCATTATTTTCATTGGAAAATCTGATTCTGAGAGTTAGCGTGGAACTGAAACTTCTTTTTTGCTACCAATTATGAACGAAAATATGTTGCATAATGTGTTGAGTTGCTGATGTGATTGTTTTTGCTTATTCTACCTCTATACCTAAGTCATTTAATCATGCTCCCCATTTATCCGTGAATTTTACAGTAATTGATGAAAGATTTATTGATGATGCGGAGGTGTATATTCATTGCATTTTTCACTGTTTTTTTTCTCTCTCTCTTTTTCCTCACTTTTGATGGTGAAGCACAAACATTATGAAGTCCTTTTGTCATTACTCATCATTCAAGTTTCCATCTCCCTTTGTAAAACTGCAATTATATGACTCATTGAGTTAATAAACTTTATTGGAAGTTGAAGGTGCTGATTAGAAGAGAGTGATCTGTCGCTTTGTGATTTATTCAAAAAGAAAGTGACAAGTAAGTAAAATGAAAAAATGAGAGCAGCAGTAAGAAATCTTTGTGTGTGAATGGGCTAGTGTGTCTCGACAGGAGGAGGATTAATGTTTAGTCAGTTAGGAGGTAGGATTGTCACTTAGAATTATCTCGTTTATGCTACTAAATAATACTTCTAGGTTTTCAAATATGCTTCTGAAACTCTATACCCAATCCTTTGTTTGCCAGATCTTTGTTATAAAGCGTCAGGTAATGAACTGAAACATCGTTCAAAATTTACTGCCTTGTACGATTTCAAATATTTAAGGTTTATGGATACGTAGTTTGTTATTTGCTAATGTATAATATGTTTATGTATGCAATTGTTCTCGAGGATGCATTCTCACATTCTAACTTAAAGTTTTCCTAGTGTTTAACGGTACATTTGCCAAATATAATAATTAATCTACGCGTTCAATATTGACCTACTGAAAGTCCTACTCTTATTGTATTCAACTTATTATTTTTTAGTAAGAAACTGGTAGCTTCGTTAGTTGTTGGATGATTACAATGATATTATTGTTATCATAGTTATTATGTTTTGGTAGATTACACTCGCCGGTTGAGCACATATGCTAGCTCCTTTTTCTTTATCTGCCTTAAGTAAAGCCTCGTCTTTTCAATCCATGAAGAAACATGATGTATTGTTTTGTTTTGCAGTTCTCTTTATTCGACCCTTAGACATGTATGGTTAATATCCTACGGCTGAAATGAGATGTAATGCATGCTGGCGAGAAGTAGAAGGGCGAGCCATTTCCACAACTTGTGGCCACCTTTTATGTATCCACATTCAAACAGTTTTGACCTTGTGTTCCTCCTTTTTAGTAAAATATGATCAACTTAGTTCATATCATGTTAGGATGAATTTCTGCATGTTTTATCATTGAAATGGTTATTTAGTTTATGTGGTTTCCTTAACACTGTTAAAAGGCACAGATGATGCCAATAAGATATTAAGCAATGATGGAGCATGTCCTATTTGTGATCAAGTCCTTTCTAAGAGGTATGGACATGATAGGGATCTGTTTGATTATACATGTGATTTCGTTCCTTCACCTTTAAAAATACTGATTATAATGGTCGATTAATGGAACTAATCATCCCTCGGAAATCTGTACTTTAAGCTTCATGGAAATACTGTTTGATTATAGGAATTGTGCTGATTATTTAATTTTATTCTACGCTGTATGTTCTCAATTTTAAGTTTCATGGAAATAATGCTGATGTAAATGGTCATTTGGTAGCATAATATCCCCTCAACAATTAGTACCAATAATTGGGCCGAAATTTGGTGCCTTGTCTTCATTTAAAATTTTGGGTTGTCAATTTTAAGCCTCATGGATAACGTGTTGTTGTCTAAATTATATGTTTCTCCTCTTGTCAGTCTCATGAAACCTGTGGATATCAATCCCAATGATGAATGGGTCAATGTAAGTAAATATTTTCATGTTCAATAATAATTACATATTACAAAAACCCTAGACACTCTGAAATTTGCTGAATTTCACACTCTTATCTCTCCTTTTCTTTACTCTCATAAGCATTATCGCCAATTATTGTGATTTTTTCTGTGGCAGATGGCCATGGCAGGAGTATCTCCACAGATATGTATCCTTTATGTCTATTGTGTAGAGGTGGAAGTGCTTAGAAATAGAAACTAAGGTTATATCTTATATCCGTCTACACTATCTGGCAGTCTGATTATCATAAATGAAGTACATATTCTGAAATTCAAGAAATTAAGAGGGACATTGGACATTGCCTGTTTTACCTGAGCAATTTTAGTAATGAAGAGTGCATATAGAAGTGTGATGTTCTACATTGGGCAAAAAGAACTGGAGATGCAGTTTAAGATGAACAAGATTGTTGCTCAATGCCGGCAGAAATGTGAGATGATGCAAGAGAAGTTTACAGAAAAACTAGAGCAGGTACATACTGCTTACCAAAAGATGGCCAAGAAGTGTCAGATTATGCAACAGGAAATTGAGAGCTTAACCAAGGACAATCAAGAACTTCAAGAAAAATTTGCTGAAAAATCGAGGTCAGGGTCAATTGAATTTCCACTTCTACAAAATTATATCTCGTTATTGATTCCCTAAATCTATTTCAATTTCAGGCAGAAGAGAAAATTGGATGAAATGTATGACCAGCTGAGGAATGAGTTTGATTCAGTGAAGCGATCGGCCATACAGCCTGCAAGCAACTTTTATTCCAGAAATGAGCACGATTTGTTCTCTAACGATGACAGAGAAATGGGCAGAAAAGGTAACCCTTTAGTCAGAGGATATTACTTTTCAGTGTCAATAGAAATTAGAAAGAGTTTTATGTTATATTTAAGTTTCAATAAACTGTAAAACCAAATAAAGAATGATTTATTTAAGATTTGTTTGGTTAAATTTCTCTACCAATACATGGAGCTCAAAAAAATAATGAAACATGTTTTTCCATGACCTAACAACTTATACATAAATAAAAGAGAAAATTGATTTTAAAGACGTTAATATAAAAAACTTCTACAAATTACATTATATAAATTAATTTTAACTTATAAAAAAATTATTTTATCTCTCCTTCTTATCTTTCTCACATTGAAAACATATTATTAAATAACATTATGGAAAGCATGAAGAAAATGATAAGGAATAATTACTACAACTACATAACATTTTATTGCAACTACCACCATCAACATCATCATAGTTGTAATTCTCATTGCCTCGACGTTAATGAGAACAACGAAAATAAAATGATGGTGATAATCATGGGTCATGGACTGTATGACCTTGTTTATGCTTAGATGTTTCCAAAAGTAGAATAACTTATTTGTTGCAGGTGGGCCGGTATTCACTCCTGCCACTCCAGGACCAAGAGATGATGTCTGGCCAGCAAGGCAGAATAGCAATAACTCCGGTCCTTTTGATCTCTCTGTTGTCTCACCGGCAAAACAAACTGCCATCGCAGGGGATGCTGGTAACAGAAGGACCGGTGCTCATCCTGTTTTTGGACCTGGTGCTGCTAATAACCCATCTATGACTTTGAGGAACATGATACTGTCTCCAATAAAGAGGCCTCAGCTCTCACGTAACCGCCCTCAACTATTCACGTGAGGAATAAACTCAACTCTGCCAACTTCGTTCTACCATGCATTTCTTAATCTTTATATTTTGGTGTTTCAGGTTGTAGGAACAAAGGAGGCTAACCTTCTGTAATACCAGTTAAGCTTTTTCCTCTGGTTCTGGCTTTAGTTTCCTTTTTTCTTTTCTTCTTTTTTAATTCCATGGTTGTTTTCCTTTGGCAGGGAAAAACGAATCTAGTGTTTGCACAAATGAATTCGTTTGCATAATGAGATATGATATTTTAAACTAGTGTTTCTGGTTCTGACCTTCAAACAATTATAGCTGAAGAGCTGCTAACATGGACAATTTATATATCATTTAAGTTCCCTAGCTTCGGTCTTTATATGCATATTTTCCCAGCGTATTATATGGTGATTGGAAGAAACTCAAAAGTGAATACCCTTAAAACTAAGTATGAAGCCGCTGCCTCATTCAGTTACCTGGCAAAGAATGAAAGCAGGAGTCTTATTTCTTGACTTTCATTTTTGCCCACGATCTCATGGTCTACTAAACTATTGAAATTGAGAATTATCAACATGGACATTTTGGTATAGAGACTTAAAATGTTGCAAGAAATCGTGAAATGGTTGTCGACCAATATCCGTGATCAGCGGCCAAAATTTGTCTCCATTTAACAAACCCGACAATCAGAATCAGTGTGAATACAATTATGTCGGAACGGGTAATTATCATTATTTTTATGAAGAGATATAATTGAGAAATAATGAATTTTTTTATTTTATTTATGAAGAGAAATAATTGAGAAATGAATGAAAATAAAGATTATTTAATTAAAAAATAAAATATGATGAAATAGAAATTATTTTATTAAAGATAAATAAGATGAAATAAACATTATTTTTTTATTAAAATAATATTATTTTAATTTTTTATTTTTATTATTAATGTTTAAAGAAAAACATACAACATTAACGTAACGAAATTACAAACAAATTAATTAAAACTCAATTATGTTAAAATCGATTATTTTTAATTAAGGACACTATTTTAAGAATATATAATATCTAAGAAGAAGAAAATATAATATTCGATCTTATCTCGAGTTCTTTGCCAGGATATCAACTGATAAGACTCGGATGATACATAATCCCCAAACTTTTAGACGATGACATTGTTGAGGCTGTAAGTCATTATACTGAGACCTAAAACGAAGTATATAATTCTTTAATATCGACGTACAGATGTTAAAACTTTAAATTCTTAGATCCAAGTCTGATCTGATTATATACCGTAAAGGTGCAAATCAAATTTTCATATTTTTCTTCTTAAAATAGCATAAAAAAATCATCTTTGAAAAAAAAAAATCTTCATTTCACCTTCGTGCCACTTTCTTCGTCTCTTTTTTCTTCTCCATTCCTTCTATTGTACCAATAAGAGAAAAAAATTAGGACGTTTATAATACTTATATATTTATTTTTATGAATATTTACTGTTATTTAGTGTTTTTGCTCCATAGAAAGACAAGTTAATGATAATAGAATTGATAGATAGCTGATTTGTTTGTAGAAGATATCATTGATAAAAAAAAAAATTATTTAATAATTATATTTTCAGTTAAAAAGTACTTTTTACACACAAAAAAAATGTTTCATAATTAAAAATCATAAATTGGTGAAAAAGACTTGGTGCTCCAAAGGCCTCAAATATAATATTCTTCTAAATAAATTCTATGTAGAATTAAAAAAAAAAATAGTGATAAAATAATACAGTGTCTCTTATCTCAATTATGTTTTAAAAATATTTGTCTACAATAAACCTAGAGTAAAGCATTAGTATTAAGTATAAAATTATAATCATTAATCTAAAATTTAATGATAAATAATATTATTTTTATATTATATATTATTATATTATTGTTAGTAGGAAATTGTTAAAAGAATCGAAAAACCAAGGAAAGAAAAATTGGAGATCATATGATTGGTTAAAAACTGATGAAGTGAAAAGATAGTTGGAAAAACATTCGATGACCATGTAACAAGTATTGACACATAAATCGAGAATTAGAACCGAAAATCGAAGGAGGAATATTTAATGTCTATTTGTTGAAGAAAATCGAGAAATTTGAGTCAAAAGTAATGTTGAGAAACAAAGTGAAAACAGAAGCAATTCAAAATTCTCGAGATTTGGAATCGAAATCGAGGGAAAGGCTAACCTACATGACTATCGGAATTTTGGTCAAGTTATAAAGAGAGGAACAGTTGACGTGCACATAGAACATGGTAAACGGTGGCAAAAGTCGAAGGTCAAGGGAGCAGTTACCTCATGCATGAGAACGTGAATGCAGTTTTTTAACCGTAGAGCTAGAAGTAAAACTGCAAAAGACGTGCACGCAGGACGTGGTAGCAGTTTTCGTTAACTGCTCCTAAGAGATTACTTGAAGGATGCTCTATAAATAGAGCGAAAGATGAAGGAAAAAGGGAAATTGGCAGAGACAACAGAAGCATTAGTGAAAAGTATACCGGAGAACGACGAAATCATGAAGTTTCTGGCGATCTGGATTTCCATTTTCATTGACTGTCTTTATCGCTTTCTTTACTTTCCTTGGTAATTTATGTTCATGTAATTTTCCTTTGATGCAATTTAAGTTTCTGTACTTTCGATTACTTGTCATTTACCTTTAATGCAATTTAAGTTTCTGTACTTTCGATATCTTGGCATTTACCGTTTCTGCAATTCCGATTTCCTGCTATTTACTTTCATGCAATTTTAATCCTGTCATTTACAATTAATGCAATTTTGAGGTTTCCGCAATTTTCAATTCTCTGTAATTTCATATTCTGCACCGCTTTTCGATTTAACATTTTTACTGCTTTCTTTACTTCGCGTTACTTAATAAAAAACATAAAAAATAGTACTTTCAATCATCGATATGCACTCTAGGTCATGTGGTTTGCATCTTTTCGAGATTTTAGGATTCTCGATTCTCATGCACTTTTGATTGAAAACTAGTTGCTAGCCTAAGTAAAAAGAATCTACATGGTCAAGATTTGATTAGGACTCAACTCCCCATAAATCGAAATCAATCAAATTTTCACCAGAAACAAATTGGCGCGCTAGGTAGGGGTAGCTTGTGTCGAAAAACACAAAATTGGTTAGTTCAAAAGTGTATGAGATTAAGGAATGGGCGAGTGATAAGAATGAGTCATCCACCAAATAATCTGAGTAACAGTGAGGTTCTGAATGGTTCACATCTACCAAACACTGGGGGGCAAGGTCATAATGGGAATATGCCTGTAATATCGACAACTGCGAGTATGTCGATACCTGTGAGTAATGAACAAAGTTCAGGCACATTAGCAAATACTCAACTAGGATCTAGCACTGCGATATCAAATAATATGCAAACTATGGGAAACCCTATAACAACATATGCAGGGTCGTATATGAGCATAAGGCCGCCTGGTTTTTCGCTTAATAATATGAATGCGGTTGGTACCTCTTCAATACAACGAAGTTCGAGATTGAACTTAGGAATGCCTCAAAACTTAGGTACATTTCAAACTTTAGGCATGCCACAAAACTTTGGAGTATCTCCAAATTTAGGGGCATCTCAAAATTTAGTAACCCCCCAGAATTCGGGGAGTGTGCAGAATTTAGGTACACAACAGATACCTCCAAATCTAGATCACAGAGCAAATCTGGATCATGGGAGATACACATTCGATAGAGATTATCATCGATCCAATTTTGAGACTATTGAAAACGCTAGTACGGGAATCTCCAGTAACTCATTAGGAGTACTTAGACAACAAATGGATGAGAGCAATTTCGAGATGGTTAACATATTATCACAACAGTTGACTACAGTATTGAATCCATTAGTGCAAAACACTACCACTAGTTTTGAAATATTAGCAGACCAAATGTCACTTATCGGAGATGCATTGGAAATACCCCGACAAACAAGGGTCGAAAACAATGCCAATCAGAATACTAATATCAATCCCCCTTATTTATTAAGGAGAAATCGAAACAATGATCAACATATGGGGAATGAATATCAACATGTGAGGAATGATATGTATGGAAATCTGAATGAGGGATTTCAAAACGCGTATAATCAAAATAGCATGCAGTATAATCACATGCTAGGACAAAGGATGAATCCCCAAGGAGTGGAATTAAGACCACCCAATCAACCATATTTTGTTTCTCCTTTTCCAAATACGATTCTCGAGACTGAATTACCTCGAGGATACAAAATACCTAAATTTACCAAATTTGCTGGAGAAATTGGTGAGTCCACTATCGAGCATGTAGCTCGATATCAGATCGAATGTGGAGACCTAGCGATGAGTGAAGAATTAAAAATGAAATATTTCCCTAGTTCATTGACTAAGAATGCTTTCACTTGGTTTACTTCATTGCCACCCAATTTGATATATAATTGGTTGCAACTGGAAAGAAATTTTCATGAGCAATTCTTTAGAGGGGAGACTCAAGTAAGTCTCATCAAACTAATGAACATAAAGAGATGCAATCATGAAAGCATAGATGATTATTTGAATAGATTTAGACAAATGAAGTCAAGATGCATTACTCAAATTCCTGAATATGAATTAGTCAGAATGGCCTCCGCAGGCTTAGAATTCTCGATTAGGAAAAAGTTAGTTAATTTACCATTGAATGACATGGCTCAGCTAGCTGATAAAGTGAGAAGAGTGGAACAAATCGAATATGAAAAACAAAGGTATAAGAAATTCGAGAAACCCATGAAGAAAGAAAGAGTAGCATATATAAATGATGTGTATGAGACAGATCCCAAGACAGAAACTGATATTGAAGAAACTGTCAATGAGAAAGTAAATATAGGAGAGCTCAAAGTAGGAGCTTCATATATCTGTAAATTGCTACAGAAAAATGAAGTAAAAGACAAAATGGCAAATCGAACGTATAATTTCGATGTAACAAAGGCAGACAAAATCTTTGATATTTTATTAAAAGACAAACAGATTAAGTTGAGTGATGATCATAAATTGCCTTCTGCAGAACAAAGAAATTGTCGAAAATATTGCAAATTTCATAATATTTATGGACATTGGACTA